GAATGTGGGCATCTCATCTTTCCTCGCTCACCCATTCAATCCAATCCACATGGTCATGGTCGTCTCAGTTTTTTTACTTACTTACTTTCCTACCAGTAAGCTTTTCAGAGTTCAATTCAAATTTTGAACTTGCCAATGTCGGCGGTGCGGTGAGTGAGTAGTTGAACATACAAGAATCCTATCCAACTGTGAAGTGAAAATCATCGGTCAACTTAAAACTTTACAAAACTCTTCTGCTACTTACTACTTGATGAAACGGGAAGGGCAATTTTGCAACATTTTTTTTGTAAATGGAAAAAAAATCTTGAGTAAAGAATCTAATCCATAATAAATAACCCTTCTTCTTGAGAGGAATGAGATGAGATGAGTGGACCCGTGCCACCACTGACTATTTATGTATACGAAGATCTCGTGTTGTTGATTGTTGATATTGAAAATGTGAAGGATGAAGAAGTGGCCTCTTTAAGAGAGAGATGAAGTGAAGTTGATGGTTCGTGGTTTGGCTTGGCTGGTATTTTTGGACCCGTCTCATCTTTTCCCTTTTGTTTCCTGAACTGGAAGAAGAAGATAAATGATTACTTCACATTTATTTGACTTCATTTGTCATCCCTTGTTGTTGTTGTTGCTGGGTTGAGATTTTTCTGACCGATTCCTTCATATGTAACGAACTTATGCATGTTTATGTATGTCTAATTTTGCATTCCATCGCAAAATTCCAATCTATTCGCAGCGGACGATTACTTGCAGAGTGAGACGAATTTCTGCAAAATGTGACTCACTCAGTCTCGCATACATAATTTTAGGGTGGGTATACAGAAAATGATAAAAAATGCTGCATCTAGACAGACTGGGGCAGTAGTCGCATAGATAACAACAGAGGTAGGTACACACACCACCACCTTTTCTGTCCAGCAGGAAAGATGAGTGTGTCACACAGGTGAATATTATGCTTCAATTGTTATGAAGATGTGATTTTCCTGCGAGGGAACAAGGAGGAGGTATGTTGAGAAGGTGGTGGTCGTGAATGTGGTGGAAGTTGTAATAGCAATATTTATGGGCGAACACCTGTCCTGAGAGAGCATCTCTTTCACACAGGCGACATTTTTTACTGTCCCTTTTCCTCCCCAGGTTATTATTATCCTAAAACCTCATCCGTACCCATACGTACTTTCTTCCTCGTCAGCAGCATCTTCAATCTCGTCTCACCTCCGTATCACATATGATGAACATCTCGAACTAAATACATATAAATTATTCCTTAAAATTTTGCAATTTCGACTTTAAACTTTGTCAAAATTTTGTCATTCGAAATATTATTTTTTCTTCTTCTCCAGTTGCAGTCGTCACCAAACCTGAGAAGATTTTTAAGTTCGTCGTTGACTATTGTGTCCAGTCCATAAATCACGTCTTCTTAAGCAACTTAACTGCAGAGTCTTAAAAGTAGCAGCAGCAAGAAAGAAGTAGCTTGCCCACCGTAAAAAGAACCTATGCTGTAATGTAGCGATGATGATGAATTCAGTGTTTTTAATACGTTAAATCTCGCATTTTTGAACATTGGACAAGATTGGATTGTTGTACGTGGTGACCTTTTATACAGCGTTACATTGGAGGTATGGCGATGTAGTAAAAGATGCACGATGAGAGAAAGGAGAGAAGAAGGAGATCCTTGATTCTCGTAAAAGAATTCCCTTGAGGAATTTACAAAGTCATGGCTAATTTGTGGTGTTTTGTTGTGCACAAACAAATAAGGAGCAAGCAGTTATTATGCAGGTGCAGGGCTGGCATGGAGCGCTACAATAAATGCAATCACAACTACATATCCAACCAAACTATTTCTTATGTACCATCAACCATGATGATGGCAAGTTCTTGAAAATATATGTATCTCACACACAATAGGTACAAATGTATAGGTATCAATAACTGAAAATAACGTGGTGTCGGCTGCATCAATGTTCCAATAATTTTGGATGGCAATGATGCTACTTGATTATGTACATACTGTGTGGGAGGTGACTTACTATGCACATTACACACCAAGAAAAGGGTGTAACAAGTAGGTTTCTTACACATTTTTTTAATGGAATCGATATCCCGAGATTGACTGACGGTTATAATTGTGCACCCCTAAAAATAGAAGAATGTGTCCCAGCCGAGAAGACAATACGGCATGGATGGAATGGACTCTGGAATGCCGAGCTTTTCACTCATCCACAAAACCAAACCACGTATAAGAGAACAGAAGAAGAAGCATCTGTACCTGAAAAACAATGGACAATGGGATGGTCCATTCCTTCTTCCTTGAAGTACAAGTCCTCTAGTTCAGCCGGTACGAGAGGAACAAGCGGAGGAAGCAAAGCTGTGGAAGCGATTGAGTTACAAATAAACCTTATGGAACTCTTGATTTTTTTATATGTGCAGGAAAGCAACCAGAAGGGACGATTGTTAAGTATAATAAGACTACTTAAATTATCTTAAAGTACGTGCAAATATCAAGTACTTATCACACTCGCGAAATTCTTTACGGAAATGCAAAATTTCGAAAAATTTTAGAAATCCATTACAAACAAATTTAATTAACATCGTAATAACCCCATAACTGCACATGGTTTATACTTGAACCACAAAATGCATTACCTTTGCCCATCTTATTGCCTACGTTTTTCCGCTGGCGCAATGCTGTCTGCCACATTACCGGCCCTACTTACTTACATACATAATAATCTCTCAAATCCAATCCAGCAGCAGCATCTCCTCATCTTACACGTCTTCCTGATCCTACATACACCAGCTTTTAAAAAAACACACGCCACGTAATAAACCCATAAGTTCCTACCACGACGACGACGAGTCTCATCCCTCTCCAACTAGTCACATAAACAACAAACCTGATGGACAAACTAGTCTCCATACGACTTCTTATTAAAAACATGCACCTCTCAACTTCACATAACAAGATATTAACTCGCATTTAAAAAAATCTCGCATCCCCCTCACAAATTTTACCCCATGTCCAATATAGATCGTAAAATGGTAGTAAATTTTTGTTACCAAATTGCGCACACAAGTAGGAAGGACATGTCAAGACGTGCAGGAGAAGTTCATCTCTCTCCATTTTTTGTGGACTTATTTCTTGTCGTCGTCCTTAGTAAAACTTGAGAGAAAGAAAGAATGCCTTTCATTTCAGAGTATCTTTGCTCATTCTTTTAGAGAAGAAGATGAATAAACTACTATAATAAAACTACGCGCAGCACGACACGATCAAATTTTGAATTCCAAGTATCGAATGGACATTGGGCAGTGGTGGTGGTACATAAGTTGGGCTTGGTTTTCTTGTCGGTGCGGGTCGTCCAATTTCGTTAAGGTACATTAGCGATTTTCAATTGCCAATTTTACACTTGCGACCCAACCATTACCATCTCAATCTCATTTCAAATTCCTTTCCTTTCTTTAAGTGTGGAGAGAAATGGTCAGCCAGCCCTTTAGCTGATTTTTTTTTACTTGGTGGTCTATGGATTGCATCTCCTCCGAGGATATTCTCAATGGATCTTCGTAAAAAGATTGCCGTTTAAGCTGGCTGCCTCGTCCCCGAAGGAAGGAATTCGCACTTTGCTATTCTTTCTTCCTTGTTTATGAATGGAGGACGAGTTTTTATGAAAAGGTTAAGTTTAGACGTTATAAGATCTTGTTAATTTAATGGGCATTCTTTCCACCTTTTAACACCCTCTCCTCTTTTCCATACTTTACTAACCGCTGTGCTGTGCATATGGGTAGAAATAATAAGTAGGTAAGTTTGGTTGGTGGGTGGAGGAAGATCGGTCGGTACGAATTTTCTGGCTTTTTGCAACTGTTTTGAAGTGTGGCGTGATTTATGCTGCTGTTTTAAACGTGTCCATTTAAGTTCATGGATTTGCACGTGTTCGTCGAGTCAGGAAAGACGGAATTAATTCACTTTTTCCCATAGTTTTGCTGAGGGGATGGGTTGGGCAGCAGACAGACAAAGTTCGTGATATTACGAGGTCATGAATTCCACGCAATTATTTTAAAGTTTGAGTTAGGGAACAGTCTGGGCATCCTAGTGAGCGAGTTGACTTTTTCTCCTCGCCACTTACCAGTAATGTAAATGATTTTTGTCACTAAGACTTCTAATTTGCAGCTAATACAAAATGGATTGATTTCGTTTTGGTGGCAATAAATTCCCAAGTTTGTGCTTTACAATTGCCATGTTGCATAAATTCCATAATAAATCTCAGAGAAAAGTATTGGACTGAAACATGATATGAGTCCATGTTTCAGTTCAATACTTTTCTCTGAGATTTATTATGGAATTTATGCAACATGGCAATTGTAAAGCACAAACTTGGGAATTTATTGCCACCAAAACGAAATCAATCCATTTTGTATTAGCTGCAAATTAGAAGTTTTAGTCGAAATTTTTCTCCTTTTCTGGTTCGCGATGCCCCGTTTGGAGAGTGGGAACGGTCACTCTCAAAACCCAAAGCAACTTTTTACATGCAACTGCCTGCATTGTTTACATGAAAATCAGCTGCTCTCTTCGCCCCGCCCCCCCTCATTAGCAAAAAATCTCTCGGCACACAAGGAGACGCAACCGTCGTCTCTGTCTTTTAGTTATGAGATTTTTTCAACGTATATGCCTTCTTAATGAGCTTGAATTTTAATTTGGACCAAACCATTAACCATGTACGTATTTATTTATCCGTATCCCTTCCTCCTAATTAGCATATGTGTAACGTTAATGAACTAGAACGGGGCAAATTATGATAAAATAAAATGATGATGCGTATCCAATCCTCAACCTGCAAATGTCCGTCTGATTGACATGCACCATTTGTCTTCTTGTGCATTATTTCGCCAGAGATAAATCAGTGCAAAGGGTATGCGTATTGTCTGAAATTAAAAGTGCTTCGACTTGTTTGACACACGTTCTTCAAATGTGAATGAATGAAAGAAAAGACAAGTTGGTTGAAGAGCAGGTTAACTGTTTTTAAAAGTTTAATGAACTTATCACTACATAAGAAAGAAGGTAGTGGATTGATAGATTTGGGGCGCACAACATTTGCATATAGTAAAAGTACACAATATTTTGCATTATTTTACGAATAATAGGACCCTACGAGGATGGTGTCAGGACGGAATTATTCGCTCCATTTAGTGGACCTCTCGTCAACTCTAGAGAAATTTTCAGCTGGACCAAAATTAGAAAGTAGGTGAGCACATTGGCCACCACGGCTGTCAATATTTTCATCTCGACAGTAGTGATCCCATACACGGAGACGATTGTTCTCTCGGTATTTTGGAACATGGTGATCTAAAATTAGTATTAGAGTAATCGGACGACATGATTGTTTTAATAAAGCAAATCTGTCACAGAATTAGCGTGTCGCTAAAATTAATTATTGACCAAAATATGTATCTCACCTGGAACTGAATATCAGAAGTTGAATTCCCAACCGAATAATTGTGCGGTACATGATTCGATCGGTGCAGAGTTTGATGGATCTTGTCACCCTGATGTCAAATACATAAATTGCAAAAAAAGTTCAGGGACACAATTTCGCATATTTTTATTTTTAGAAATAATAGCTTTTTTTGCTACCCCTGTCTTCACCATGTTTCCCCCGGCGAGGAGAAAGCTCAACGTGTACACGGCGAAGTACAGTTGACACGCCAACAGGACCAGCAAGGGTGCACCTCCTCTCACCTCACCGCTGTCGTAGTCCGGCATCTGAGTCGAAAACATGATATACGTCGCCACCGTGAGGCTCAGGATGGACGAGATGCACACGGTCAGCAATGGAAGGCCGAAACAGTTCCCGATTTTTCGAACTATTTCCACCAACTCGGAATAGATGAGACGCAGTTGGACGAGTTGTTGACACTTTTCTCGCTCCGAGATGAAAATAGCGGAGCTGTCGGGGGATAAAGTGTGGTGCAGGATGTGACGGGTGTAACGTAGCAATCGCTTAATGACGAAGCAATGCACGAAGAAAAGCAGGACGATTATCTAAAAAATCAGGACAATTTTAACCTTGATCATGATAAGTAGTGGCCGCGGAAGCCGTGGGGACATGAGGGGACATTAACATTGTAGGATAGGGGAAGGAGGGGTTTGTATTACATGGACAGATGATGGGGACATCGAATAATAATATCCGTCTGTCCCCACGCTTCCGCAGCGAGTGTTTACGTTTTTCTAACCTGTGGACAAATACAAACCACGAAAAACATGATGGACGTTGTGTGAAGTCCAATCGCCGTAAAAACTTCGGAATAACAATTCCCCTCCACACCCTCTGCTTTCATCTCGGCTAAAATATCGCAAAGGGAATGGATCGCAAATGTAAAGAAAATATTATACGCCAAATTTTGAATCAGCGTAACAATCGCGATCGTCCAACTGACCACACCCAATCGGCTTCCCCATTTTTTGGGCGCTGTAAACGGGGGACATTTCAAAGTGTTCAACTGGTTTGAAATGGTCAACATTTGACCCCAGAGTTTGGGGAGTGGTCGGAACGAGAATCTGGGGACGATGAGGATGGAGGGCGTCTGCCAGTAGTAGAGAATGATGTACAAGCCGTAAGTGAATTGTTCCACGCCGACGAAAAATGCGGAAACAAAGTTCCAAACGTTCAGCTGAATCCATAACGCGGAGAAGGAAACGATCACGGTGATGAGGATGTTGATAAGGCTGCCAATACTGAAACAGTGGGAACGAACTTGGCACGTTTTTGGGGGAGGGCAGGTGTGGTGGTGTTGAGTTTCGAACCAATTTAAGCCCAGTACTTTGGCCAAGGTGAGAACGGGTTTGATTTGACTGAGGGGGCAGATGGCCATATGTTACGAATATTTTAGAAAATATTTAGCGTCTCAGTACAACAGATTTTAGATGAATAATGACCAATTAATCAAAAAGTAGTTTGTGATATCAATTATGCAGTTTGCACAGCATGTCCTCCTCCGCCTCCACCTTGTGCTTATCAAAGTCTGATAAACCCAGAAAACACGACAATTGCATTGAACTCCATTTATTGGTTATGCATGCAGCAAGATTTTCGGACAAGATGAATCATATTTCTTGCAACAATTTTATCTTCCCGATAACCGAAAATATCTGCATTTTGCATGAGAATATTCCCAACTTTTCATCCTGTATACCAAAAAAGACCGAAAAAGTCTGGAAACGGCAAAAGAAACCGTAGTAAATAGTACGAAGTTTATTTATTTTTGTGACAAAATGTCAGTGTCAGCCAAACCTGAACTAAACTGACTTTCAATTTTCACTTCCTGTTTTCCCTATTCAAAAAAGTTTGCTTCGCCTTACACAAATATTCCTGTACTGAATTACTCCAACTACTACCACACAAATTGTATATGCAAATTATGCTGACACGTCTTTGAGCAACATTTACGTAATACATCACCATTATTCCGAGAACTGCGTGGCATTTAACGCGAATTGACATTTGGCACGACATTGGCTAGATTTTGCATGGATTAGACACACTTTATATACTCCTCTCGTCATGACTAGACTTCAGATGGATAAGTATATGTAGCAAGTTCAGTTTTGTCCAGAGTCAAACTCTCTACGAGAACAAGTTTTTTTTCCACGGGTCGATTTTCGTGCAATTCGTCATATCTGTGTTTGTACAATGGGAGAGAGAACCAGAAACCACAACAAACACAAAGACTTGAGAGTTTACCTTCATCTCGTGAAAAAAGCTCTTTTATTTGACAATCCACCACTCCACCACATCATCCAAATCCAAACAACTTTCAGTTTCTGTTAAGCACTCCTAGTCGATCCCACTTCACGATGTGGAAATAATACCAAAAGATGATGATGATCCCACTATTTACTACCAACCAGAGCACCACGGATATACGTAGGAGACGTGATATGTGGCAATTCGTGGCTAAATTTAGTGCTAAATGCGTGCACAACCCTATTGACTACGTGCATATCGTGTCAATAATATCTTACCTGTATGCTCTCATAAAAAGAGCAGATGTGGTTTGGTTGGTTGGTTGTTCATCCTCAATTCAATCCACGCATTCAGGTCGCTTTTTTAGAGAGATTTCCTACGCCAGAGTGGATTATTTCTGGCACAATATTGTGTATCTTCGACTACTTTTCCCTCGGCTACTTACACACTTTCTTTATCGATTTATCCACACTTTTCTTTCCTCACTTCCTGCCTAAGGTGAGAGTAGAAGTGACTTTTCCTTTTGTCCAGTTCGACTTCAAGGCATTAATCATGAGGAGTGTCCGATGTAAGAAACGTATAAATTTTATGTGTGTGTGTATGGATTGATTTACAAGAAGAGTTTACTTAACTAATAATAAATAAATTCCGAACACTCATATTTTATCGGAATTTGTCAATAAAATAAAGGCCGTGATTTATTATCTATTACGAAAATCAAAATCATAAATACATTTCCTTCCCATTTATTTATTACCAGAGAAGAAGAGAAGAGATTGAGTTGTATGTATGAATTTTGCCTCCTTTGTTTGTTATGAAAGGTTGCATAATAACTATATTCCAACCCTTTTAGTACACATTAAACCCTAAACAGGAACGTAATCGAATATATCATGAGAAATAAATATGAATGAAATAATTATATAATATCGGGTTGCATTTGCCCAGAAAACGGAAGTTTTTCCTCCTATTTTATTTTTTCCCTGTTCCTAAAATCATTTTATGTTACAATTTTTTTTTTTACTAATTATTAACTTGGCCTCGTAAATACATACATATCTTCCAAAACAATACAGAGTTTAGTTCCCGAGTGAGAAGAACAGGCTTGCTCTTTTCCAAAAAGAAAAATAACATATCCGTTTTCACCCATTTCACAGAATGACATGAACAAACATTCTCAGCTTTTGAGTTGACTGTCTTCCTGTCATACTTGCTTTTAAATAAATGCTTTCATCCATCCAGCCAAATCTCATCTTTATTAACCAGCTCTAGAACTGGAAACAAGGCAACTTCTTTTTTTCTCTATTATTTTCTTAAATTACTTTTACTTTACCACGCCAAGCGAGCTAACGACCTTTAATACAGCTCCCACTAAATGAAACCTTATATACACTCTCCTACACACCAAAAAGGATTTGTACATACATATTTTGTAGGGTCTGACTTCAATCAAATTCCGAAATTCTAGCCAAATCAAAATACATAAGTTGAAGAGAAGAGGGAATGTTTGCAATAACAATTTCCGAGCTGGTTTAGTTATGAAAAACGTCAACCCAACCGACTTGGAGTGATGGGTGACGGGTGGGTGTATGTACATACATATGCACGTACGACGATGAATGTTTGACAGCTTTTCTCCGATTTACTAAACTTCATTTCATACATACATATTGAAACTTTCCGGTTTCAAACAAACCCTCGGAAGAACGAGTAAGAACTCTGAACTTTTGTGACGTGGTGGCAAGTTTTCTGTACATGTCACAAAATATTGCCAACAACATGACGACGTGAATATGGATGGAGGATACGGGTGACTGGTTTAAGCAAAATAAGGTACGCTTCGTTAAGTGTGGGTACACCTACCTTTAAGTGTGACTGGGCTACGGATCGATTCCTTCCCAAAAACGCCGGGTAGCTCGGAGAGACAAACGCTTTCGTACAAAACCCACCCACACCCTGAAACACCGAACCTTGTATTCAGCAAACAGGACGGCGTAATAAGGAGTGATACATTCATGAATTGCATTGTAATGAAACCCACCGTGTTGGTTGAGCTGGTTCCAATGGCGATTTTATGTATGCGTTGGCTGGGTGGGCGTCACATCATGTTTGGGTATAAAATGAGAGGATGAGCAGTTGGTGATGAAACCTGCCATTATTATCTCGTCTCCGTAATGACACCTTCACCTCCATTGGACAAGAACAAGGCTCCGCGTAATTATTTCAGCTATAAAATGAATTATTTTAATAATTGAATCATTTAAGATCCATTTTTGTAAAATGGGTGTCATTATTTTTGCATATTGTTTTAAGTAAATTACGCAATGTCCAAAATTTCCAAATTGATTCGGTCGGGGTGCATTTTCTTTGAGTGAAAGCCTCCTTCATTATGTTTTGCATATAATTTTATGGGAGTCCACTAAGGTCCAAAATTTTCAAATTGATTCGGGTGTCTTTTTTTGAGTGAAAGTATAATTTTGTGCAAATTACGCAATGACCAAATTGATTCGGTCAGGGTGTCTTTTCTTTGAGTGAAAGCGTCCCACTGGGAGAAAGCCGCGTGAGACGGCAACAACACTCGAGGTATGAAGGACACTTGACAATTTGGGGGATTGATGGATAATGATGACAACACCCAATCAACAATTAGCAAATTGACGAGTTGGAAATGCGCAATGTGGAATAATTCAAGAGCACTTTTCTCCTCCAATTTCTTCATAAATAAGTGAACTTTAATTCATTTTCTCTTCAACCTTCTTCAACATAATGAGATGACATTTGAGTTAACATGTACGGAGTGGGTAATAAGTAGTAAATAATAATAGTTTGTAGTACATACTTTATCGTCGTCGTCGATGATTGGATGTGAGGAATTAACAAACAATTGTGTGTGTCCTTTCTGTTAAAAGCTACTTTACAATACGGACGACTCTCTACTATTTATGTAAATTCTGATTCTTTCTCAACTTGAATAGTCAAAAATTCACATAATTTTGTACAACTTTTGTATGCAAGGAAATTCTCTAATTCTTATGCGATCAATAAAACGTATCATGTATGTAAATAGTCTGTGTTTGGTCTTTAACTCTGTTCTCTCCAGGATTAAACTGGATGAAATGTACTTTAATAAAAAATAAATAAAACTCGTTCAAGCAATTTTACAATAAAATTAAGTCTCATCTCGTCTCTACATAAAAAAATCTTGTGTGTCACTTTTTGCTTAAACAATTAGTTAAATATAAATATATGTAGGGAACCTTGTTGTCTTTGGGAAATGTGATGAAAATTACGTGAATTGAGCTTTAAAAACATTACATAAGTCAACAAGTGAGACGACGATTCATGCCCAATTTTTTCACCTGATTGAACCCTATAAATGCTATATACCTCTGATTACCTCTCATAAATAAGTATGATTTGTAATAGTACATCATCATCATCCTCCGCCATGTAAATAGTTTTGTTGTTTGGTTCAACTAACTGAGCCACATTATCACATTTCCTGTTCAAAGGAACACTAAAAAAACTGTCCGCAAAAAAAATTCTTAACTTGTAAAATAGTTTTTTCACAAACCGGAACTACTACTGAATTGCACTTAACAGAATTGTTTTCGAAAAAAAGGGATCACAGTAAATCATACAAGTCCTTGAAATATACGATGCAACTACTCTTCTAAAAAAATCTAAACTAAATAAAAACGATCGATTGCAATGTGCCTTTTGATGTAAATAATTTTTGTAAATTTGTAAATATAGTCTCAAATTAGTAACGAATTAATCCCAACCTGACCTGAAATAATGTTGCTATTTAGTTTGTAAGAGGTGATTCTTCTCCGATGGTTGGATCATATCATTGGATGGAATGGCAGTTAGTTCAATTTAGATTACTAGAAAGCAGCCGTCGGCATGTGATGATGGTGGATGGGGGAATTTGTCGACGGAGGGGTGGGTATTGATCCCTGACATACGTACCTGGAAAAACATGAAAAAAATCCTTAAAATATGTCCTTAAATAGGCGACGGTGGGTGCAAAACTCATTGAAACACTGTAGCATATGAAAAAATATGCCATGATTTTCCCAACATTTTTTTATGTACTTACCATTCCGACAAATTGTTCTGTTGCGTCGCCGCCATACTGAACAAGTGATGGTTCCCATGGTGGGGGTGGTGGTGGTGAGAGGGGTGAAGGCCAGGCTGCGGCTGTAACAGTCCGCCGGGCGGAAGGCCTTGACCAGATACTAATTGAGACCGAAAATCGTGCAAGTTTTGACTTTGGAGTTGCTGCTGCTGTTGCTGCTGTTGAGATTGTGGAACTTCCTGAAAGACCAAAAAAACGGTTCGAAATTAGCACTTACTTCCGATTTCACCGAATTTTTCCTTACCTGTTTTGTATGTTGCTGATGATGCAAGTGGGGCGGCCACCTCGGAACATTTCCCTCATCGGACGAGATATCTGGCAAAATGTGGGTGGGTGACGTATTTTGCTGCTGCTGCTGCTGCTGCTGGTGAAGGTTATTGTTATGATTGTTGCTGTTCTGCTGTGACGGGGGGGACGAGGCAGAATTGTGATGGGGTGAAGGTGGCGATGATGAATTGTCCGAGTCATAGGCTGACCCTGGAGGTGGAGACTTGCCATGCACCTTCATATGCTTACGTAATGAGGAAGGATGTGTATAACTCTTGTCGCACCCACGAACCTACGGATGAAACCAGAAACCATGGAATGTCAAAACTATGCATGTCTTCATACTTCTTCTTACATTACAACAATAACGTTACTCTCATTTCATTAAGATTTTCATTAAAACCGTAGCGTAACTTGCGTGTATCTCTGTCTGATCTTTAACAGAGACGACACGAGGTGATCAAATAATACACATTCACAATATAACCTCGCCCCAACTAAAGTGCAGCTATTATGCATACCTTCGACTATGCACAACTACCCAAACTTTCATTAACCTTCTTTTCTCATAATATTTTTTCAACCAATTGTTACCGTCCACTCGAAGGCGAGATAAGTAAAATAGTTCTTGAAAATTTCAATAGATTTTTTTTCTATTTAGATATTTCGCACTCTCAAAGATCTGCGCATAATAATAATGTAATTACTTATTATTATGTAACTAACTTTTTCTTGCAGATACCAGTTTTACAAGATGTTATAAAATTTAATTTACCCATCACCTCACAAACTCAAGATATTTAGAGATGAAAAATCCACTTTTTTAATGGGAAAAAATTTTATCCGTCCTGTTTCGTATATTGCAAATTAATTACTACATGAATTGAGCGATCGTCCACATTCTTGCGATATTGACACCCTCAAAAACCTGACTTCTTTTCATTCCATCAACATTTTGACACTTGCAAAATATTCAGTCAGTTGCTCATCGTTGCTTTATTTAAATGTGCTTTTTACTAATGCATATGACAGTAAGTAGTTGGTTGCAGTTTTTGTCCGCATTATTGTGTTCCTCCTCCTCCTCCTGTTTAGCTTATGTAATGTTGCGTGTAATCACATTTTACTAACAATGAACACAATGCAATCTTCAACCTAATATGTAATAGCACCCTGTCAAATCAAAGTCGAGAACGGCCATTGCATTATTCTTGTTCATTATTATATCCACAACAGACAAGTACTGCTTGAAATATCAAAAAAAGTTGCAGGCATATTTTTTCCCCTCCGTCAAATCATCCACGTCTACTCCTGCTAATAGTCAAATATTCCTTGCTTCATCTCATCAACTACTCGATCTTCTCTTGTATTTTTTTTACTAAAACTTATCCCCAACTAACTAAAATGCTACTTAATGATGATACGAATTACAAGAGGATAATCTCTTACCTTGCAGTTGTACGGCTTATCCGACGTGTGGACGTGAGAATGTTTTTTCCTGTCGGAACTATTTGCGAAGCGACGATCACAGCCATCGTATTCACATTTGAATGGTTTTTCACCTAAAAAAATGGGAAAAAATCATAATTTTTAAAATGGTCATCAAATTTTGGGCTCTTAAAGAAATTAATGAAAGCAATTGACACGAAAATAAGCTGAAAGAAAGCGAGTCATACTTTAACTTTGGTTTGTCTCGATAATAAGATTAATAACAATATATTAACGATAACAAAAATTCTTTCAAAAAATCCGGAACCCTCGAATAAGATTAATGTTCATATACTCTAATTTCCAACAAGTGCAGCAGTTACATACGTCTTCAGTAAGAAAACATTCTTTAATTTCAAACAGTTCAGAACTTTGTGGAAATTGGTTTAAACTTTTTTGGCCCAAAAGGCAACGTAAAGAAATGTGCTTAAAGAATGTCTTCTTCTTCTTCTGAGGGCCTGTTTTTCACACAAAACACAATACTCTTCACCATCTGAATGGGAGTTATACATACTTAAGAGAAGCATCATGCATCCCAAGGAGGAATAAATAACAATGGTGTCCTCAAGGGTCATTTTTCTAAGAAGAACGTCGTCCTAAAGAATATTACGCTCTCGCACCCTTCTTCTTCTTCCCAAATGTTGATGGCAAGTTATTTTATTTTACTTACTTTAACAGCCATAACCTCTCTTCTCCCACAATCTATTTATCCATCTATCTCATATACCAGCTACACATATTATTGCACTTCTTCTTCCCAACTTTTGGGAATTATTGCCATTGCTAAACTTTCAACTTTACTTCCAAAAACTTTTCTAGAGTGTGAGAAGCAAGACCTTCTTGGACAGCCGAGTCCTTTTCCACACAACAAATGAATAGAAATTATTGTAACATTCTTCCACCATAAACCTCCCTCAAGAAGAAGTTTCTCCCTTTCATAAATAAATCCTCAAGAAGAAGAAACTTTGCATTGTGGTGGTGACCTAAGCGTAAGCAGAGAGGAGATGGACACTAGTAAATCGTATTGTAAAAACCAACCAATATATTATCATGTCGCATTTATTGCCATTCCTAAATCTTTGAAGAAACAATCGAAATAGATTGGACTGAATTGTCTCAATGTTCTTTTTTATGTGTGTTGGCACACACCACCAAACCAAGAAACTATTGATTATCGACTTTTTTTGGCAGAGTGTGACCAGTAAAAAAAAGAGTTAAAAATATTTAAAGAGAATGGTATATACATTTGTCTCTTTCGATCACTCATTTCCATTAAAAAAGGGTCAGTTAGTTAGTTAAATATGTAGTTGAAAAATTTCGGGTAAATATTTCCTGTCCATAGTTTATTTATTTTGGGTGGAATTTGCTCCGTACATTTTTTAACCCTTGAGCAAAGTTTAAATGTTTCAACCCTGTCTTCTGGCAGTTGTACGATGAGTAAGTATTTTGGGCACACGAGCAACGTATTAAATCCATTAGGAAGTGAGTGATACAAAATATTACTTTTGTGGTGGTGGGGTCGTGTCAAAGTATGAAACAATTCTTTCCATTCTGAACGGATAATTTATTTCTTGGGTTGAAAAGGTGAGCTTCCAGAGTAATAAGCACACAGATGGAGAGTAGTAGTAAGCTTTTTTTTAGAACATGAGGTAAACCAGGGATGATAACTTTGGTAATAACAATATTTCACGTTCGAGTGGACGGAAAATATCAAGTGGTGGGTCGAGAAGGTTGGTCTTGTTGATTTGATGATTTTAGGTTTCACTAATCACCAATTACCAAATTAGTCGAATTATGTAACAGATAGATAATTTAATTGTGTCTTGTAAGCCTGTTATTATTATTATTCTGCTAGATTTCCCATGGTGGTGGCAACATTCATCAATCAATTCACACATTTTCCCCAACAATCCGTCAACATCACGGCATTATTCAAGTCGCGGACACGATTTGAAATTTCAAAAGAGTAAAAGTCATGCCGATCGGTACGACATTTTTCATGACACGACTTCAACCCGGTCGTCGTCATCAGCGTCGTCGACTCCATGGCCATTTTACGTATCTCTACAGAGAAGAAGACCTGTCAATCATCCCGGAGGATCGATCCACGTCGTCGACATCACAAGACGACTACGACTCAGGTGGCCTTTTCCCTTTCTTGGAGAGGAGAGATGCCTCATAAACTGGATGTGGACACAAGTCGTATTTTATTTTATAGCGTTGTTAGCAAATGAACCCCCATAAAAGCTCAAGAGCTAAAACTTTTGCTCTACTTTAGGCGTTTTTATGGATTGGATGGATTGCAGAATTATTTGAAATTTGGACAAGTCAAGGAGTGAAAACTGAGTCATAAACCCCCTGGAAGTCTCACCCACCTCGAAACCCAGGTTTCAATTGTTGATCACCAATGCATCTCCGGAGGGGTCTTTACACACTTCCACCTCCTCCACATACTGTGGGAACGTGGCCACCGCACGTGCGAATATGTATAAACGATGGGATGGAATTATTATCATCCCCACCGCCGCAGCGATCCATCCTCCAACACTATTGTCAAGACCAGCTTGTGACCAGTTCATTCAGGAGGAAAAGTCTTTCCCAACTTATAACGGAACCTAACGCATGACAAGTGTCAACTTATGTAGTGCGTCGACAATTTATTACTTGGGAGCTTCTCATTAAGGTCTACTTTTATTAGTGATTTGCCACTTGATTCCTGTGAGTGACGTGACATCCTATTTACTTACGAGTGATTTATGCGTAATTAGATCAACCAAACTAACCGAATTCATGCGACTTAAAAAAAGTATATACATTTAATTTGCATAATTTGAATTTTTCTGTCTTTTTCTACGCATTTCTTGGCAATGAATTGAAGATAGCATTCGAAATATTAAGTAAACATTTTCCACTAAAACTTCCGTGTAATGTAATCCAATTAAGAAATTTAATTTCATACAACTTCAAGTACATAAATATTTATGATTATTTTCTCGAGCTTGGAGAGAAAATCTCATTTCATTTTCCTCAAAAAGCACCCTAGCGTAGCGTGGACAAGAAATCAATTCGGAAACAAATGGCTCGATTTTCCTGGAGAGGTTGCACACAGCGAAATGATAAAAACTAAACTAAGCTTTGGGGAGTTTCCACCCTCCCGTTCAGAGAACGATCTCCTCCTCTTTAAATAATATCGGTGGAGTGCAGTTGACTACATGAACCAACCCGGGTTTTCTTTCACCAGGGAAAACTGGCAACGTTAATTTGCGTGTTAGACATCCACTACGAGTTGACCCTACCACGACCAAAGTGAAATGCGTGTCGTTCGTAATCGTAGAGAAAGTAAGTAAGGAGAGAAAAAAAAACTTTTTGTTGCCGACTTTGTAACAACCCGGATGGTAAAACATAATACAACAAATAAATGGCGAATTTGATAAATTGAAGTGAACGAGGCCCTAAAAATCCCGTATTTTGCACTCACCATTTCCTTTCAGTATCTGAACATATGCAAGGAATTTACGAACAAAGGGTGCCACCGATTATTATCAAGGTCTACCTGGAGACGACGACGACGGAGACGACCAAGATGAAAGAAAAAAGTATGATTAAGATTTATCAAGTGTCAAGAATAATCATCAAAGGCTGGTCTTCTTCCACTCTTTATTTACCAGCACAACATAAAAGGACGAAGGACCATCTATCTCACGAATCAGTATCCACGCTTTATTTTCACGCAAATTAATTATTCTTGATTACAGAAGAATGAGAAGAAGAAAAAAAAAGTGGGAGAGCGACACTACTCACGAAATGAAAAAAAGAAAAGAAATATATCCAATCCACAAGCAGACTTCCTTTCATTTTTTGTTACTAATTTATTTAGCAACACTTCGGAGAATGCTTGGAATAATATTTCATGGATAAAAGGGAAAGCTCTCTCTCTCCAGTTTTATGCCGTTTCGCTCTTTACAAATTCTGAGATACACCAAATCATTAATTGAGCTAACTATGTACGTATCTATACCACGATCCAGGTAAATAGGACTGTTCTGTGCTGTTTTAATAAAAAAGCAGCAGCAGCAGTATTTCCAACCCTTTTTGTACCACCAAAACTCGTATCCGTCTTCTTAATGACAGTGTGTAATTTAAAAATGCGTCAGCTACTCCCTTCTTCTTGCACGCTACTCATCATCAATCTAATTTCAGCCTCTTTTATGACTTGACTACTATAAATTAACGTGGCTAATGCTCTAATAGATAGAAGAACCAGCTAATAATCCAACAACAACCCTTCCCTTCTTCCCCGTTTTTTATTCACACGTTATATAAACCACCAATATGCGGATCGGATCGGCTGAAAGTGAGCAGATGAACTTGGGCCAAATAAGCAATCAGGAGGAAAAGGTTGTCTTTGTCTTTTTCTCATTTTCTCCATTTTACACAATAAATTAAAGAGGAATGAAAAATATATCTCGTGTTTTCCAACCCAGAATGAATATTTGCATGTTTATTAGTGGAGTTTGCCATTTGCACGAGAGGATCCTTTGATTAAGTTGCTTGTCAAAGTAAAGTGGAATGAAAATCTAATCCACTCCTCCATCCATCCAATCTCTCGAATGACAAACAATGCCCAAGGTAGACAATGGGCGATGTTTGATAAAATGATCCCACGCCTGCTTCTCCTCGCAGGGATCCAAATTCCAATTTTCTAAGAATTCTTTCTTTCGTGCGAAAATGTTTGATCATCTGATACGATCAGATATCATCAAAGGGTTCGTTGCTATTTATTATGCAAATTTTATATCGGATGTAATTTGCTTCTCTAATATATTGCTTCACAGCTCCTCAGACAATGGTGGATTTTATTTTTGCGAGGAAATTGGCAAATTTTTAGGGGAGGAACAATACATACAAATTATTTATCGTAACGTAATTAGCTAGCTTTGATGGAAATGACACATTTTTCAACAGATCTGACTTTAAAAAAAACATGCGTTTTACTAACAGATCGTATCACATTGTTGACAGTGACGCTGGTTGACAATATATTCATTTCAATTATCGTCACCATCATCACGGTCCCTTTAACATTCGGTGGTTTGGTTTGGTGTAATCTCTCCAAATGGTAAATGCCCACTTCACTTAAATCATCGGAGGTGAACTGTTTGTAAAAATATTTTCCTTCAAGTCCTCCTCACTCACCCCATGGAAAATAATAATAATAATCTATTGACTCAGAGGCAGAGAGGTTCCAAAAGCCGGAAAAAAATCGAGATTATTACCACCATTTCTTTACCACACGAATAAGGGACGAGGAGCCCTTAGAAATATAAGTCTAGGCGCTCAATCTACATGTAAAGATTTCGCTCCTGCATGAAAGACGGATTTGAATCCAAGTCCTCATATAAGGCACACTACCACAAGTCGCATCCCAATTCAGTGAATGCAGTCAGTCCTTCCGACAGTCCGCCTATTTCGCTTTCTTACGAACTTTTGTTAATTCCCGAAGAATGGATGGGGCTGGAAAGTTTGGGTTTTGAAATCACGGCACGGCACGGCACTTACTTGAAGGTTTTCAATCTCTGTTCTTCTGGGCGTCTTTGAAAGTGCGGAAAATCGGATAGAGTATTGAAATGAAGGAGAGAGAGTTCATATCGCTCATTCATAATACATCATACATAATCATCAATAACAACACGAAAGGAAGTGAGAGGGCCCTTATTCTTTCATAAGAGATCTCTATAATAATATTCGCTTTGTGGAGTAGTATTATTATTCCCTTCCATACAATTATGTGTCAAGGGTCCAGTCAGTACCCACCGACCAACTAATCTGTCAATGCTCCAGCCTAATTTAGATGAATCGCTGTAAAATAAATTCGCACGGGCAATAATTCTTCAACTTTTGTTGACCAGCACTAAAAACAAACAAGTCATGTCCTATCTCATCCCATTATCCTCTGGGGAGGAAGACAGATGATCCTGATGGGGTTACTACTACTAAAATGTTGCGATTTGCACTGGTGGCAACACAACACGGTGTTTGTAGAACAATGAAAAGGCACATCTTTCTACAAAAGTGGGGTCCGTACAGCATCAACTTCAATTTTAACAATAATTCAACTTGAGCCCCGACAGGGACGGATTGTTCGGAAAGCGGTAGGGACGAGAGAGGGCCCTTGAAACTCAAATCCGTGAATGGAGAAAGCATTCGTGCGTCAAATAAGCTCACCTACATGTGAATGTATCTACGTCCATCTGGACAAGTAGATACGTACAAAATGAAATGGTGGTGCTTCAAATGTAACAAAAACTAGATTTTAAATTCTAAATCCGACCAGATTGCTATTAAGTCTCATCATTTCGGTAGTAATAAGTAGTAGCAGGCAGCGTGCTATTCAATGGACCCGCATACATACCCGTCCTCCTATTTAAACTCGCATACATAATTGCCCCCTTGCCGAATATACGAACGGATGAAATAAAATGGCGACGGATTTGATTCGATTTAAAACTTTGATGAATGTCAACCCTCCATTAAACGTCAGCAGCATGATCATCTCTCTTCTCGTTTGTATGTATGTAAAACCAATGTAATACACTCATCCTCAGTCAGCATTACTTACATCAACTCAGGATTTACATGACTTGACACGGTGACAAAGTGACAGAAGGTTGTGTTACCTCACATCTCACCCACTCATCCCTCCCTCCCAACAATCGACGCATTCTGGACATGCAGTCGGTCAAAGAAAAGCTATACACGCATCCGATTTAAATGAAGGCGATCGGGTGGAAAAGTATTTGTTAAAATGTATACGACTGCCAAAGACGGATGGATGGATGCATTTATTTACAACAACGTGACTACACTGATAGGATGGCATCCCTGGGTTTGTTGACGACCATTTGTTTCCTGATATACAAACCTCTCCTGAAAAATGCCGACCAGAAAGGCAGCACGAACCCTTCAGTGGATTGGCTTTATTTTTAAGGGAGCAGAGAATGTATGTAAAATATTCAAAATTGGAAACTGTCCCTTCCACAAAAGCTTAAAAGCTCATCCAGCCCTTCTTCTTCCAGGGAAAATAAATAAGTGCTGGCCAAACCGTGGCTAATCCTTTTTAGGGGTCCAAATACCATATCCGTACCGAAATGCTTACTAAGAAATAATTTAATTGTAGTACAGTTAATTTCCTATCTACGCATTAGTCTAATATTCAAAATTTACTACGCAAAATAATTCTGATGTCTGATTTATATGCAGAATTTAATTCCTAAAACAACTCATCGCTTATGTGATGATGATGAATGGTCGGACGGCACTTAAACTTTTATAGACTATCAGATCGAGTACTACACAATAACAGTTTTAATGCTTGTAAAAAATAATGGAGGAAAAATCATTTCTTTTTTATGCGCCATGCAGAAAAACAACTCGTCAATTCAATCCAGATCGTAAAAATGTGTGCAAAAAAAATCCTTCGCGAATATTTAACATGGATTCGTTTCATTTACAGAATTGTTATTTTCATTTGAATAATTTGATTCAAATAGTTAAAAAAAGTACTTTGGTAGAAACCAATTTCGTTTATTTAAACGACACCCACGTCCTAATTTGATTGCTGATATTATTATCATTGCTACAATTCGTGAGAACGAATTTGAATTTGGCAATGAGAAAAAACGCTGTACAAAAATATAAATCTGGGCTTATTTACAACACGAATAAATAAATGGTTACAAAACTAAAAGCTTTCTGAGCCACGTTTAAAGGAGAAAAAGACAAAAATAAATTAATATCTCTCGAGGGCCCATCCTTCGTCGCCTTTTATAAAAAAGCTGTCTTTTTAAAAAAGATAAAAAATTGGGTGAATGTCGGTGTAATTTTGGGCATAAAACAAGAGACCCCAGAGATATGAAGAGACAACGAAAATTTCCGAGAAGGACTAGGTGACAGGGACGCTTGTAAGTCACCACGTTGGACAAGCAAGTTAAAATTTTTCCAGCTACTTAAATACTAACCAAACATCATTTATAAAAACGAGACACTTTGCCCGGTGTGTATTTGTAACCTTAATTGTCATTCCAGACTTTATGGGTGAGTTTGGTTTGGGCAAAACTGCCCTCTAAACCTTATAAGTTAAGCCCTATGTCCTTCCCATTGTCCGAAGCATCCCTATAATAGGAACATGCACCATTGTGATGAAGAGCAAATGACCAGAACTAACGAGACAAAACACCAACCAACCAGCCAAGATTTTAAGAATCTAGTGTCAAAGATTATAAATGAGAATTTCGGTGGCAGCAAAAGGTCGACTCACTCCATGAACATGACTCTTGTAACTAGATTAGAAAAAGATAGTGGAGGAAAAACACCTACTTTTGTCCGTAAAAATCCTTTCTATGAGAAAAACCTGCCTTAAAACCAAACCACCACTGGCTACAAATACTACTTGCTTTGTACACCAAATTGATGGGAGAAGAGATAAAAATCAGACAAAACTAGCAACTTATTCAATAGAATTCAGAAATTTTTGACCTTTAAACAATAATAACATTTATCACGTCATTGATACCACAATCGTCAGTTATCATCTAGTTTTTCGATTATCATTCCATAACAAGCTTAACTTATTTTTGGTCATATTTCGAAATTTTTGCGAGAAAAAATGCCCGAATAAAAGAAAGTACAACTTGTTTTTTTTTACTTACCGGTATGTGTTCTTTTGTGGATTTTAAGATTCTCCGATCTCGCAAAGACTTTCCCACAGCCGGGAAACGGACAAGGGAACGGTTTTTCGCCCGTGTGTACTCTGACATGATTGACTAATTTGTACTTTGCCTTGAAAGGTCGCCCATTTCGGGGACAATTTTGCCAGTAACAGGCATGATTCGTGATCTCGGGGCCACCAATGTGTTCAACCTGCTACGGCAAAGGATACAAAATTACAAAATAAATTACTTTTGTTATTTAAAAAAATAATCTTCTTCTCGCCAATTAAGTAAAAAAAAATATGGATGATTTATTACTCTTCCGACTCACCGTAATATGGGTGACGATTTCGTGCATACTGCAAAATGTTTTCATGCACGGTTTTTTAGGATTCGGTTGATCCACATCCACCCAAAGACACGTCACTGTAAAAAAATACAGACATTTCAGTAAAACATTTCAGTAAAAAAGTGTATTTTCTTACTACTTACACTCTTGTTTGATAGGTGGTCGCATATATCTGAAAAATGCACCCGACATGGAGTGCATTGTTTGAAACTGGTCACGAGCATATACTTCCATCCCTGCAAAATAATAGCGATTTATTTTTTGCACATTCTTTTTTTAATTCGCAAATTTTTACCCAGTCTCATCTGTGAGTTGTGATCATGGGTCGGATGATTCATTAAAGGAGGATGGAACAAGACATGGTGGTGATTCGGTGTATCTCCGAACATTGCATTTTGTGTGTCAACAGGAGGTAGAGTTGCCCCGAGATCTCTGTATTTCCAATGAAATTATGCATTACATAAAATGAATTGCGTGTTCGGGAAGCTAATTTAGAGAGGAGCAAATTGGAAATAAATGCGATTATCTACACACCTTGACCGGAGGAGGTGAGCAGCGGCGTAGGACATTTGCGGATTGTGGTGGTAGCCGTTGGGCTGGTGGATTTGTTGGTGGTGGTATTGAGTGGGGTGTTGGTGGGAGGGGTGGTGGTGGTGGGGGGCAAGGTGGGAGTGGTGAAAAGGGTGGTGTGACGGGTCTCCACCAGCGGAGGTGATGCTGGGTGGAGATAACTTGAGACCCATGGAGGGATGCGTGTCCATAAACGAGTTCAACATGGTGAAAGGTTTCTTAATTCGAAAATATTTAATAAATTAGAATTTTATAAAATTTCAATTCTTTTAAGTGAAAGTCGAATGATTTTGCGAGAAAAATATTAAAATTTGCTTTCACTTCAGTTTCAGTTTTATTCTTTGAGACAAACGAGAAACGAAACTTTGAAACGAATATTTGTTTGTAAAAAAATTGTTATTTTTCAAAATGCAAAAAAAACATCTCAAAAACTTAAGTTTTACTTGTAATCGACATTTCCAATTATTTTATTTAAATACCATAAATGGATTTCACTAACCTTTCGTTTTTATTGAAACAATGAAAAGTTGCAAATTCCAGGCGTACGATAAATATTTTCACTTCACTTAAAATGTACTGGAAGTGAAACTTATTCCACACTTTAAAAGACTGTCATAAAACACGAGATCAAAAATTGCAAGACACTTTTTTCCTATTAAAGAACTAATTTACTAACGAGAAACATTTGACTAATCACTGAAATGAAATACACTTTTCGTAAAACTAATTAAAAAATGTATTGAACACTTTGTCGTTTTCTCTGCCGGTATTAAAATTCCAGTTAACTTTCTTCCACCAACAATTTTTTAAGTTAACTAACACCCACGTGGCATGGATAAACATGTGCAATTATTATTATTAAATAACTGTTCACACCTAAAGTGACTGAGGTCACTGTTGCAAATGTTGGGAACAAGAAGAAGAATAAGAAGTGGCCACATGTGGCGATAACTCATGTAGAGTTCACAGTACGAAACTATCTGATCACTGATGATTATTGAGTCTCTTGCACGCCAATACCTGGAAATTATGACGCATTTAATTTAACAAATTACCACTTTCTCCAGTAACTTTCTCCTTGCTAAACTTTTGCAAATAATCCAAAACGTGTCCAAAATTTCCTGGAGATTTTCAAACTTTTATAGTTAATCTCTATTTCGTGTAGCTATATGAGATTTTTGTCTCAAGTAGCTCTCTCTCTCTCATTTGGAGAGCAAGTACTTGAGCGTGTGTGCCGTCGGTGGTAGTTGTAACCTCAGTGTGACCCCTTCAAGTGGTACTTTGAGGAAAAGGAAAAAAGTGGGCCAAAAAGGAACCTCTTACTGTGACTCAATGTGAAGCCCAACTGGGAGTAAAGTAAAACTTGAGGAAAATCTCTACCAGAATCATCATCGATAGCTCTCTCAGCTCTCCTGCCTGGCTATCCACTCCACGATGAAGAACGTACGTACGTATGGTGGTTTTTGGGATATGTAGTCGTCGTGTTAAGAGATTTGCCCCTTTGCGTCGTAGCTCCTGACGACGGACCCCGTTCACACCGCTTGGCTTGGAGTTTGGAGTCATACGGCGTCTCCTCCCTCGCCAAGCGATTGGCGATGCTGCGCCATGTATCGTTCTTATTGGCTTGGCTGGATATCCAACCAGCAGGAAAGAAGCCCACCTACCCAGGAATCGCAACATCCTCCAGGACCGCCTTCCTGAGAAACGTCGCCATGTCCGACCCCCTCCTCGGCGTCAGTTTCCATGCATGCATGCAACTAATTCTCGCTTCTCCAGGTGGAAAAATTACAAAAAGACTTATCTCGGCGACAAAAAGATGTGCAATCGTGGAGTAATTATTATGTATCAAAAATCTCGTCGTGGTATCTGGCACACTTGGTATTAATGTATTAATTAGCGCTTTTTCTCGAGCCCTTGTGGGGTAGCAGCACCTAAGTAGCGTCTTCTTGAAGTGAGTCAATTGTTGTCGCTGTTTTCTCCATATGATTAAATGCACCATGTCGATTTCATGTAATCAAACGCCAGGTGAAGTGGGATGTCATACCGGGAGGATTGCTCGCTGTTTCAATCCGCACTCCCCTGCTGCCGATTCCTTAAGCTAACATTACACGCTGCGATTTCTTCTTCGTCTTGACATGGCAGGTTCCATAATATGACTCAAATGTCACCCCGGTGTTGTAATAAGAAGTTAATAATATCCGACAGTTTAGTGTAAACAGAATAAATACAATCGTCACAAGGGGATCTCGATGGCAGGGAAAAATCCATAAGTGTAAAATTGCTTTATATTTATTCAATCTCCTCAACTTCAAGGGTGGCCATCGTAAAATTGAGACAAAAGTGTAATACGTATGACTTGGTTGGTTGGTTGGTTGGTGAGGAGTCGATGATAATTCAAGTTTTATGAGAGGGCATAAAATATGTATGTTTGGCAGCTCGTCAAATTGGAGGTGGATATTAGTATGACAAGTAGTTTTGTATAAGACGTCAACACTTTGAGAGAGGTGGATACTTAATATTTCGTGTTTTTTTTGTTATATTTTTGGTAATTAAATCAGACTACTTGATTTGTATGCACATTTCAATTTGATGACTGGTAAACAAAGTGACATAATTTTTGTGTTTTGTTAAGAGAAATAAGTATTTATGTGAAATTGAGCAGATGAAATCAATTTTTGAAGGATTTAATTGAGAATATTTATGTTGTGAACTCTGTAGAAAAATAAGTACTCATTTTTAAACGATATTTAATTGCGTTCCTCTAAAACCATAAAAAAAATGAGAACGCAGTACGTACGATTGAAATTGCGAAAAAATTGATAATTGATTAACATTTGAAATTGTTTCAAATTAATTTCATATGAAATTCGTATGAAAATGAATTTCATATAACACATGAAAATTTAATTGATGATGGAGATCAATTTTTGAGGGGTTTTCTTTATAATCTTGTTCGACATATTTAATTTTTATGGCCAACTTTGCAGAAAACAATTCATTTTTAAACGATATTTAATTGCCTTCCTCTTAAATCATAAAAAATTTAGTACGCACTCAATTGAAATTGCGAATAATGTGCAATCTGCCTAAAAATAATTAATCAACATTCGTCATTTTGTAGTAAAAATATATTTCTGTCATTTACTTTAAATTGATGTAGAAGATTAAAAGTCTTGCATAACACGTGACCCAAATTAGCTTACTTTTATAGATTTTTTTTGCAAAATCCGCACCTTCAGCACTGTAAAATTCTTATACTTAATTTCATATTTTGCCATTTTTGTAGACAATGAACCCCTAACCAATTTCACAGCCCTAGAAGAAATCAACCACCTGCTAAAAATATACTTTAATCTGCATATGCATCCACGTACTGCTCTCATTTTAAACCAACTATTATCCTCGAATTGAGAATAGTCACAGTTTAAAACGGTAATTTGGTCAATGCAAATTTTGTGAATATTCACAAAAGAACAGAAAATTTAATTTCGTAAGAAAATGTGTTTCTTTAGTCTCGGTTTTCTTTCAATCAAGCTACCAAGACTAAAGTGGAAAGGAAATAAATTTTGCCTCATGTCGCGTAATTGTAAGCTTTCCTCACGAGGCGACATATTTTTAAACACAAATTCATTGTGTCGAATGAGAATTTTATTCAAATCGCGTACATATTTACAAGGATTCACGCTTCTCAAGGAGCTATTTCGTATTTCCGTAACTTTCCCCATGAATAATACAAACCGTGATAATTGGATTCATTCGTCAGGTGGGTTTGCCCACCTGAAAAAAAAATACGACACAAAAACTTCTACACCTACAAAATTTTTGTTTTGTAGCAATTTTACCTATTTCACAACATGGCTATAAAGTCGAACTAATATGAGACTAGTTACATATGTACATACTTTCTCTTTGTATCACTTTGCCTCACAACCCCTTAAACTTTGCATGAAAATTTCATGAAAAACGGTACTAAACATTTTATCCCTAGTATTCTTTAAATCATCATTAATTACGAAATTGCCCACGTACTTCTATATACAAAAGTGGTTAACTCCACTAATGCACGTGGTCTGCCGTGATTGTTACGTAAGAATCATGACCACTAGAATTATGATACCTTAATACTTGCCAACAATGCCACAAGAATCTTCTTCTTCTTCAGCAGATTACGTGTTGTCAAGAATGAAATAATTAATGGTGAAAGAAGTATTAAAAGCTGCACAATGGTTGGACGACCACAATGTATTCTCGAGAAAGAAGGAGAAGATTATGACGTGGAATTATTATAAGAGATAAAATGATTTATGGTCGTTTTGAACACCACGTGCTCGTGCTCTCGAGGGCTCCCCCCTGCGCCGGACGACCTCATCTGCGACCCAGGTGGGGGGACTTACGTAGAAAAATCTCCTCTCCTCTGCCTAGATCACAATCACACAATTGAACAGAATTCCTCCTCAGAATTAGAATTATCTGAGCAAGGTAGTAAAAGGCCAGCCTCGATCATGACCATCATCTTGATGCACATGTCGTAACTTTTTAAAAACTTTGCCACAAAACCCTAAAGAACAAAGTCTTCTTTTTTGTAGAACAACATTCTTTTTTGAAATTTTTCATACGAATCCTTAAGGCTCTTACCTCACCTCATGCAGTCTCAATCTCCCTAATTTAATTAATTTCTTCAAAAATTTATGGAGCACCGCTTTTACCGTCTGCACACCCATGAAATCAAATAAAGGAAATGAAAGAAAGCCCAAATTGTGGCCGACAACCAAGAAAATAAAAAGTTTCCACAGATGCCACAAGCAATAATTTGTTCATTTATCATCGTCCACTTTTTCAAGGAGGAAAATTCCAGCCCCGAACTTTTAACAGGGAGGAAGAAGAAGAAGATCGTGGTGCCGTATTGTCTTGTCTGTCTATTCACTTATTGTATACTTTTTATTAAAAATTTCCAAAAATATTTGTGCCATCAGCACCAAAATGAAATATGATTTCACATTCTTTTCCTGAATTACAAATAGTTTATAAGTATTTTTGAAATTGGACGAATACACTTATTTCTCAGGTGGTGGATTGGATTTTCTTGGCAGGATGGATGATCTGGAGGAGAGATTCATTGTCTTTTCTACTCAAAGAGACAAAAGGGTGGGTACCCTGGTGAGGTGACTCTTTTAGCCTTTCCTGCTGCTTTCCTCCTATTCTAATCATCCCCAATAATTTGTATCATTTGTGTTCTTGCACCACCAGTTACGAGAAAGAATCCGGTGATGTAATAACCCCATTAGTGTGATGATGTTAATAATAATAATAATAATAAAAGCGAACAAGCAACGGGGATATTTCTGGATGAATTGTCCAGTCACTACTACTAGTTCAATGTAACGGAATTAATCTAAAAACACGGCAGGATTCATAGCAGGATAGATTTCAATTTCGTACACCTGAGATTTTCTCTTTCTTTCTTTCTTTATCTGTATTTTGACTCGAACTCCAGGACAAGATTGGCTCTGTCAACTTCTGGCTGTGCCATTCTGTTAGAGAGAAAATTGGATGAAAATCGAATCCTGGAGATGGATTTCTTCTTATAATTGGATAACATTTCCTAGTGTCATCCGGTATCAGAATTGTTCCTGCGAACAGGATGGCGTTGGTTTGGTGGAACAGATGGGGCTAAAAAATTGGGGGTACTTTTTGGAGATTATTTAAGTTTTCATATAAAAACCGTGACGTATATTTTCTTATTCCCCAATAATTTCATCACATTACTAGAATTAGAATCCGTTGTCATCTCCCAATCTGCACCTCCATCTCGAAAATATGTATAAACTCCACAATAATAAATAAATAAACTATGTACGTCACAAGTCACAGTGGGTGCAATTCATTTATTATCATTTGTCTGCCTTCCTTCTTCCAAGATTATTAAGATGCTGCATTTCTCTTGGTTAACTTAACATTAAAACAAATTTTAAATATCAAGCTGCGTATGAATTCAAGGTAAATCTAATCAAGCACACACACATGTACATTCAGCGTCCTCGTGGATAAGTCGTCATCATAAAATCTAGGGGGAAAAAAGAGTTAAAGTTAAGGAACCACCCCTGCTGGACTTAAGTGGGAGTCCCACTGACTTCTGGTCCTCTCAGTTCTATTTTTATCTGAAATACCACAGAACCAAGCGAGGTAAACAAATTAGACGATGGAATGACAGAACCGCGGGGGGAGCTGGCCACAAAATTTTGTAAAAATAAATAAAACAAACCGAAAATAAAACAAATCTCATAAAAGTCGCGACTCATTAGATGAATAAGAATTATGTTTTTCTTCTTCTTTTCCTAAAAATATTTCATTTGAGGTGGGTGTGTTTTTCGTTCTTCCTTCGTAATAATTTAGGCATAAAAATTGACAAAAAAAATTCAAAAATGGATAAATCACACCAGGGATTCATACATGGATAGAGACGGAAAGAAGGGTTGGAAAAGTGTGTGTTTTTCACTCTGAACAATTTTTTCGGTGATTTTATCTGGAGTGAAATGACGAGTAAAGGGACAAGATTGGACATTTTGATCTGGCCCAAAATTCGAGGAAAAACATGGTCCTTACTTTTCTATTATCTGTTTCAAAGCAGTTGACCGAACCAGAACAACAATGTAATGGAGGGGATAATACGTGTGTAAAAGGGGGCCTTATCTGTCCGTACATACATATTTTTGTTGCTTCACTGGTTAAAGATATCAAGATAAAAATGCAGAGAAATTGACTGCACGAACATATCGTCTCATTTTTTACCAAGAAATCGATTACCACTTCGAAATACATGTGTCACTTTGTACCCTCCCTCCCTGGGCACTTTTTCAATTTTTCATAATTCTTCAGGGGTCAAAAAGTCCTCTTTTGAACTGATTGTACAAGTGTAACGAGGGAATGAGTTACATACATTTCTTCCCTTATGCGATTGTATTCCTGCACAATCGCCTTCAACAATGGGTCCTTTATGCCGGCTGAGATGGGAAATTACTTGACTTTTGCTGAGGTCATACATACCAAAATAGATAGAAGATGGTGTGTGTGATACTATATTCAATAATTCTTTTTAATTTAAATAATTGACTTCCCCTCCTTCACTTTACCTTGGTTGTGTTGTAGAGACTTTTTCCTGGTTAAATATTGGTCCAAACTAAAATTATGTCCCCGGGGGAGTTGACATTAAATAGAATCGTATCACATAAACAATCCACAAAAGTACTACGTACACAAATTATGTACAACTTGACTCCTCAACTTGTGCCCTTGGCATTGTAGTAACACACCTGACTTTGTTCATTGTCCACTCCATCCACACCAAGACCAAGGGGACAGTCAGAGGTATATCAGACCTACCTACCTTCCTTCTCCATTAAATTGTACGACCTTAACCTACGAAAAGGAACGGTCATCATCTTCATCATCATATTTTCTTGGGAAGGAAAGAATGAGAAGATGCAGCAACAAGGAATTGTTTAAATGTCGAAGATTGCACCATGCAGAGACAAAACGCAGCAGAAGGGACACAACGAATCTTCTCTTCTCAAGTGCACATGGTTGGTATTCATCTGTTAATATTATTATCATATGAGAAGAAGTAGAAAAAAAAACTTGAGAATTTTTCGAATTGTGAATTGGGCAATTTTTCATCTCCTTTCTCTCTCTCGAGGAGTGTATAGCCGAATAAAAAAAGCCACCTAGGGAGCTGGTCAAAAAACGGCCTAGCCTTAAAATTTCCAGCTAGAAGGGCTCCTCAAGTGCCCACACCCCTCACCACCACCACCACGCACTAAAGACAATTCATTTGTCATCCTCTCCTCCTGAATGGAAAAGTTTATTGAACAGTCAAAGGTATTAAAATTAAAGATGATGATTTCTCAAGAGTGTGTCCATAATTCGTATAAATTCTCAGAGTGCCTCCAACCGAACCCTAAGTCGTATGTGCATTACATACTTTTACCATGTTTCTTTTTCTATACATTATTGATCAGAAATCCTGATTTGATCCTGTCCTCGATATCTCGAAATAATGAGAATCATCTTGCAACCATTATTGAACGTGTAACGCAATGGTAATAAAATATTAATATTTTATTGTACATTCATTCGCTGGATGGACGGTGTGTTAGTTATTGTTGTTGTTGTATCATTGTTGTACTTTTAATAATAATGTCGATCTCTTATCTATTATTATTGTTGTGCCATAAGTGCATATTTGTAGCGCTGGAGGAACGTTTATAAATAAATAGGATACCGAATTTATTAAAGATTTTATGTTTGGCATTCTTTATTTGAAAATAAATTCATTCAATTTTGAGATTGATTTCGATACGTGTAGGAACGAGGTACGACACAGAAAAGTAATTTATCATTTATTTCTCGCGAGGTAGAAAATAGTCTATTTCTCAAACACCATTGTCTCGTCGAATCTGAAATTCCACTCGAAGAGATGAAAAGATTGGTCACACAGAATTGGCTATTACCAACACTAATGGTGCATTTGATGGACGATAGCCATTAAGGAAAATGCATTCATCATCTTACACACACATACGAAAGAATTATGTCAAACCAAAATGGTCGCATTTGATGTGAGATGATTACAAGTGGGGGTTTATTAATCGGTAATCTTGTGAGTGCTCAAAATGGATGGAGTTAAATATTATGTGTGTGGATGGCTTGGTTTTTATACCGTTTTGAAATCGATAAACGGTAAAATTTTTGTTTGGAAATTTCGAAAAATTGGCTAATAATGCAATAATGCACATGCATTTTAAATGCTTTCTCCGAAAAATAAAAAAATCGAATTTAAAGAAACCTACAGTGCAAACTTGATATAGCCCGAGTCAGGCCAAGTTGTGTACTAACCCGATCCGACTTTTTTCATGAAATTTTCTCGTAAATGCGTATGAATAAATTTAATCCTGTCAACTACTGTCAACCGCTGAATCTTCGAACCTTATTCCTAATTTAACCCACGTGCAAAATTTCAAGTCGATAGGATAACAGCAAGATTCCTAAACTTTTTAGCTCGTTTCCGTGGAGTGAATGTATTAGGATTATGTAATGAGGTTGTCCAAGGATGAGCCATCTTTTAAAAATTATTAAAAATTTTCGAGTTGGGGACAGGCACGCATTTTTTGGCGTTGTCATCCGTTGTTGGGTGAGTGAGAAATTATTTTAAAAATTATTTTTGCTACATTTTCTGGGGACTGCTTTTAATTTTTAACTCGATTGCATATTACATATGTGATATTGATGACCATTTTTGTCCCCGATACTTTTATATATTTGTACACGTATTTATATGCATATTTTTATAAAGAGCACAACCAGGTAGATAATTCGAGTTCCGGAGAAAAAATTTTCATTTGTCTAAAACTTGACAAAATTTTCATTATTAAATTATCACTCCCACGATAACGGTGGACCTGGAGGACGAAGAGGAGGAGGATAATTTAGTTCTGGAAGATTTTGTAATTGATGAGGTAGCAGCTGCTGGTGCAGATTCAGAAACCACTCCTGCTGATACCGAAGATGAGTTGTTAACGGTATAAGTTTTTAAAATCATGAGGATGTCAATTTTTGTCAAGTTTTTTTAAAGATAAATAAACATTTCTTTATCTGGAACTCGAATTATCCTCCTGGTTGTGGTCGCTATCTTCATAAAAATATGTATACAAATAAGTGTAGAAATATACAAAATTATCGGGGGCAGAAGTGGTCATCAATATCACATAATATGCCACGATTGCTTGACTTTAAGTATCTAGGTAACGTTAGTCTCCCTTAACGGTTGCGACAAATGGTCGAGTTACAAATTAAAAATTCATTTTAAAATCGTTGGTTCAAAAAGGGCGTTTGAGTCTCCAACTACTTTGACCCTTAATAACTTTTGAATCGGCAGACATAGAGACTTAATTCTTGAGGATGAAATCATCGTAATTTTTTGATTGATTTTTTAAGCTAAAAATCTCGAGAGTACTATTTCGAAAATTAAACTTGAAATCTCCAGTGAGTCCGAGTCAGACTCTGTGGTTGTCGGTCAAACCAACCATTTTCCATGAAATTGTAATGTACCAAATGCATTTTAACTTGTGGAGTGACATATTTTTGAAAAATCTGTATGGATCAAGCCCTACGGTCTCACCCGTTCTGAAAATTTCAGCTAAATCGGTTCAGCCATTTTGGCTATCGTGTTCCGGAAGGACATGATGGTTCCATAAGAACTGACTTAGGCTAAAAAGGCAACAATTTTGCAGAGCCTTGTAAGATGGCATTATTCTGAGAGCAGGACTCGTAATGAACGATGTGCATATGATTTTGTGATTTATTTTTGGTATATAAACCATTACAAAACACGAACTTAATAAACTCGGAAAATTTTTCCTATTTTAATTTATATTGCTACGATTAGTTTTACGACAGTTATCGCAAGACGGACAGACGGACATAACGGGTACATAAGCCCTGATTCAGGCTAAAAACCTATATTTAGTTAAAATTTTCACCAATGCATAATACGCATTGTTTATTTGACAAAAAACAGGCGTAAAGTGCATTAGTAAAATGTATTTGGTACAATAAAATTCTATGCAAAATGGTCGGTTTGACAGATAACAGCGAGCTTGACTCGGGCTGCACACTGGAGATTTCAAGTTCAATCTTCGAAATAGTACCCTCGAAATTTTTAGCTTAAAAAATCAAGCTAAAAATTACGATGATTTCATCTTTAAGAATTAAGTCTCTATGTCTGCCCGTTCAAAAGTTATTAAAGGTCAAAGTAGTTGGTGTATTTGTAAGGGACTTTTACACCAACTATTTTAAAAATAATTATTTTATTTGTAACTCGACCATTTGTCGCAACCGTTAAGGGTAACTAGGCACTAAAAGTCAAGCAATCGTGATAATATGCATTCGAGTTAGAAATGAAAAAGTCCACCGAAAAATAATTTCTCACTCACCCAACAACGGGTGACAACGCCAAAAAATGCGTGCCTGTCCCCAACTCGAAAATTTTTAATAATTTTTAAAAGATGGCTCATCCTTGGACAACCTCATTACATAATCCTAATACATTCACTCCACGGAAACGAGCTAAAAAGTTTAGGAATCTTGGGATAACAGTTATCGCAAGACAGACAGACGACAGACAGACATCACGTGTACATTGGCTAAAAAAACAGACATCACAAATACTCGCAGTATGATGACATCACTAAAATATACAGTTGCTAAACCAACCAACATTGCATTTTGAAGAAGAAAATGATGCACAATTCTAAAAAAAATTAAAAATCAAATTTTTTGTCGCGTCGAAATTCGATCCGAATTTTGATACTCCTCGATCCACCCAGAAATCCTTACTAGTAACTAATTCACAACCACTCAACTTGAACAATCTGACCCAGAAGGACTTGATCGATAGAAATGTGTAAGTTTTTTTACGGGGAAAGTAGGATTTTCGCATTTTCTCCCAAAATAAACATGTTCTCTATTCTTTAGCGGATTATGAGGATGACGATGTTGACATGGAGGAGGAAGAGGCCGTTCGACCCCCCAAAATCTGCAAGTGTCCGCCAAGGGGAGGCGGCGGAGGGGGAGGAGGAGGACGTGGTAAAAAGGGGGCCAGCAAGAAAAGGAAGGGCGTCAAAGCTACCAAAATGAAGAAAAAGAAGGTCGTGGCGACTAAAAAGAAGGTCCCAAAGACCAATCTGGGGGGAAAGAAGAAAAAGAAAAATATTCGCCCCTCGTCAAAATCCAAGTTGAAGAAGGCAAAGAAAGTGGCGTTGGCAGTTTTACGCAAAGGTAAAGGTAAAGGAGGTGGCGATCGTCGTCGTCCAAATTGCTTCATCCTTTACTTCATGGAAACTTGGAGGGTAAGTTCACTTTATGATCCAACATATCCAGATAATAATTATGTCGAATACACATTTACCTGTATTGTTCTGTAGAACTTGAGAAAGGGTGGAAAGCCTGCAAACATGTATGACGTGGCGGTGCAATGTGGAAAGAACTGGTGGAAACTTCCGGAAGATGTCAAGGAGAAGTATCGACAAAAATATTGCGCCAGTGTCAAGAGGTCGACAGTTTGTAAGAAGGGTGGTGGTGGCAAAGGAGCTGGACCCTCCAGGCCAACGTCGGGAACTAAGAAGCCGACCTCGGGAACTAAAAAGCCGACCTCGGGAACTAAGAAGCCGACCTCGGGAACTAAAAAGCCGACCTCGGGAACTAAAAAGCCGACCTCGGGAACTAAAAAGCCGACCTCGGGAACTAAAAAGCCGACCTCGGGAACTAAGAAGCCGACCTCGGGAACTAAAAAGCCGACCTCGGGGACCAAGAAGCCTACTGCAGGACCCTCTCGACCAAAGGACAAGAAGGCAAAGGACAAGAAGCCGAAAGATAAGAAGTCGAACGACAAAAAGCCAAAGGACAAAAAGCCTAATGACAAGAAGCCAAAGGTCAAGAAGCTTGACGACAAGAAGCCTGACGACAAGAAGCCCGGTGGATCTGGACCTGCCCCTCCTTGCTAGTCAAGCTATTCCAAGTTCCTTCCCATTCTCAAGAACAATCTTCTCATAATTTCGTCTTACACAAACCATTATCTTAACCACAAAACCACTTAATACGAATCAATAGCCACTTAATGATGCAAAAACAGCCAAATTAATGTCGCACATTGATGAAATTTGTATAATCAAATGCAATTTGTAGTAAATAAATCCATTACCTCCTGAAAAAAACAAGCTTCTCAACATCCCCATTCCTAAATTCCCCACCAACCAACCAACCAACTACATACTTAAAACCATACATAAATAATCCCCAGATTCAACACTTTTGGCAATTTACATCAAATAAGAATGACAATTACGTCACATAAATTTATGCTAATTGTAGGATCCCATGAGTGTAAAGAGCCCATCAGACAAAGGGCCGTTGACAGTTATTACGTACAAGTCCGATTGTTCCGTCGAGGAAGAAAGCGACCCAGCCAGCGCAGCAATACGCAACAATGCTTCACGTTACTTTGCCCTCTCTCGAGAACAACAATGCAAAATCAACTCTTTTAGTTGACATAATGTTCATGTACATTTCATTTCAATCAGTATTGATGTGAACCGACACACAAGACGACAAATCGGCTCATTTCAGTCGACTCTCGGATTCTCGAAACCTATCATTATGCCCACTTAACCCGAAAGAAAGAGCTTGAGCTTGGGGTGGCATTTCCACAAAAAGAGTCTGAGAAGAAGAAGAGGGTTTGACTTTCACGTTACAATTTGCTCACTCAAACAAGACAACTTCCTACCCCTGCCATTGCCACCCTTTATTATATTCCACTCCAAAAGGTATATGTATACGTAAAGAATTCAAAGAAAGCTCGAATAAAATCCGAAAGGTACAAGTCTCGTCAAAAGATAACGTTCAAAAGAAAATTGAAGAATTGAATCCTCGTTTGCTTGACTTTTCTACATAGTAAATCGACCCACCACATTATGACGGGTATTTAAGGCATACGCATTATGTAACTTGGAAGAATTGAATGTCAAATTGTGACTGAATTCAGTTCAATTGTGTGTCTGTGACCCTTCTTTCGGGGTGGGATTCGTCAAGAGTTCGAGTGAGTGAATTGTCACCAGTTGAACTTTATTATATTCTGTTAAGAGATTTGTAATGCAGTACTTTATTGTTCTCTGAAATAGATTTGTACGTAAATTTCGGTGCATATACATATGTATTTTCCACTTGAGAAAGAGGAAATCAAACCGATTTGCCAAACAAAACGCAGTATTTTGGGTTCATTTGCTTTATTTTGACAAGCAGGGAAACTGTTTTCTTTGTTACCTGTAATTGCTTTTCATATTTGTCAAGCAAGGGATTTCAACGAGATTTGAATGAAATAATTGTATTTTTGGAGTGGAAAAATTCGGATCTTATTCATTTACTCGGAGAAAATTTCAATTATTTTTCAGAAATTCACATGGAACACTTCATTTATTGTACACAAAAAATGTCATTCTCATCTCGAAATAATAGAAATATTTTGTAAGATCACATGGAGAGAGAAGGCTTTCCTCGGACTTTACAAAGTGAACTAAAGTCGATGAGAAGGTGCCGATGCAAAAGTGCACAATTTTCTTGCACAACAATGCACAATAAAATATCTTATGAAAATTCTCACGAATCATAATTTAAGGTTTCGTACCTCCATAAGTTTTGTTAAACCTGTGATTTTCACAGTCCCGTAGCTCCCGTGAAATGGTCACCCCTTTCACTTTTATATCGATACGAGACATTACGAGAAAGAAAAGGGGTGAGTAAAAGCATGAGAAAGGTAGCCAACAATTATATTCATTGTCCAAAAAAAGATATACAATCGAGATATCCAAGTACTGAATCATCGTATAAAAGTTGACTCGTAGTCACTCTTAAAAAAATAATAATGGAAAAATCGTCAATAGAAAATGGGCGGACTTTGACCAAGCTCCCATCACATCCCTCTTTCCATCATTCGATCTGCTTCCTTTTTTCTATAGACGACCATCATCAAATGAAGGGTATCAAGTCAACCTTCGTGAAAAGCAGTCAGGCCTATAATTACTTGGGCGTTGGAAATTTATTTAAATGTACGTACGTTTTTAAAGGACTTCGTTCAGCGAAAAATCTCATTCTTTCTTATTACTCACTCGTCAAAAGTCGTCGTCTTGCAAAAAAGGTGAGACAAACGAATAAAAAAAGCTGCACCCCATCAAGTCAATAAAATAAATGAATACAAGTTTCAACGTAAAGAAGAGAGGTTCCCTTACGTTTTGCACAGTTTGGCTGTTTGATTTCTTTTCGTTGAATTGTCAATTTTGTAAATACGTACGCGATTGATGGTTTTGTGAAAATTTAACAAATACGACGACGATGGAGGTCTTCAGTTCGACTAAATAGATACGACATGTTTACAGATATGTGGAATAATTGCCACCAAAGTTTGATGTGACAGGTTGCAATAAATATTTTCAAGAAACATGTCGAAAATAAGTAAAGTTGGTGATACCTACATTCTAATTTAATTCAAGTTTCTTTCCAAAATTGTCGTTTGTTTTTTGTTTATCATTGGAAAACAAGAGCACAGTTTGTTTGTAAGGCTTTTTGTTTCATGTTTTCCTTGGAGGTTTGGTCTGGCTTGGTTTTGAGATTTCTTACTTTGTCATTCTCTACGATGAAGGGCTCTCGTAAATAAAGTGCTATGTATTTACATTACTATTTACTTACTACCACTTTTAGTTGTGTGGTTGGTTATTGTGAGAATTGTTTTGAATCTTGATATCCTGCCTCAAGATTTAATGAGAACGCATATTCTCAAGCGTGCCTAAAAGTGTAACAACAAGTTTAAAAACAAATTCGTGCTGAACAACACAAGTAGTAAAATAAAATCTGGTTCGTTTTGTAGTCAAAATTTCTCCTTGTTATTTCTCAACTATCAACAGTCAGGGAGGTCTCACGGTGTTGAATTGTTTCACCAATTTTATTCCAAGTTCCGTCCCAATAAATAAACAAAAGTCGAGAGTTTTATTGCAAAATTTTTGTAATAAAATTGGGAAAAAAGCAAAATAAATTTAAAAAATCGAATATGTTAGTGTAATTTCCGTTATTTATTACACACACACATTTCTTGATGGATACCACCATGTCAGGTTTTCACATCCATTGTCATCTTACCATCATCACACGGTTCCTTAAATTCTCCTCACACACAATTCCCCAAATCTATTGACTTTTTAAATAATACAAAACTTTAAATAAATGGGGGTTACACATTGCACGAAGGCTTTATGCGATGCTGTAATTGTGTATACTGCACTGCACACTAAATAAATGTACATACAGACATACAACTTGAATACATAATACGAACCCCTGAACAAAGCATGGAAGCGAAAAGAGTCTTCACCAAAAATTACAGGGAACCGAAACCAGCAATCAAGCAACATCGTCATTTTATTTCCTTTTTATTTTATTTCCAAAACCGTCGACATGCATATGTACACACATTTCTTCATCATCGTCGACATCGTCGTCTCCGTCGTCGTCGTGTTTCATGTCCGTCAATTCATTTCCATTGAGTAGCTTTCTTTCTACAACTTGGCAGGGAACCCGCTATTATCTTGGCCATTCTCTAACATTTGCATTGTCAACACTCACAAATCACTCCATTATTCATCCCTACTCAATCTACCAGACCAACTATTTACTACATCCCCATCATCATTTCTTACCATTATAATGCAACTACTTGTTCTCTTTCTCCCATCAAAAAAACTTCATCAAAAACAAGGATCATCTCATAACGTGTACCGCTCAAGAAAATCTTCTCCTCTCTGTCGAATTATTCACATCAAAAGGTTTAATTCCCATGTTTTAGATGATGATGTTGTGTGTACCGAATGCACTCATCATCATCAATTCGTGGATGATGACGAAGTTTATGTTTTGTTGAAAAATCTGGCTACAAAAAGAGTTGAGGTTTGAAATAAAATTTAGAAAATGTTCGTCACGATTTTGTATATTTCCGAAGGGTTGGGTGTTACCATATTTCAAAAGTTGGTAAGCAAATCGAATAAAAATGGGCAGCCACACCACAACCACAATCCGCATATTACGAAGGAGTGGGTGTGTTAATTGCGTCGAGCGTGTTGTTTAATACTGTTCGCTGTTGGACATCTTAATTTTATTATCAGTTTAGATTTATACTTTGTACCTGCTGCAGCATTGGATGATGCGTTAGTTAATCCTAATGAGCAATAATGGAGAGTGGTGCGAGTTAGGTTCAACTAGTCTCGTCGTAATTTGATTTATTATTAACAGGACTTTTTCCATTTACGTGGTGCTATTTAGTACTACCCAAAAAGTTGTCTCAACTTTCTCGCCGAGGAAATAATTCCACCATTTTCTCGATATTATTATTACCCACTCGGAAATGGAAATAAAACGAGAGACTCGATACGTCCATTAAGATCACTTTATCCTCTAATTCAATAAAGCTATTGATGACCATGTGGACGTAATTACGTTACTTGAGGGAAAACAAGACACTTTATTCCTTTATAGCCAAACCAAACCACACAACTCTATAAAACCATTACTGTACTCGCCCCTACTTCATTTTATCACGAAATAAATCATGTTTCATATATGAAATAGTCATTATTATGTTAGATTACATTACACCACTCATGTTGTTGGAACATGCTAACATTTCATTATTTTATCTCTCGATACTTTAGAAGAGAGAGAGAGAACAATACATCATCTTCTCTGCAGAAGTCTCTCCCTCCACCAACCAACGTCCAAACTGCCAAAATTCTGATGTTATCTCGCTCTCTTAAGTCAATGGATGGAAAATAATAACAAATAATAAAACCTCTCCCGTATAATTTTTATGTCTCATCAGCAAATCTCGTCTCGAATTGTTGCTCTTTGTTGACTGATCAGACGACGTATCAGAAAGTGAGGCAAAGAAAGTACGCCTAAAATTTGTATACTATCCGAATTTGGGGTCCGTTTGGGTGTCAATCAATCGATAACGGGGCAAAATTTAATGAAAAATACACCCTCTTTTAAATATTTGCATTGTTTGTTTCTCATTGAAAGAGAAATTCGATTCTTCTTTTTTCAATTAGAAAGTATGCGATGCTGATTTACTTGCAATTACTTAACAGGAAATATTTGGAGTACTAACCAAAAAACAAGTCAATACGTGTACCTGACCACAATCTCATATTTCAGTAGAGCTCTCATTAATGAAGCCCAGTTAGTGGGCAATAATTCATTTTAACGATCCACAAATAAGATTATTTCTTGGCATATGGTTTTATTTATTTATAAATACGATTGTCTCGCCGTACATTTATTATCTCTCGGAGCCGGCCAAATGATGATGAATGAATTCGTTACTGAATATAAAAATCTTTTATAAATCTTATTATTATTTAACCGAGAAATGCATGACTTGCCTCTTATTTTTATCCACAAAAATAAGTACAAGCGCCAGGTCAGAAATCTGTTAAGTATGAACTACTCAGGATTAGATGTTATCGAACGACCATTGCATAATCATCGTCATGATCATCATGTTTCAAATCTAAAAATACTGACACTAAACCGATGATTTGATGGCAACATCTTAACAAAAAGCCAACGAGGAACAAATTGAAATCCAATTTACGAATCCCCCCACTCGACTCCCACAGAGTGCCAGGAAACTCTCTGACATTTAAAAGTGATTAAAGGATTACCAACCACCCTTCGCCGTGTAATAAATGAAATGAAATAAAATAATCGTGGTGCCCTGTCGAAGGTTAAGGATGATGAACCATCAATTTATTTAATACAAGGGGCACACTTTCTTAGCCAGATTTTTTTTTCTATACTCAATCAATCCCATCGCCCCAAATGTCTTCAGAACGACCAAACTTGTAGAGCAATCCGCTCAGGAAAATAAGCAAGTTTTGGATAAATATCGCCACCCCGTACGATTTGTGGGGCTTATCGGGAATAACGTATGCAACAAATAGAATCCATCCGGCCGCGATTAAGGACGCGAATCCAATCGCAAATCCGACAAATAGCCAGCCAAGAGCGCCGCAAGGTCCGAGACATCCTCCCGTGAAGGAGTCGCCTCGTAAATGGTGGCGTCCGACGAGATTGATCATGATGACGGAGAGGGTTCCGGTTACGCCGCAAATGTAGTAAACGCCTTGGAAATCGGAGGATGACGGGGATTGAGCAATAACGTCAAATAATATCCACCAACCTGGATGGGAAAATTGTCAAGTTTTTGGATAAGGGGATAAAGGAAAATTAGGGGAAATTTGCGTACCAGTGAAAAACATGGCGCCTGCGATTGCTGCCACGAGTAAATTCCGCTTCTCGCTTAAACCCCCTTCTTCACAGCGCCACTTGACTTTCTCCCAGCATTCGGATTCACATTTGAGACCCATTTTTATGGAATTTTACGCAAAATTTGGAATATTTCCAAAATTTTCATGGGGAAATTGGGAAAATGAGCCACTTTATTTTTGGGAAAATGAGACTTTCAAATTTTTTTTCACCATGGCGTTTGTTTCAGAAAAATATTTGCAGAAGTAGAAATTACAAAAAAATCTGTCTTTAGCAGAAGAATCAAACTGGTTCCATTTTTTCCTCACCAAAGTTGATTTCCGAACAGCGGAACAAATGCAGAAACTAAAATCGAAACAGCAAATACGCGCCGAGTCATGTGGATATCCGCCACCTCGACCAATGACGATCGTTAGAGCAGCAAAGCAACTAATTAACAATTAAATTTAATCATATTGAACATATAAATCTCATTATTTCTCTTTTTTCAGGCCGATCTCGCCAAGTTGTCCGTCCGATCACGTCGTGGCGACGATGCGAGCAACCCTCTTTGGAAGTTTGACTACGATAAGCACCGTGAGCGAGTGATGGGGGTGAAACCGATGGTGGACAGCCATGCTCCCATCGTCTGCAAAAATATGTACAGCTCTCCAGCAAAGTTCAACCGTTCCATCACCTCCTTTGTGCGTATCGAGAGAGAAAATGCCATCATGTTGCAGAGAATCGCCACAATTATGAAGAGTCCTCCCACGATTGACAATCGGCTAAGTTTCAAACAACACAGTATCAACATTCGAAGCAAAGCGAGAGAAATGACCCTCCTGAGGATTGCTTTTGATAATTTGGAAATGTGGAAACGGATCCAGACTGTGGTAAAGTTTATAAAGTGTAAATTTACACAAATTTCTCAATTATTGTTTTGTACAGCGACCAGCATACGATCGGAAACAACAATTGAAAGATTTCGCATATGCGGAGAAGGTCATGGGTATGATATGCTAACCAAAATTTAGAAACTTATTTAATGTAGGACGACTCATTGTCAAAGTCGGCACATTTTTCATCATTCCTCTGTGAATTTATTTCAAAATTCTGTACGACTTTGTAAGTTTATTAATAGAATGACCGTGAGTGTTTTGATGAGGGTTTCTTAAATTTGAGATATTCTCCTTCAAAAACTGTCAAAAGTGTATATTTTTAATAAATTGGCTCCACAAATTTGTCGTTCAGAATTTTAAAATAAACTCCCTCATCCGAGAAATGATTAAAAATGCGTTGATTTTGACGATTTTGAGTCCAACATTAACAAACTCCTCCAGGCCTCCTCTCGTACTATCCTCTCTACTGGAAACTATCGCCCAACAACGCCTTCGAAGGGTTGCGGGAACAGGCCATGACCAACGCCAGGCTAAACCCTCGACCAAAAGTATTTCTCAGTTTGGAGACTGATGAGGAACCTCTGGGAAAACTTGTGATCGAATTGAGAGCCGATGTCGTCCCAATGACCGCAGAAAATTTCCGGTAGAAAAATGAGAATTACAAATTGCGGATGAATTTTAAGGCAGAATTTGCATTTTATTCAAGCTGTCTTTGCACCGGGGAGATGGGAATTAGCTACAAATGTTCAACAATTCATCGTATAATCCCGGATGTGCTGCTGCAAGGGGGAGACGTCGTGGGGAAGGATGGTCGTGGAGGGAAAAGCATTTATGGAGACACTTTTCCCGATGAGAACTTTAAGTATGTTGTTAATATGTTATGTTAATAAGGAAATTTAGAATTACTTAATTTCACGCAAACACCTAAATTTACTGCCAGCGTAAATGGGAAACTTAGAATTTACGTGGGACCCTTATTAATTCGTAATCTCTAATATTTGCCTGATTTTTACACCAAAATGCTACAATTTTCAGGCTGAAGCACAAAGAACCTGGTGTAGTTTCAATGGCAAATTATGGAAAAGGTGGAAAAATTAAGAAAAAATAAATAAATTAAAAAAAAACATTTAATAAATACTTAACTTTAACCCTGTTATGTTAGATACTAACGGATCACAGTTTATCATCGCTACAACCCGCATCGGAGCTTTAGACGGGGTGAATGTCGTCGTGGGGAAAGTCGTGGAAGGGTTGGAGCTTCTCGTCTCGGTAGCTAGCTAACAAAAATCTCAACTTTCCCATCTTTCTCAAAACTTATCTCACTTTTTTCTTATACAAAAAAAGCTTAACAAATTGGTAACTCCGTCTGGCTCGATTCGTAAGAAAATCTGGATTTCTAGCTGTGGTTCTGCCGACGGCGGTGAGCTCGAAGGGGACGAAGATGAAAACGAAGGCTACCCCACAGAATCCGAAGGTGAAGAAGAAACCTATCGTCCCCCGTCAACCCGACAGTACGAGGCTGGACCGGATACGACGGATGCGGAGGAAAATGAAGGCTAAATTAAATCCCAAATTGTTCATCATTATCAGAGAAATAGAACCCCGACAAATTTAGAAACGCAAAAAAATCCCACCATTCATTACATTAATATTATTATTAAACTGATCCTGTGACTATTTAGCCATTAATTAATTAATTAATCTCGAGATAGATCCAAAACAATAGAATTGATTAACTCAAAACTGTATATACGCAATTGTTTAGTGCACAATTGATTATAAAATATCTAATTCAACCCCATAAAATTTCCTCAACTTTCCTCCTTAAACAACAAACAATGAATATTTCGAATAATAATAAAAAAACTTTCAATGGTGTCTGCATTTGCATACTTGAGCTGCTAAAAGTGCATCATACCACGACCACCAGACCACTATCATCACTACTACGAAATAGTACACATAATAGCATCTGCTTCTTCACTAACATGTAAACCGTTGGTGTTAAAGGGTTGAAGTTGTAGTGGTGATAAAAAAGGGCGAAGTAAACCAACCGCCACATCTTCTCGAGGGAGCGAAGATAGCAATTATTTTGATAGCACCAGGAGGCCGTACTCACGCTCTCATCAAATCATGACCAAAATGGCCTACCCTTTAAAATATCTAATTCTTTCTTACCAATCCTTCCTCTCCATCAGAAAGAAAATCCATACAATGTATAAAACGCATGTATGGACTTATGTGCATGAGTAATAAAAAAGCAACAAAAAACTCACACTACACCTCCCACTTCTTTCACTCGGCTAACCCTTTTCACACCTCGGTTCATGATCATCTCTCCAACTTCCTCTCCTATCTGCGAGGCTAATGCTACTAATCTTTAGGGGTTGGGTGGGGATAGGCACGAACTAACTAATCTTTCGATATCCTCACGTATGTAAATCGTAACTATTTAGTTTTGGACTAATTAGCTAATTCGACATCAGCACCTCGACCGTCCAAATTTGGTCAAGAAACATTTTTTGTATGTCTGTAAGTAGTAAATAAATGCGAATAAAAATCCGGCCAGAATCAGAGCAACCCTTGCCGAATGACATTTAGTGACCCCACGTCGCATCCATTAAGGTATCATGATGCCACAACGACGCAAAAGTGAGTTCAGAGTTCTGAGCGAGTGATTTGATTATTTCCTCTCGAGAGTAAAATCTCAGCATGGAACCTCAACACCTACCGTGTCAGGCTCCAAATTCACACAAATTCACATAAATTCACGACTCCTTTTAGTTTTGCACCCTTTTAGCCAGTCTCGTTTGTTACAGTTTGGCTGGGATAGTGGTCCTAAAACGACTAATATACTGAGACTGACCACTATTAACCAAGTAATGCAGACATTTTGACCACCACTGCATAATAATATCTAACAACTTGAGTAACTTTTCGCGTTATTGGGCGACAAATATTATCAAGAAAATCGTAGAGCATACTGTGAAGGCAGCATATGAGAGTTTTCTACTCGGTGAAATATCACACTTTTGCTCGTATTTAATGAAATTATGATAAATCCTTCCGAGGGGTACGGCCACGGCCTGATACCAGAATTTATTACTTAATCGAATAAAAATGGAGTACATTTTCTCACCATATTTCGAGTATGCCACCACCCACGCTCACTACTTTATTTCCCTTCTCTCGAACATAAATAGCTCGAGATTGGGAAGGGAGAAAGGAAGGGAAAATAAATAAGTGGGATAATAAATTACGTGCATTATTGACCACTCAAACTGCTTTCCCCATCTCGTACATGTACATTTCTTCTCGGTGGATTGGATATGTATTCCAGGGAACGGAACTTATTACGACAGAAATGGCTCCGGAGACTAATGTTGTGTCTAAAATTTCGAACAAACGAATGTCATCGGCACAAAAGGAGAGTAGAAATGAAAATGAAAATGGCAGTCTGACATGACATTTATAAATTACGTGTGTATACACCTTTGCCTTGCTTGGTGAGGGAGAGTACTTTCAATTTCATAGTACTTCCGGCCACCATTTCGATCCTTCAGTGGAAAATGGAGAAAAAAATGTTGAATTATTTTAATAATTTTAAAACTTTGAAAACTACAGCGCAGAAAAAATGGAGTCTAACTTTAGGATTTTTGTATTTTTACAATTTGATATATTTTGAAGTCAGAAGTAGAAATTGTAAAATTACGTAATGCTAATTTCAAATTTAGATATTGCTTAATTGTGGGAAAAGTCTACAAAATTGACAATTGCAAAATTGCACGAAATATGACAACTTACAAAATATTCGGGTTTTCAAAATTTGATGTTTTGCTGGTTTGCATTTTTTTAAGTTGGCATATTTTAAAGTCGTAAATACAAATTGTAAAATTTATTTTTTTTTTGCAAACTTAGTTTCAATTGGTCCAATTTTACGATTTTTGTATTTTACAATAATTGTAAATTGACTCCAAAATATAAAATTATTTGAAGTTTTGAAGTCAAAAATTGTAAAACTACTTAATGCTTATTTCGAATTTAGATGTCTAATTTTGGGAAAAGTTTACAAGATTGAAAATTATAAAATTGTATGAGATATCACGACTAACATCTCGAATTTTCAAAATTTGGTATACTTTAAAGTCACAAATACAAATTGTAAAATTAATAAAATTTTGTTGCAAATTTAGATTTGTTTTAAACATTTTCAGTGGAGAAACGGTTACAAAATCAAAAATTGCAAAATAGGACGAAATATTACTTTCACCATGCTTATTTCCACTACCAATTTCACCTTCCTCAAATTCTGTCTGTGTGAATTACTGTTCAACATTGCAATACAATTCACCCCTTATTTCTATTATTTATTAAAGGAAGTACATATGTACATCTGCTCCTCAAAAAATCCCCCTCTCACCAAGTCCCATAATACATAACAATTTAATAAATAGTTCTTCTTGGGGCGTGGCAGGGGTCCAGCTCCAGTTCCACCTTTATTTTTTTCCGGAACAAATGGAACCCACCCCGGGGAGGAAAATTATTGATGGATCGGGAAAAACTTTCCATTGAACGAAAATCCTTCACTTTATTTCATACCGTTATTATTAGAGAAAAATATATATCACAAAGGGCTGGATGGAAATGAAAATGGATAAAAAAATTCCATCAAAATACGAGACAAATCTTGGCGATGACAATTTTTCGGGTTTATTGCATTAATTTTGAACAATATGAGATCAAAGATTTCTTAGTCGAAAAAAGTTTTAAAATTATTTTCATAAATTCTTCAAATTAACCATAATTTCTACGCAATTGCAATTTTGAAGCGATATTTTTTCTGCATATGCAATAAATAACTAAGAAATGCATTTTTTTGCATGTGCGCAATATGAGATTAAAGATTCTTTAATCTACCAAAATTTTAAATTATTTTCATGCACAAATTCTTCTGAATTAAAAATTAACCATAATTTCTTACAATTTCATAATGATCATACTTTTCTGCACACAAATAACTAAAAAATGACGCTACTCAAACAAAATATCAAAAACCTCAGGTGGTATAAAACGTAATTTCATCGCATCTCTAAATCCACGCCATTAGAGAAAACCTCTTCTTGTAATGATTCTTCTGACCACGAATGAGCATGTCTTTGCTTTGCTGCTCCTCGAAATCTCCAGCCGACTTTTTCCTCCCTGATTTTCCTTCTGCTTAAATAATTTAATAATAATCTACAGTACGTGAATCATTCGTTATAACATCAGCGGTATAGTCGTCATTTAAGGTAATTTAACTTTTAATTCTTCCCATTCATTGCACAAGTCGAGGGCAAAATAATGATCATGAGAGACATGATTATTAGTCATAAGCACACAATTATCATTACTTTGCTTCTCTGCAGATATCTATGAGACGACGAGATGATGACGACGATGTGACCACCAGATTCTCAATGATCACGATGATTTTGAAATATGTAGAATCCTAATTATTGTCTCCCCTCCTGACGGATGTGCTGAAGACTGAAATATATTAAATTTATGCCTCTTAAAGACCTCGCTTTTTGTGGTTTCGTACGAGAGAGATGGAATACAAGGAATTAGCTTCGGTTTCGGTGGGAGACTTTATTCCGCCGACTGAACTGAAAACTGAAGCCATAATTGGTTTTGCTTTGCTCTAGATGATGATGAGCTGAAACAATTTATTTTTGTGATACAGACATTTTCTTTGATTGCAGGCCAATTCGTATCGTATCATTCTTTTGGTTTTTCTTTTCTCTTAAGGCGGATGAAATAAGTAAGTTCTTTTGACTGCTCGGTAAAAGTTGAAGAAATAAATAAAAGGTAATTGTAAACGCAGTAGGTAGACGATTGGGTGACAAAAAATCCTATCGAAATTATATCAATAGGCGGTCCCTCCTCCTCTTTGTAGGCAGCAAAGTGGCAAAAAATAGTTTGTAAAAGATTTTATAAACTGTTTTATGATTGCTTTTACATTTAGAAAAATGTGAATGTTGAAATCTTTTTGGACAAATTTTATTAGTCAGACTTTGCTGAAGGGAAATTACGTAGAAAAGTTGAGCGACAAGGCAAACCAATTTTCATATAGTGCCGTTTTTTATATAAAAGCGATCCTATTTTCTCATCATCATCATTTCTGATTTATTATTATGAAGAAGAATGCAATTCTGTGATGAAATTTTTCATGCATTTCTGTTACACGTGTCAAAAAATTATGTGTAATCTGATGAAATGATGAGATTTTTAGGTTCAAAATGATGTCTAAAAGTTATGTATAAAAATTTTGTTATGAAAAAAACGACACCGTCAACCGTGATAGACCGCAATAAAGAGAAAAATATAAAGATGGCTCTCGTTTCATGAGAAAAAAATACTAAAAAAAGAAATAAAAACGAGTTATTTTCAATAAGTAAAAATCCCACCCACTCAAAAAACCTGTGCATGTAAAATAGGATTTTCATTTTCGTAAAGTTTTAAAATTATTCCAAAAATAATCATAAATTTCACTCTGTCTGAATCTATTTTAGGTCTTCCTAGATAAAATGTACTTTTATGAAGACACGTTTCCCATAATTCAATCAGGTTAAGTGGAGAGAATAAAATTTCATAAATTTGAAAAAGGCACCGAAAAACATACACTCGGCTGGAGACTCGACCGGGTAGCGCTCGACCTTTTAATAAATTTTAATAAGGTCACGTGCAATCAAGTCAGCCCTTAAGTCTCTCCTGACTAATTTACAGCTTACCAGAATGTTTACTCTTCACATTACCACAAGTGGAAATTCTTATTTTGCTCAGGCACAACCAGTCTCATCTTTTTAGACCACCTATGGCCCCGTATTCTCTGCTATTCGTCCAACCCTTTAAAGTCTCAACATTCCTCCTCGCTCGACTTCACTGGCTGCATCCTTGTTTTACATTTTGTCTGGAATGATAGCCAGACTTCATAACTCAACTCTTAAATAGATTTCGAAATTTAATCAGGAAACAACAACTGCAGTGAAGGACGAGTCGTATTTAAACACAGAATTTTATTATGTTCAACTTTACATGAGAATGAAAATTGATGGGAGAGATGATACGATTAACTTATAAGTTATTACTACTGGCTAGTTTTTGGTTTTTAAAATTAAAAAAGACAGCAGCCCCCATGCATGGGTTGGCTGGTGTAATAATTCTGTCATCCGAATATAACTATAGAGAAGGAGTATCACAGCTCTTTTTTAGTGGTTTTGTCTTTTAACTAGCTGACTAGCAGTGGAAATTTAATTTTGAATCATAATAGTAGAAATTAATACGTTTATTGCATCTTGCGTAGGACAGGTTAACTGAGTTTCTGCAGAATAGTACACAGCAACAATGTTTTCCAATTGAAGGAATCCATTTAACACGTTGTTCTGCATACAAGAAAGAGTTTATTTTAGTGCTGGGACATATTAAGACAAATGCGAATAGTGGCTGGAGCTACTCACCTTAACGGGTCTAAAAAGAATGAATTCTGTTTCCCTGTTGGCCAAGTAGAGCTTCATACTTTTATGGATAAAGGGGAGTTTGGATTTAAGACTTTCCATCGTCTCTTGGATTAACTGGGAGAGAACGTTTGGTAGGGCGAAGGATTGTTGGGATAAAACCAGGTCTGGTTTCTCCTTTAATGCTTCAATTATTCGGGAGGCCTAGAAAATACAAATCAGACTTAAACAAATAGAGAATGAAATGCATCATGAGTGAGAAGAAGGAGGCGAACAGAAGAAATACATAAATCCTGTATGTGCATACCTTCGTGATAAAGTTTTTCACGGGTCCAATAAGAATGAGCGTGCAATGACTAATGAATTGCTCACAGGTAAATTTCAACTGCTTGTCAACTTCTTTTTTCGAGTCGAGAAAGTATTCCTTCACTTGAGGTGTCCCATCAACTATGAACTCCAGCAGAGAATTGTTACTATTCATCAACAAAACTTGCTTCTTCTTCTGCAGCAGACTCAACGCTGTGATACCAACAGCGATTTCCAGTTTATTAATATCATAGAAACATATTGGTGTCAATATTTCAAAAATCTTATCAGCTAGCTTTACCTGCCGTCTTCATCCTGCTAAAATCCAGACTTGTTTCTTTCACGGCAAAGTCTGCTTGAAATGGTGCAATCTGTTCCCGTAAAATGAGCAAATGCTTAATCTCAAACAGCTGCCCGTCAACCACGGTCTAATCAAATATGAAAATTTCTCTTATCCAATCTGTTTGCATTTCATCTACTAAATCAAATGATAAATGTGTATAAACCTTCTTGGAGGAGATAGCTTGAGCGGAGAGAGAAACGTTGGCAATGCATGCGATCAACGCTTCTTGAGACAACCCTTGAAATATGGCTTTATCCAAACATCGATGCAGTTTCGAAAGACAGAGCAATGTACGACGGACACTTGGGAACCACATTCCATGCAAATCCGCAGGAGAACCTGTGTCAACAATAAATAAAAACTTGTTAATCAATTCCCACCACCAGAAAGAGAATTAATTAAGACATAAATCTTACTGCTTGATTTTAATGGTCGTGGTATTTGTAGTTGGGAATTTATGGTGCCAACTTCTTGGGACGTCACGGAGCTCAGAGAAATGATCGAGGTTTGAGAATTAGATCGGACCAGGGGACGATCTGGGGGCGCGGTTTGATCGATAGTTTCAGCTATTTGCTGCTTAAACCAGAAGGAAATAAAGTAAAATTGTACGAGTTGGAATTTGAAATAATTAGTACCTCCATCATCTCCAATTTTTCTGGATATGCCAAATCTCCTGGACCTGGATTGTAATTTCGAATGTCTGTTGAAATATAAATATGCGCCCGGTAGACCAAGCGTTCCTGCGTGTCCTGAAGGAGTTGTTCCACAATGTTGATAAACGAGTTCAGCCCTTGAGCTAAAGCAAGTAGTGGATTAATTGTTACCCAAATATGCAATTTAACAATTGAAGTCTTACGAATATTAGAAACTTGTTCCTGTAGCATCTCCACTCTTAAAATGGCACAAATTTCAGCCAACGTTTCCAAATGTTGTATTTTTATCACTAATGGTCTCAACGATTCGTAGATCGGCGTGAATAAGTTGTCTGCAAATTCACTGTAATTGGCAACAAGACAAATTTTAAACAAACTTATTCTACGTTTAAATGGAAAACTTTAAATTGTAAAACTCACTCAAACACCACGGTATACGATGGCTGAAAAAAGTCGCCAAACAGTCGAAATTCGTCAAGACATAGATTAATGCAAAATGAACATCCCATTCGAATCGTGCTGCATAAATCCACTCCTGTTTTTCCTCTCTTATTTAATTCTGACACAGTCGCCCAAACGCTTTGACTAAGCAAATTGTATCGCTCTTTTAGAAAAGATTGCTGAATTTCATTAAATAATTCGGCGTATCTAGAAAATTAACAAGGAATTAGTTAGGAAATAATAAGGAAATAGCGGAAATTGACATACTCTGGCCAAGCATTCCTCCGTTGCTCAATTTCCGTAAAAACCTTCTTCATTTTCGAAATTCCAGCAGAAAATTTGCCATAAATTAATGGAAACAAAGAATTGGCAGCCGTTTGAAGTTCCGGATTTGGACCCTCACTTTGTTCCAAAACTGTAGCAGTGATTTCATACGTAGTTTCCTGTAAAGCTTTATTAACTTCGGATTTGACAAGCGATAGTGCTCGGTTTAAACAGTGCTTGAATTTTGCTGCGTAAACGGACGATTCCTTGAAACTGGGCTGCAATTATTAGAACAAGTTATCACCATTAAATCAGAAATCGTAAAATTAATATAAATATTTTCAATTACATTATGAACCATAAATGACAGGCAGGTGTCAATCTGTTCCAAAATTGCAAAGAATGCATCAGACGTCACCAAAATTGTCGGGACGCTAAGTTTCGATGCGACTTTTTCTAGCTGAAGGAAATGGTCCAGATTTGTGTCCAATTCTTGTGCGACACCATCCAAAGTTTGCTAAAGGAAAAATATTCAAGTTATATATTTAGCGTTATATATAATTACAAAACAACAAATATTACTAACTTGTTCTTGGATAAGTTGTCGACAAGAATTATGTAAGGCATTTGTCTTATTTGAAACAAAATGGTAATTCGATTCCAGCGATTGCAGTTCGTCCAAGGCCGAATTTACAGCACCGAGAACACCACTGACCGTTTTCCTACTCTCCTGCAACGACTCTAGATACGTCAACACCTTCAAGTCTTGTTCCTCACCAATGTCATTTTCTACTTCTTTGAACCATTTCGCGAACTGGAAAAATAATTAATTAAGTTGGTAATGAATGAATTAAAATTGAAATTCTAATAGTAGTCGTTACCTCATATTTTGTCGTGAACTCAAACTTGTCAAAATCCACCCCTGCTTCCTGCTCAGAATTTTCCTTCAATTCCAACGTCTTGGTCTTCGGGATAGGTTTCAAATGTGAGGGTATCGGTCGCTCGACCGGATTATGCGTAAGGTCAAGAATTAGTTGGCGTTGCGCAGGGGTCAGTGGGGCCAGGGGGTTCGTGGAATCTTCGTACTGACCAATCCGCTCCTTGTATCGAGAGAGGGATGGCGATTGTTGGGGGGATGAAGTTGTCAACATGTTGCAACCTGATTAACAAAACGGTACGAGGTTAACATGGACAGATAACAGATTATCACCACAATACATTTCGAAAAATCTAAATCTTACCGTATTTATTTTTCACCAACAAACCAGATGCAATGACACTGACTCCCGCATTTCGACGTGGAATCTCTTATTTCACCTCACGTGTGTGCTCCTCTTTGTTCATGAAAAATGTTCTCAACTCCAATACAATTTACATAAATAAGTTAAGATTTTTAATAGGTTCTAATAGATTTCAAGTTTTTTTACTTACTGAATTGAGATTTTGAAGTTTTTCTTACAGTTTTGTGGTCGCAAATATTTAATATGGGAGAAAATAAATAAGCAACGTATCATTTAATAAAACATTTGCAAAAATTACTGCCAAAAAACTACTCATGGATATGATTCAATTTTGCGTAGTGAATATAATTTTTGACTGGATATTTATCCATTTTTTTAGGAAAAAAAGTTTAAATGAAACTCAAGTGGAAAAAATGTAAAGTTCTCGACGCCAAGAGTGCAATTAAATTGATTTTTGATTAAATTAAAATAATAGATTTGGCCAAACGATTTTCATTTACAATATTTCAAGTTTATTATTACTTATTTATTAGTTTTTTATGTATAAAAAATTATGGAGAAAACTAATCAGTAATTCTATAGGCCATGAGCCTTGATCTCTTATCGACTATTAGATAAATAAATTAGCACTATTATTAAATGACATGAACTCATTTTTTAGCAACTATTCGAATACTTTAGTTGCTTTGAGAACTCCTTGAATCGCTTTTACGAGCACCGTAGTGTCCCTCACATTTTCAATTTTATGGTCTAAAAATAAATACATTCAACATTTTATACGTAATTATAAAACGAGTCCAATGTGTAAAGATCTTACATCTAGAGGCCACATTATCATCCCGAGGATTAGCTCCAGCTCTGTCCAATATTTCTTGAAACCTAGTTTTCACTTTAGCAGGGTCCTTCGGCTTCATGGCTTTCTTCACCTCCTTCAACAATTCATCCGGAGCAGGATCCACTGAAATTTAAAATGTTAATTTTATTATCGTATGACTTTTATGACTTTCAAACAGAAATCTCTAAATCTCTAACATGTATTTATTTATATAAAAGCACCTCTAGTATTAAGAGCTTTATTAGCATTCTTCTTAAGTTCCTCGGCCTCTGATAACCTCAGACCCCAGAATTCATTTACGGTTCCTTCTGCAAAGATATTTACATTATTTATGACATCAGTGCCGTTTGTAATTTAACAATTTAGCGAAATTCAAGCATTGTTTAACCAAAGCACTATCAAAGTTAAATCCGTTAATAAAGGTAATACATGTAATAAAGCTTTACAGGGCGACGTTCCAATTCCTGAATTTCAAACTTTATGGGAATTCTTTGTCTCCATTAATTTATTTGCACTTACTTAAGTGAAGCACCGTGACTTACCTAACGATTGGTTGATTTTTGTACGAATTGATTGAACCGTTGGCGCTTGGATCGGCACTTCCGGCTAAAGTTTGTAAAATATGTAAGGTTAAATTTGCACGCCAATTTGGAGCAGTAGTTGAAGGTTTATTTTCCACTTAATGTATGAATTCAGAAATTGAAATTACCAAAATCAGCACAGGCATCTCGAGATTCGGCTGTCCCAACAGTGCAATTTCATCTTCTTGCACTCTAGTAAGACACATTTTGCAGATTTGGATAAATCTAAAAGAAAATCTAAAATATTTCTCGAAGGGTTTGTGTATAAACCCTTGAAACTTGTCGAACCTGAAAAGTTTTGACACAAATGTAAGTCCTTAGAAGAAAAAGCATTACATTGGTTTACAGTTTATTTTACCGTTATTTCATAAGCAAGGGTTCCATCCTTTTTCTAAGGACATTAATTAAATGAAAGCAAGCTTTATGAAAAATGATCATAGCTCGACATTTGCATACGTATGCACTTACTCTGACTTATTAAATTGTATGAAATGTACGTATATTGATTCCATAATAAGTGCATATGCAGCTAGTATGTACATTATTGTACATTTGTATATGTGACTTATGAAAATGTATGATTGCATGTTAATTATAACATCTTTAAATTTATTACATAATCATATTTATAACATTTAATTCCCCATTTTTTGAACTCTTGAAGCATTAACACTCATCATCTCCACCTCATCCCAATAATTCCTAATAATGTCCACCCCCTTTTCCGCAATTACCATCGTGGCCGCTAGAGTTCCTCCCACAGGAATGGATGGCATGACAGAAGCGTCAATTATTCGCAGCCCGTTTACCCCTAAAACTTTGAGATCTCCATCCACAACTGCCTGCCCCCCTCCACCACCACTACTCGCCTTTACCCCCATTGCACACGTCCCCACCAAATTATTTCCACTCATCGTAAAATATTTTAGATAACAGGCCCAGTAAGATTTCGTCTTAAATTCGAACTCTGCGCAGGACGGAAACGGTTCCGAAGTGAGGGACGCACCCATGACACGAAATGAAACGGAATTCTCGATAAGGCTGAGGGCCCGGTAAATCCCGTCCATCATGACGTCCGTGTCTCTCGGGTCGGAAAAGTATTTCGGATTTATGACGGGGTCGGAATTGATGTTTGAATCCACCAGCCGAACGTTTCCTCTACTAAAAGGTCTCCCTGCAGAAATTATGATTGAGAAGGAGTCCTGTCCTTTCGTATTTTTAAAATATTGGTCGGCAACTTCCGGTTCGAGGTTGAACATGTCGACGAATTCTTGGTCCATTGTTGCATGGTGGGACATTCCATAGAGGGTGAGATGCAAATCGGGCCACATTAAATTTCCACTCATTTTCTGTTGCGACGAGGTGAGGATGGCGTTGGCGTGGATTCCCGTTGAAGTGAGAGGACCTGTCAGCATGATAATTCCAAATTTGGGGAATCTCTGAAATTATGGAAAATAAAATCGAATCAGACCTTGACCATCTGCGAGACCAAATTGGGCTATTGTTTCAGCTTTGAGGTCACGGTCGAGGAGGAAGGATTTCGTCGTGTTCAGCATAAATGGACCGAGATATGTTATCAAATGGTCTTGAAGGTTTTTCCCGACGCCAAGGAGGTTTTTCACGATGGGAATCTGGCAATAATTCATGTCGTTTAGTAAATATGTGAATTTATCTATCAATTAACAGAGCTGGCCAAATTATTCGGAAGTCAAATTACAAATTATAATTACAATCACAACATTACTTCAATTACAATTACATTTGAGATTTTTTTAATGAACATCTATCATTTAACATTCAAGTAATTTTAATAATTACTCCATTTTAACGATGTAAATGTTTTTACTTCAAACTTTCAAGTCAGAAAAAAAATAATTTAGCAGAAAAATTTTGGACTATTTTAAAAACATTTACATTTATTTTAAACCTGTTAAACGTGAACAAGTATTGAAGTTATTTGAATATTAATGATGATTCATCACTGATGAATTTTCATTGAAAAATCTCAAATGTAATTTGTAAAAAAAAAACTAAGAGTGCATTTACTTTTATTACTTGTATGCATATAAATCCTTCGAGGCATTTGGTATATGCAATATTCGTAATTGCATACAATACCAAATGTCTTGAAGGATTTATAAAGATAGGAATTTATTTTGCGTAATGAAAAAATTCGCAAATATAGGAAATTATAGAAAAAATGAAAAAGGTAATGAAATGTTCACTTTGAGGATTTAAAAAAACGACTGATTTTGATTGGTGATTTAGTAATTGCAATTAAAGAAGTAATTGCATTACAATTACACTATGTTGAAATGTGCAATTAGAAATTACAATTACATTTTTTGAATGAAGTAATTGAAATTACAAATTACAATTACAAATTTGTAATTGTAATTTGGAATTACTAATTTATCAATTAGCGAATCTGGTACCTTGATTGAGTGAAGATGGTTTTGCGGACCAATTCCCGATAGCATTAACAACTTTGGCGAATTAATAACCCCAGCGGATAAGATCACTTCTTTTTTGGCCACTGCCATAATCAAATTTCCATGCCGAGCGTATACAACGCCATAAGCGGACGGTTTCGCTGATGGGTCGTTTTTATGAAAGAGGATCTTTTCAACTTGCGCATATTTCCGAATGTCCAATTTTGGCCGGGGTCGAATCGTGTTGAGATAAGCGGTTGTCGTCGTTTGACGATATCCACGTCTCAAAGGGGACAAAATATAGTCAAACCCTTCAGTAAAGAATCCATTCAAATCCGACATTTTGTAATTCATTTCAATCCCAGCTCGGATAAATCGATCCGCCATTCCAGTAAAATTAGGAGTTTGGAGTTGAACTTCCCCTTCGAAACCGTGCGTCATTGCTGGATTTTTATTAGAAATTTTATTTACTTTCAAAAATATTCACCACAAAATTAATTAATAATCAATTTACGATTATTCCACCTCCCCTGATAATTCTCAATCCTTCGAAAATACGGTAAAAGGTTGCTATATTTCCAATTTGGATTATCCGTCAGATTTGCCCAGCTTTCGAAATCAAACGGCGATCCACGCAGGTAGTTGAGCAGGCCCAGATTACTCGAACCACCGAGTCCCTTGCCTTGCGAGAGGTTCGTTTTCTGGAAATTTCTTTGGTTTAAGAAAATTTTGTAAATTTCGAAAATTTAAAAAAATCTTCACCTGTTTGTTCATGGCTTGGCAGGCGTATTTCTGCGGAACGCTTTTGTACATCCAACTAATATCTTTTCTGCTCATCATCATGTACGGCGCCAGACTGGGGACGGATTGAAGCGGAAACGGTTCTCCGCCAGCTTCCAGTAGTAAAACCTTGTACTTTTCTGACAATCTGTTAGCAACAATTGATCCCGCCGTGCCTCCTCCCACTTAAGAAATATGCAAATTAGCTATTTCGTATGTAAAGTCCATATTTTAAATAGTAATTACCAACCAATTATGAAATCATACGTCTCGATGGTCGACGGGGGAGCTTCCTTTGTCTCCATTTGGAACTTGTCCCGAACTCGGTCATGCTTCGTGAAGGCAGTGATAAACAGTCCCATCATGGACAGAGCGTTGTACACGAAACGCATGAAGGACCCACTGGCTCCTCCGATGCCCAGAATCGATTCCGGCGTCATCTTTAAGCACTAATATTTCTGTAAAATTTGCATAGTTGAACTTGCAACTTCCTGCAAAATTATGTAATTTTAGCACAAAAACCACGATGCATGCAGTCGTCGCATCGCACCACGACCAACTGACTAAAAGTATGCAAACAGAATATACGACGATGAAAACGAAAGTGTATACGCACACCTCTGCTAATTAAGAAAATTGATCCAACGGACTCATTGACATCTTGTAGTTTCCATTTCTTTAATGCTGACTTTATGGTCGTCCATCCGCATTCAGTGTGACCGTGTCCTTCCTACCGAGCGGAAACAATCCTTCTTTTGTCATAGTAAATGTGTGCAGTTTTGCGTAAAAATCGAATGGATAAGCTCGACATGCAAAGATGTGGGCTGCCAATTTGCACACTACAATTTAATGAATGTGTAGATCTTATTCGAGAGATTGGCTCTATCTTTCGTTATATGAAAACCGTAACAATTCACGAGAGAAGAATCCTTATTAACGATATGAAGTGCTAAAAAGTGAAACCCTTTTTTTAATCACGCTGCATTTAATTGTCGTTTATTAAAACTGAAACTTCATTTATTTCTCACTTCCGTTCTTCTGAGAGTGATGTAAATATGGGATGATATTCCTGCGCAATAATTTTCTCGACTTCCTATACGCAAATTAATCCGATGCAAATTACAGTGTATAGCAAACAAGTATCAATCGTGGATGATTTTTATTGGGATCAAAATTCACACAATCTTTTTTCATGATTATTGTCATTTCTTCAAAAGATGCAACGATCTGGTTTCGAATCTAGATAAAAAGTAAAAGTTTTTACAAGATAATTATCTTTAACAAAGGTTAATTAAGACACAAACCTCATTTAAATGACTGGGGTGAAGAGGATCCAGAATATCAAGGCTCCCACTGGGATGAAAAATAATGGGATGAGAACAATTGCGAGAACGATTGGGAAATATTTGGTGACTTTAAATCGAACGGGTGGATTTTTATGAATCTGGATTTGTAAAGGATCTGGTGCGAAGTTTAAGGAATCGTCTTCTCCGAAATCAAAAGAAGATTCGGATTTTACTTGGGAAACGATGATTACAAGAATTGTTAAAATCAGACATAATTTTAGGGAAAAATGGTGTAAATATTTGATTTGAAATATGCTGGGGGCCATGTTGGGTGTGTATTAATTACGAAAAAGATCAAAAAGTAGGTAGAACAAGAGCTATTCTTTGTCTATCGCATCTTATTACGGGATAGCTGTAGCATGAACTCATTTCATACATTACCTGCTTTAAAATATCGTAAAATTGTAAATTTATAAAATCATGCATGCACATTTAAAATGAATGTGCATCGACTTTTTTTGTGGAGTGAAATATCAATGAATTTGTGAATACGGCTCGAAAACTGGGTATAGTTACAAATATAGTTACATTGCAATGACAAAAATCTCGTAGACATCAATTAGCATAGCAACTTAAATTTAATAAAATTCTTGTTACTTCGATTTTCTAAAAAATTCCCATTCGTAAAATTTCAATTAATTTTTTGTCTCCATTCGAACTTTCAGTTATTCGAAACCCCCACCGATTTATTAAACTCATTCACACTAAATTCTAAGTTGAACTAAATTTCTGTACCCTCCACCCACCACGACTAAAATAAAATGGAAAACAAGACGGACATGGTGGCAAAATACAATAAAATGGCAAACTGTACCCAGCGTTGCCCACAAGGAAAATCTCAAAGCAAATCCGACACCACTTCGCCCTGGTTTTCTGGCCAATGGATCATGAAATTTGAGGAATTCACATTTAAATATTTGGGATATTTGTTCAGAACGCCGGAAGAAATCGCGTCAACTCAATCACTGACGGACGGAGCACATCCTTTGGGACAAAAAGTAGTTTTGAACGATATTTTGAATGAGTAAGCTTCAAAATAGATGCACCTTTTTGAATAATTTATAATTATTATTATCGTTTATTTTTTAAAATAGAATCATTCGAATAGAAAGCGAGTTGGACGAGGACCACATCGCCGCCGTGCTTCCACTCATGGCAAATTTGACCTTCTTGAAGAAACAGGACTTTAAATGGGTCAACACCGAAGAGCTCATAAGCATGTTGAACGTGTTCAAAAGAACGGCAGAAAGTGCGGCTTATCGATGTCTGGACATGGACACGCAACTCAACAGTATCGTAGATTTTGTCGAAAGTATTCGCAGATTTGCCGAGTTCCTCTTAAAGACTGCAGGTTGTACATTGTACGATTTGTATTTTATTCTTATTTTACAGTTTTCCACCCTTCTTTTTAGGTCTTTATAATGATTTTATTTTTAAATTTCTAATCTGCAGTTCCTCCGCCGACTCCCCAAGAGCTTTGTATCGAAAACTCAGTCACGAATGTAAAGAACGCCTCCGAGCGAAATCTAGGCCAGCCAAGCTCCAAACAGGTAATCGCCCAGCCTGGGGCCAGCGGAACAAGTAACGTTCCGAAATATGGAATTGATGCGGCGACGGAGATGGATGGAGTTGTTGGGGTGAATAATGGAGGTTGGACGAATAACCGGGCACCGAGCCCTGAGGACAATAATGTCCCAAACGACAGTTGGGAAAGAGTTGAAGAATGCCCATCAGTCAAAAACATGCAAAGCATAACCTCCACGAACACAGGAAATCGGACGCCAAAAGTCGTGTCGGGACACCAGACGCCTCGGACGCAGCCCTCCTACCAAACTAATAATCAGAGTTATATAAAGAAACCGAAATCAAAAAAGGGCAACAAGTTGGGCTTATTTCATTTTAATAATAATTTATAATTATCTAAAGAACAATTTAATGAAATATTTTTTAAAATCTAGAACCGAACAAGCCAGCTGCTCAACTTCCACAAAAAAACCAGTAGTAAAAAGTTGTGGCACTAATTGTCCCTGCCAATCCGCCGATGTTGACTCTTACCAAGGAAAGTCGCGTCGACCTCCAGAGAAGTCACGTGGTGGTGGTGGTGGGAGGGGTGGCATTCCACCTCGAGAAAAGAGACAGCGATCGTCACCACCTTGTGCGAAGGGGCCGAGGGAGCCGAGAAATAATGAAAACTGGACGCCTATGATGGTTCAAGGGACCACTGTTAAGGACGACTTTCCAAGCGTGACGTATTTTCCGAACAGGAGGGAGCTCAACAGTAATAAATATAAAATAATCTTAATGTAGGACTCTGATCGTCAAAATCAGCACATTTTTAATCATTTATGGACATTTATTTTAAAATTCTGGACGACAAATTTATTTTGTTTTGTTTAAAAAATGCACTACAAATGACAGTTTTTAAAGGAGGAGATCTCAAGTTGAAGAATCCTTCAGAAAAATTGGAACTCGTCGAAACTAAGATTAAAAACTCGCCGTCATTCTTTTGATCAACTTACTGACTAGTCGTCCAGAATTTTTAAATAAATTCCCAGAGCCGAGAAATGATTAAAAATGCACTCATTTTTGAGTCCTGCTTTAAACTAATTATTAGTCTATTTAAAAATTAATATTTTAACAGTTCCTGGCATGAAGATATTCGACTTTCCCCCAAAATGTGCCACTGGTCCACCTCCATATAAACAGCTCCATCCTCAAACCCTTATCCCCATCAATTCCACACAAAAGAAAACCAAGAAAAAGAAAAACGTCAAAACCTTCACCGACACATCATGCTAGAAATTGGACGCGCCCCACAAAATAAAAGTCAGTACAAATTCTTTTTTTTGTATAATTTCCACACAAACACATTATCTTGCGTTTTTATTTCATTTCTTGTTTCGCGATTCTTACACACATCATTTTTTTCATCAATATTTATCATTATTACGAGGACACCGCGTACATTCTGGTGCCCAAATATTGATTAGTTTGTTGCGGACATTACATTTTTTTTTTCAACGATTACAAAGCAATTATATTCTATCAATTTTTTTATGTATTAATTCGCTAAAGAGCCAATTACATATAGGATCATATTTTGCCATCCCCATTTAATCATGGAATTTTTTCATTAACCGTGTGAGCAGATTTTAAGAAATTACAATGAGTTTTTTTTATCAGAAGATGAGAGAAGTCTATGCAAACCACATAGTGTATTTTTTCGTATAAAATGTGTATTTCCCTTTTTTCTTTTAAGTCAGACCCCACCCACACGCACGCACACTGACACGACGTCAATGATGAATTCGTGTTCATTAACGGTATGAAAGTGCGTGCATATTTAGTCCAGGCTTTTTGTAAGTAATAATTAAATATAATTTCTTTTTTTCAGTACTTGTTAAATCATTAAAAAAACTTAACAAAAAAAATTATTTCAAAGAAACAAAACAATTCAATACTTCTTTCTCTTTAAATAGTTGATGATTGAGGAGAGGGTAGAGTTAGGTAGGTAGGCGTGCAGGCAGGTTAATTAATCCCCCACCCACCCACCAATACATAATTGATGAATTAAATAAGTAATAATTTAATTACGTTTTCTGACTCTTGTAAAATAGTACCGATATTTTTCTTAACGAGATCAGTAGTAGTAGTTGCAGCAACTTTTTCCACAAATTTCTTCCTTCCTCCCTTCCTTCACCACCACTGTCAATTTCTCCATTTAATAAAACTGATCAATTCTCAGCTCTCTTTTACATGATATTTATCACAGTTTTTGTAATTGTGTTCATTTTTAAATCAACTTTCTTTTCTACTTTCCCCAATCGTTTTTTTGTCTATATAATACCAACAACAACTGACGACAGAGAGATATTCGCTTCAACGCTTCACATTTATTTGACCAGAGATTCACTTTAATCGAGTACGACGACGGACAATTGAGTTAAAGAAAGACGATTATGCTGTTTACTTTTTGTATAGGAAAATTGCTAGGCAGTATCGATAGTTGTAGTAGTAGTAGTAATAGAGTAATAGGAAAGATCATGGTTTTTAATATTTTTGCAGATTAATAATTACTATAAGCTCCGTGTTCAACACGAAATTATATTCACGAGAGTTCACGTCCTAATCTGCGCATTTTTTGATTAGCACGTCAACTCAGACCAGATGTGTGAACCTGGCATTGAAGAAGTATATTATTAATTAATTGCAAAAAGGTGTGTAAAAAATGCAGAGATCACAGTTTGAGAATCAGTCAATATCACATCTGCCACTTTTTTTGCGGCAGCAGAATTCATTATTTTTGGTTCAGATTCGTATTCGTTTTTGTTAACATGAATGAACATGGCAGTGATTATAGTCAAAATTCAAAGACTTTTGTCTGTATAATCCTGTGGCTAAAAAAACCCACCAAATTTTTCGAGTTTCAATTTTCCTCTTCATCCCCTCCTCTTAATATTCTAAAACATCATCGTCAAGTATCACATTTTGCATTATAGAAAGTTGCTGACCTGATATAATAAAGGTAATGATAAAGAATGAACAACATATAACGACTTCACTGGCTTGGCTTTCTTTGTATAAAAAAACGTAATAATCAGGACGGTGGGTATTTCATTTTTAAAAATCATTCATTCCTAAAACAACCATATATCACTGCAGCAGCTCAAAAATCGGTCAGAATCCACACTCATGACTCTCCTTTTTTGTATTACTTTTTGATTCCATTGACTCGCTCCTCTCTTCATGTTCTCTCTGCATTTGCATCGGGTTTCGAATTTTATAAATTAAACCAAAAAATGTAAAAAAACTAGCGGCTTATTGATGGGAAAAACGATGTGAGATCATCATTAAACCAATTACAGCAACTAATCCTAATTTGTGTGTAGCACCAGATTATTTAATAAAAATAATTAAAAAAAGCCTAGCTTGTAAATTGAGATTGTGTTTTTGACTTTATATTTAAAGAAACTATTAATTATCGAGTGCGATGACTGGAATTTCATTTTCTACTAATTTCTAATAATACATTAGCGGTTTTGTTTTATCACAAAAAAAAACGAAATATTTTCTCCCCTCCTTCTTTTTTCTGGTAGGAAGTTGAACTATTATTATTAAGTTTTTTTTTGCAAGTGTGTGGTCCAATTCGTATAAAATCTCAACCTGTGTCAACGTAAAAAGTGAAGGTATTCTGAACATCTCGCTATAAAATACTGCAGCTGTGGTAAGTAAATGATTTTTGTAACCATTTTTGAGAGAGAGAGAGAACTCTTTATAATTCTCTCTCACAAAATTGACTCGGGTTATCAATTTCTGTTTTGCTAATAAGTGTACTTCATCATCGTGGCGATGATGACGTGATTTGAGTGGGAATGGAAAGTTGATATCGTAGATAAAAATGACGACTGTGGTCAAATATATCATGATTGCAAAAGAGAGCTTTTTTGCATACCATCTTTAACAGCTCTTCTTCTATTACACAAATATCTGCCCTTTTTTACTCACTTCAGATCAAAATTGGAAGATACGACGGCTGGCAGGCAGACATTTAAATTTTGATTCATTATTTTCAGTTCTGTCGAGAACGCGAATATTTTTTTTGTAGCCCGCATCAGTCTCCTTCGAGTTTAAAAAGTAAAAATTATCCTGTAGCTAGTTTCTTTTGAGAGAGTGACTGACTGACTGATGAGAGAGTTGATTCACTAAACACCCTAAAAAAAGGTGACAACAACGACAAATTTGATCACCTTTCCTTCTTTTTCTTTGTTATTGTTTGTTGATCTCGTTAAAGAGTTAAATCGGTTAACTTAATTTTTGTTAAGTCAGACCCATTTTTTGTAATACCTTGCAACCGGTTAAACAGACTTGTGCACTCGGGTCTATGAGAACACATAATGTGAGATAGTGGTTTGTTTTGGGACGGCAAACATTTCCCCATTGTAGAATAGTAATAATAATGATAATAATAATAATATGTACATTTAGTAGGATATATAGTAGTGGATTTGTGTAGCAGGAGAACGTTAACTAAAGTAGAACATTCAAATTTTTCTACGTCTAGTACTTGGAGCTTTTAAACTTATAGGATTATTTTTTTATGTGTACAAACTTTTTCTTTCTTCATGTTGAATTAACAACAACGCACGAATACCTATTCATTTCGAGAAAAATGTTGAGAGATTTGTATTGTAAGTAAAATGAGAAATTCAAATTTTGATGCTTCTACTGCTATTATTTTTTAAAGCTAATAAAAAAAATTAAAGGTTCAGAGGGTTCGTTTTCGTATGTAATTTTTTTGTTATCGAGTAATTAACGTCCACTCTCGAATGTATACTACTATCAAACAAACTTACAAACGGTAGTATATAGTAAAATTAATGGGTAACTTAAGTATGTTTTGTAAGGAGAGGAAGTAGAGTATGTAAGTTTCTTTCCTTTTCTCTACACGACAGAGTGGACGACAAAATTTTGATACTTGCTGCGTAAAAGCAAATATATCTTTTCAAGTGGAAAGTAAAAAGTAGAGCCTGAGTCAAAATTATATTACGCACCCCAAATATTTTTCGAAATAGGTATTCGGAATTGAATTGTTTGTAATTTATTTGTCCCACCAGTCCGTGGTAGATCCAGAGTTGTACGATCCACCGTAGCCAGCTTGGGGGGCATACATTGGGTAGGCGGGTTCTAGAAATTATAGTTTTTAATATTTTTGGGTTAGATTAGCAATCCAGAATTATTCAGTTGATAATTAAATCGAATGCATCTTACGTGGAGGATAACCGCCATAACCACGGCTGGGTTGATGTCCACCGCCTCCGCCACCACCTCCACGTCCATGAGACTGACGATAATCCCTTGCGCCAAATCCACCTCCACCATATCGTTTGGGGCCGCCACGACGGTTGGCTGCACCGCCACCGAAAGAAGACCGCATCTCATTGTTGATCATCTCGAGCCACGTGGGCATTTCTTGTTTGGTCTCTGCCACGAGTTCCACCAAATCTCGGACAAGATTCTTGTTCTTGTCGTTAAAGAATGAGGTTGCCAATCCAAGATTCCCCATTCGTCCCGTACCTGTTAACGATCAGAAAAATTATCTTTATTAATGCACTTTGCTCTGACTAGCGTATCGACTATTAGCTCAACTTACGTCCAATTCGGTGAACGTATTCTTCAATGTCAGAGGGCAAGTCAAAGTTTATGACGTGCTTAATATGAGGAATATCTAATCCTCGAGCTGCCACCTGCATTAGAAAATTAGGATAAATTAGTCTTTTTAATTGAATTGCTCTTAAATTATCGCGTAATTTAAAGAAAATTGATTTAGTTCAGTAGCGAAAATACTCCTCAAAAATTTTAGGGTTTCAAGTGTTCTTAAATTTACATCATTTTACTAAAAATTTTCTGAAATAGCTGCAGAAAATAATGATATTGAAAACTCACCGCAGTAGCGATCAAAATTGGGAGTCTTCCAGCCCGGAAATATCTTAAAGCTTCTTCACGATCTCGCTGACTCCGATCTCCATGAATTGAGGTTGCAGGGAATCCTTCCGACATCAAGTAGTCAGACAGTTGGTCGACTCCTCGCTTAGTTTCGACGAAAACGAGGGTAAGATTCTTGTCGTCAAATGCTTCAGATGCATTTAGCAGATCCAAAAGATATGCTCGCTTGTCATGCTCCTCCACCCACAAGATTTTCTGCGTAATGTTCTCAGAAGTGGATCCAACACGCCCAACAGCCAAGAAAATGTAATTATCCAAAAAGTCACGAGCCAGCATCTGTTAGTTAAATTTAAATATTTAATTGGAATACTTATCGAGAGAGCATTTATAGAGATAAATTGTCAATTGCTCAATCACCTGAATTTCCTTTGGAAACGTAGCGGAGAACATCAACGTTTGTCGTTCTCCAGTTTTGGGCATCGTATTGCCCTCGACGATTTCACGAATTTGGGGCTCGAAACCCATATCCAACATGCGATCTGCTTCATCTAATACTAAATATCTACAATTGTCAAGTCCTACGCGATCACGTTTTAACCTGTAAACGAATATTTATTATTATTAGATTATTCCAAGGCACATTCAATATTGCGATAATTGTTAAAGAGTGCACTTACATGTCCGTCAATCGTCCAGGCGTTGCTACCAAGATTTGACATCCTCGTTCCAAGTCACGAAGTTGTTCTTCAATCGGTGCTCCGCCATAGACGACGCAGGGTCGAACACGAGACCGATAAGCAAACTTTCTTGCTTCTACATAAATCTGAGTCGCTAATTCACGGGTTGGTGCTAAAACAAGAGCCACCGGGAATTGTTTAGATTTTCTGGCGTATGCTTTCGGCTGAAAGCTAAACAGCTCAGGTCCACGCTCAAATATACTGTTCAAAATCGGGACCAAAAATGCTGCAGTTTTTCCCGATCCTGTTTGCGCACATGCCATCACGTCTCGGCCACCCATCACGATCGGGATGGCGTATTTCTAACGAGTTACAAATAAAATAATTAGAATTAGCTGGGAATTGGTTAATAATTTAATCATGAGAATAGTTACCTGCACTGGAGTGGGATGCGTGTAACGAGCCAACGTAATATTTGTCCGGACGATCTCTGAGAACTCGATTTCGTCAAACTGTAGAAAATTATATTTCATAATTAAGTAAGCAATTACTCGTGTAATAAATAATCACTAATTAAGTGATCAAGGACAGAAACTTACACTGTTAATGTGAGGAGGACAAGCATCTCCCGTCGCCTCCACCGGGATATCTTCATACTTGTCAAAGTTGATTCCTGTATTTCCCGTAGCGAAAAGTTCCGCCTCGATCCGGTCATCTTTGGGCAGAAGACATTTGAAATCTTCCATATTTCCACTAAAAGTGTATCCTTTGGTGCTATTGTATCCAGCGTAGCTGAAATTTCGACCGCCTCCGACACCAGCACCACCTCCACGGTAGCTGGATTGTCCCCCTTCTTCATTCCATCTATTATTTCTGACCGGTGGGGCAGCCCCGTTACCCGCCGCGGCGTAGCCATTGCTCCAACCGCCACCACCTCCGGGAGCAGCGCCGCCCCCATTTTGGTATCCGCCACCGCGAGGTGCGCCTCTTCCACCGCCGGCCCCACCGCGCGAATATCCTCCTTGATACCCACCACCACTGCCACCATTGCTCCATTGGTTTCCTCCATCACCGTTGGCAGCAAAGCCGTTCTGATTGTTGTAACCACCTCGACCTCCGGGAACATAGCCGCCTCCACGGCTCATTCCATTTGCACCACGAGGGGGTCCACTTCCTCCTCGGGGAACGTAGGCTTGCGCAGCGGCGTACATTTGCTGCTGCATTTGGGGAGGAGGTTGTTGTTGGAATTGTTGTGGTGGAGGGGGTTGCTGTTGTTGCTGGATAAATTCGGGGGCTCCTTTGGGAAAATCGGCGTATTCACCTGAGCCACCACCTGAGCCATTTCTCATGTGGGGGGGAACATAGCGTTGATGAAGAACTCCGACACCTTGTCCGTTCAAGTCTAGACCAGCCAACTGTGAAGATTCCAAAACCATTTTTTAAATTTATTTTCTAAGATAAGAATTTTAGACTAGTTTATTTGCTGAACTTTTGTTAATAACTGAGAGAAACGTTATCTCGTTTTAACTGCGCGGACGTATTAATGAAACGCACGAGTGACTAATATAACGAGGGTAATGTCTAATCGTAATTGAAGTTAGTGAGAAATAGTGGTGATGATGTGGGACGGCTCTATACACGTAATGCTACAAGTTTTTTTGCACATCTTGCGTAAGCGCAGATGAACGTTGGTGGATGTATGTCTCCTCCTCGTATGGGATACGCATTGCCAAAAAATTTGCATTCGCAGACTTGTGTGAATGACGTCATGCGATGGATCATGCATTGTAATTTCAGATCAAAATTTTCCATATACGATAGACCTACGGAACAGGTATGGATTCGAGAGTGAGGAGAGAAAAATGATGTTCTCTTTGGTTAATGGAAGTTTTAAATGTTATGGGAAAATGTGGAATTCTTAAGAAGAATGTGAATAAAATATGTACCGATCCCGGTGTCTGAATTCTATTTCGATAAGAGATTCAGGGCATAAGGATCGGACCAACCCCAACAACCAGTTACTTTTCGAGACCTCTAGCACCAAGTGGATATTTAAAACTCTAATCGGTGACTCTAGGCTCGCCCAATAAATTGGGATGCAGACAATGTGCAATTAAATTCATTGTTTAATTGCAATTTTATATGCTGTCCCATGTTTAAAATATCGATAAGCTTCGATCGGAATGATGTTTTATAAATTGATTATTTATGTCGGGCATTTATCAATGTGAACCATATGACCTCAAAAAATTTATTTTAAATCAATTGCCCAGCCTTTGATTTATGGATTTTTTCAACGAGATTTATTCCCAACTTGGGGAAAATCCTGAGCGATAAAACGATGCTAACTTTATCAATTTAAACGTTATTTAAAACTAATTATTATGAATCAACGTTCCGGAGACGTTCGAAAATAAATTGCTAATTAAAACCTCGTACTAAACTAAAACCTTTAACATTTTAAACCCCACCACTTTAACCATCCCAATTTCCTCTCCTAAACCCTCAACAATTTCCGCACTGCTGCACCCACCAATTATTTAAAAATCTAATTTTAAATTTTTAAAAAACCCACCCCACCTTCGAAAATAGCTCAAATTTCAAAAAAATCACTGGCTCACCTGCTGCTCGAGACCGGCTCCATTGTGTGGTGCATAACTCATAATTTGTTAGAAGAGTTTTGTGGAAATTGTTTGAAATTTCTTTCAAAATTGTGCACAGTTTGGGAAATTCGTCCGTACAAAATGGCTATCGGGGAGAGAAGAAGGAATAGATTTCACGGGCTCGCCACGTTCAAATAGCATCCACCATGCACACCAAGGGCCGTTCACAAAAGACTTACTTTATTTTTTGGAAATTTCCAATATTTCCGTATTTCCTCGGTTTCACAATTTAATGACTTTAAACTGCCCCCCACAAATTTCCGAACCTCCTCTATTTTAATTGGCATATCCACCAATTAATGTGTGAACAAACCTTGCTGGCCTCAACTGGGGAGTGCATTACCCTCGTTGGATTTCGGATTCAGCCATGCGCTAACTAAAATGTCACATCTTGCAATGTTAAGTGATCTACGGTTAAAGTTAACTGGTGTCGCAATTAAGATACCAGCAGACAATTAAATGCCGATTAGCAGGTCTTAATATGTAGGGTGCATGCAAGTGGGAAGTGATAAATCCGAAAGTTTATGCATTTGGACAATTTTCATAATCATCAGTTTCATATGCAGCAATTTCATGGCACAAAATGCAACCCGACAAAAAAAACCATAAAAATGATCAGACTGAAAATATAAGAATTTTTGAAGTTTCTTTTTTATTGAGAAAAAGTTTTTATCATCTGAACATTTTTTTCAAGCCACGGTTTTAACAGCTTTTTTCAACTGAGCAGCAATTCTGTCCAAATCTCTGCGTCCTTGGGATGTCAGGCGTCGTCCGGCACCGTCTGGAACCTTCTCAACTAACTTAATACCCTCCAACGCTTGCAGAGCCTTTCGTGCCACGGACCCCGACCCTCGACAAAAATGGCTCGGAGTCGCCCCGTTACGTTTCCTTACTGCGAGTATATTAAGAAATTGTTAGCTAATTTATTGGGTGCATTTAGTTAGTTTTTGGTATTTTATAAAATCCACTTTGTGAACTTACACCCGTAGATTTTAGTGATGGTGTTGGTTCCAATGGGTGATCGGATGTAGAGATGACGAGCAATTGAAGCGCATCTAATATAAAACCAGTCCTCATCGTATGGGGCCAATTCCTTAGCCTTTGACGTCTTCACGAGGTCAACCCATTCGGGCACCTTCAATTTTCCTGACCTATGCAAAATCACAAGAATTAATCAAGAGCTCAGTATTAAATTGACGCTTATTTATTCAAAAGTCGACTTACTTCTTCAGGAATTGTGCGAAAGATTTAACAAATTTATGTTGATCCACGTCCTTCACGGAGGACGGGTATTTGAACTGGGTCACAGTCGCCATATTCCTGCAAAATGTCAAAAATAGTATTAAACACTAGTTAAAAAGACTAAAAGTTAAAAAGACTTTCACCCACTTTAAAATTGTAAATATCCTAATCTTAAAACTATGCCAAGAAATGTACCGATCCCGGTGTCTGAATTCTATCCAAGAAATCCAGGGCATAAAGGATCGGACCAACCCCAACAACCAGTTACTTTTCGAGACCTCTAGCACCAACCATACATTAAAATTGTTTAATCGGTGACTCTAGGCTCGCCCACAAATAATTTCTCTTAAACTCGTGTCAAAACTTTAAAAGTGAAAGATCAACAAAACAAATTGAAACATTGGAAATCTTAATTTCGCCCCAATTTTTCGACTCGCACTGCCCACACCCACACCAAAATGACTCAAAGAACACATAAATTGGGAAACTTACCAAAAATTTACGCCAGAATTTTGGAAAAATTGATCCGAACCTGGGAAAGAAAGAAGTTGGAAGCGGCTCGTGGAGAGAAGATGGAGAGCATGGGGAGAGTTTGTAATGGGAGCCAGGAGACCACCACCACCGGAGATCAATTCTCCCCACGCTCGCCAGATGGTGGTGGGGAATGTGGGGCAGTTGGGGGAAGTTGTGGGGAAAATGAGACTTGTGACAAAAATGGGAAAGTGAGAATTTTTGAGACGTTCGGAAATTTATGGGAATAAAAAATTTGAGATTTTTATTTTAAATTACTTTACTTTAAATTTATTACTTTAAATTATTTATTGTATTGTTCATTTCGAGATTTGTGAGGAGAAGTTCGGAATGAGACTTAAAATTGCTGTGGGGAAAATGAGACAAGATTTTACATCAAGAATTTATAGGCCACGAAATTGCCAATAATTCCGATAATTTCCAGTAACTTTATTCCATAACAGAACATTTCCAGTAACTTTATTATAAATAAACTTTGTCATTCCGCTCAAGTATTTCATCATTAAACAAGTTTGTTTACATGGTATTTCAGTCCGTCTCATTCTCCAGAAATCGCCAAAATCCACTCCACCCGACAGAACTTTCACCCCGTGTGTAAGTTACACAGTGTAACTAATAGTTTGTTGTCCACTCCGGCCTGCCTAGCAACTTTCTCTCCTCCAATTCACACATGCTTTCACCTCACTCAAAGAGAAAATTCCTTCCTTTTCATTTCCATATTTTCCCACACAGCAGTCCCACCAGCGGAATAAAAGGTGCATATCAAAATGGGATGAGAGGCGATGGTTGTTGTCTGTGTACCCAAGAAAAAAGGTGTCCCCTCCTTTCTCCAAATACTCTTTTTGTACATTGCTCAACCAAATAATTGTGCTATAACTATGCTCCAACTTTCTCCTTATATTGCTGCTCAAAAAAATTGACACTACAAACACTGCGTCCTTCTTTTGCATAGCGTTACTCACTGGTCAGCCAGCCAGCGTTACCTTGAAACTTGGATAATAATTGATAGCACGACATGGAGGACAAAATCGATACAAATATAAAACTCCTACTGCTCTGTGCACTACGCCAATTTCAATAATAAAAAGGTGACGGGTAGGAATAATTGGATTAGTTGGATGAGTGCCTTGGTTGCCTGCCTGGAAATATTTTGCTCCACGACGAGCTCAGTATTAGATTCGGAATAAAATGAAGTTAATTTTCTTAATTTTAATTGTAATGTTAAGTTGTGATTTTTCTTGGGCGAAATTCGTCTCGGGACATTTAATCACGCATGAGGTGGGTGGAAATTAATTTTAATTGGTAGTTTATTATTGGAGATTAATGATTGTATTTTATGGACAGAACTGGGCATTTTTGGACAGATTTTGTTTCTTATCGATCGATGGCAGTTTTGAGTATCAGATTGAATTCGAATATGATCCGCAGGTGAGTTGGGTCGTAATTTAAGTGATTATGTAATCGTCTCAATTTTTTACACGTGGGGGACAGAACATGGGGGACATAAGTTTACTCCTCTACCCAGACCTCCTCTGGCCTAATGCGTACAATAATCTTAAAGCTAACGTGAGTTAATTGCATATTAATTTTAATTAGTAAACTTGTGATAATTCTGTGTAATTTCTTAATAAATTGATGATGCTAGCATACAATTTTTCTGCTTCAGACATGTCAAAAGCGAACCGAAATTCTCAAATTGGGTGAAAATCAGATCGTTCCTTTAGCCAAAGGCGTCCTTGGTTCGGGATGTGAGGCTGTAAATCACCCAAAATTGGACGAAAATGGGAATACGACTTATTCTACGACGCTATTGTGCAAAAATTATAGAAAATTTAGATCTGCCAGGGAAAGATGGTGGTTTATTGGGATTGCGAGTTGTAACAGCAAAAAGGTGAATAAATTTGAGGTTTTAAGGTGAGAAATTAGTAAACTTTACACAATTCGCGTGTTACAGGGACTCGATGTAAAATATAAATTTTACATGAAAAATGGAGATCGTGGCGATTATTGGTATGAACATTTCTCGGCAGATGAATTTTGTAAGTATTTGATAATAAATTTTATGAGATTTCCTGAAAATTTCTGTAAAAACGATATCTTTTTTTTACAGACATCCTCCCAATTTTGACATCATTTTGTTTCGTGTATTTATTTTTGCTATTCTGCGCATTGATTTTTGCCGGTATGAATTTTACTTTTCAAGCATTTAGCGCTGAATAACTTAATTAATTTAATTCCAGTTGAGTTAAAATGTCGTCAGCTGTTGCACACGACGTACAAACTTTTCCTGGTGTCGCTCGCCCTCCAAACGGCCGGGATTATGAACTTGTGCATGGCCTATGGAAATTTTGCGTCGAACGGCGTTGGTCTTCCTGGCGTCAAATTGGCTGGTATTTTGTTATAAACAAATTTCATATAATTTTCTTTACCTCACAATTTAATCAATTTTTTCAGGGAGAATTTTAGAAGGCGGAAGTGAATTCGTCTTTGTCCTCCTTCTCCTCCTCTTGGCAAAGGGCTACACCGTGACTCGAGGGAGATTACGCCCATCCAGCGCAGTCAAATTAACAGTTTTTAACTGTTTGTATATTTTATTGTATATTTTACTCTTCATTTTTGAACAATATGTGAGTTTATTTTAAGTGGTGAAAGTTGTGCTTTCTCCGGAATTTTTATAATTTTATAATTTATAATTTTATAAATAATTTTATAATTTTATCTCTTTTTAGACGTTCGATCCAGGTCTGGTCCTTTACATTTACGAGTCTGAAGCTGGCTATGGAATCCTGATTTTGAGACTTGTCGGTTATTTGATGTTCGTTTATGGGATTTTCTTCACGTTGAAACATTATCCGGAAAAATCATCGTTTTATTTTCCGTTCTTTGGCATTTATTCGTTGTGGTATGGGGAAATTTTTTACTATGAATTTTTCCTACTTAACACAATTGATGTGCTAATTGATGATTTATTTAAGGTTCATTTCCGGTCCGATTGTAATTCTAATCTCGAATTACGTCATTGATAAATGGGTTCGAGAGAAGGTTGCGTTGTCAATTCTGCACTCGATCGCTTTCGTGGGACATGTCGTGTTTTTGGTATAAAATCAATTTCGTTGTACCAATTTTAATCCAATCTAATCGTAAATTGGTCTAATTTCATGAAAATATTATTTTTTAACCGCAGGGTTTGACACGACCTTCCGCTGCGAATAAAAGCTTTCCTTACCACGTTCGAACTACGCAGGTTAGCTATTTATAATTTCCTAATTTTTTGCATAAATTAAATTCCGCTTTAAATCCAGGTCGGCATGATGGACGACAAATTCGAGGGTGGCACCGGTGGCGTTGCTGGTCAAGATAATTTCGAAGCCCATTCCTACGCACCGTCCGCGCCCGCTTACGACATTTTCACAGTCACCGGAGTCGTCCAGGTATTAAGATTTAAATTTAAAATTAATTAATAATTAGTTAATAACCCCCTAAAACCTTCCTCCTCTAGCGAACTACCGACGGCCCAAATTTCGATTTATTCAGTGCAAATGGTTCCTGTGGCGTCCAGCCATCGAGTGGTCCCATATTTCCGGCCATGTTCCCCGCACCTCCTCCGAAATATGAGGACGCATTCCCTCACGAGAGACCAGGTCAGATTGAGGAACTTTTACGAGAAAATGATGACGAAGACATGGACGAATGTGGGGACGGAGGGGATGAACACAGTCCCGCCGGCCTAAGCAATGATGAAGATGACGCTTCAAGTGCAAGTTATCGTCCTACCAGTTCGCACAATAATAACAATAATAATCCCAAATCTGCACCACAACCAATCTCCATTTTAGGAAATAGGGAAAGTAAATACGTTTGTGACTGATGGGTTTAAAAATCAGGAAATAAATTAGTTTATTGCACTAGAAAAAAAGCAGAGGCACACAAAAATTAAGCAAATTAATTTACACACTACAGCTCGTTATCGTAAAATACTACAATTTACTACTGCTTAGAAAGCTCAATTCCTTAAAGAAAATTAGTAGATTTCCATTAAAACGTGTCACAAAAATAGTGTGATTTTGAAAGAGTGTTGTGAATTAAGGCCGTTGTTTTTCTTTGTAAAATTTCATCAGAGTATTGCAGAATTTAGGCCGAAAACCATTCATTTTTATAAATAATCATGGACGACAAAGTTAAAGAAGGGAAGTGTCCGACGTGATTGAGTCATCGTCACCGGCGGCGTCGTCACCCCCAGCCCCTCCGACGGCGGCGGGAGTATCGGAATCCACCACGTCCGAAACGGAAGGCGTGGTCGACGTCGAGAAAGAAGACGCGGATCCAAATTGTGACCTCGACGTGGGAAACACGACGGCGTATTTGGTCGCTAAAATGTTCACTTCGGACGCGTATCGTTGCATGGCTTCGTGCTTCGACAGGCCACGATTCGCCACCCACGCGTTGAATTTGGCCTTTGAATCCAAATCGACCAGGTTCATGGAGCCTGGAAATTATCACCAATTTTTAGAAATTTTCCCATAAAATTCTTTTAAAAAAGCCGACCAAAAATTTTCCAGTCGTTGCAATTCCCTTGCGTGGCTTGTTGAAAGAGACCGTACAACTTGTTGAGGTCCTCCTTGCTCAGGACGTTCTTGGTCATCATCATCCTAGCTTTTGGGAGGGCTTGACGGAATTCCTGTGGGGAAGGAGAAAATTGCCATAATTACGCCAATATTAATAGGAACGCCCCAGAGTTCCATGCATTTTTTTGCTACTACCTTCTCCATCTCAGCTTTCACCACTTTGTCCATTTTTCCCAAAAAAACAGGCCAATAAATAATCTCAATTTTTCTACTACTCTACTTACGAAACGTCGAAAATGAAACTACTTTTCTCCAAGTGTAATGAAATCCGACTGAGACTTTGCACTTGTTACATCATGATAAAAGCCGAGGGATCGATCCACATCGATCTTAACATTCGTATACGTGGCAGGTATGCAGTAGGCCTTAAGTTAAGCAGAAAATAATAAAAAGAAATAATAAAAAGTGGTCAGCTCTGCTTTCTCGCTCGTCAGGCTTGTGCATGCATCATGCAATCTTAAACAAACCGAATAAATGAGCCATATTTTATTTAGCTCGTGGTCGTGTCGCAATGCGCAAATTGTCCGGAATTATTATAAGAAAGGTGGATCACTTTCACGTGTTGGCTAAATCAACAAATGAATCATGACCGTTTAAGACTTTGTTGTTTGCATGATTAAATATTCGTGGAGAGTGGGACGGTCCCCCAAAAGAACTCCTCCTTTTTTGATAATAACACGGTTTACATGCAAATTATAACTTTCATTTTCACCTGAAAAACATCAGTCTGAATGGGTGTAAAATGACCTTTATTTTGATTAAATCTCGGCATAAGAGACTTGTTAGAGGGTCTCTCAGGGTCGTAAACTTTGATCTTTATGAATTTGTTTCATCGTGTTTATAGTTCGAATTTATATGTAAATTGGAAGTTGTTAAAATGTAATTGATAAGGAGAAAAAGAGAAAGTTTTGTTGAGATTTCTCAAGTTACCCCAACAGAGAAAGGTAAGGATGACGTGAGTGTGTGTGTATGACGATGAACAACAAATAATCATCATCTGGTTGGTGCTAGCAAAAGGTGAGTCATTATTTTTCCTACCGTTATCAGTTAACTATCTCCTACGTCAAGTGCTGGTAAATTTTTAATTTGTGTGACTAACAGAGACACGACAGACCTCAAATACTGCTTGGCAAAGTAAAGAAAAGTGAAAAATAAAGAAGGTAAGTTTTCGAAACGTGTTTATTAACGAGAGTTGAATTGTCAGGTTCATAAATCTGATTGATTTTGTCATTTTTAGGTTCAATTCTTCAATTGTGTTGTAATTCCACCAAAATCTCGCAAAAATGTCGCTCTCTTCGATGGAAAGTAAGTTTAATTTTTATTAACTAAGAAATTTATAAAACAGCTTTCTAAATTCTAATAAATAAATTACAGACCACTTGTTCAACATGAAATTCGCCGTGAAGGAACTCGAACGAAACGCAAAACGTGCAGAAAAGGAGGAGAAGGCAGAAAAGCTGAAATGTAAAAAGGCCATCGCCAAAGGAAACATGGAGGTCGCGAGGTCGGTTTTAAACTAATAAATTTCAACAACTTGAATAAAATCCAATTTGTAAATCTAGAATCCACGCCGAGAACGCAATTCGTCAAAAGAATCAGTCTTTGAACTACCTCCGGATGGGGGCACGGGTGGATGCGGTCGTGAGTCGGGTGCAGTCTGCCGTCACGACGAGAAAGGTGACCACCTCGATGCAGGGCGTGGTTCGTGCGATGGACGCTGCCATGAAATCGTTGAATTTGGAGAAAATATCCGGATTGATGGATAAGTTTGAGAAGCAATTTGAAGATTTGGACGTGCAGTCGTCTTACATGGAAAATACGATGAGTCAAACCACCACCACTGCCGTTCCTCAAAATGATGTGGATCATCTCATGCACCAAGTGGCGGATGAAGCGGGGTAATTAATTAATTAATTAATGATAAGTGATGATAATTAATTTGACTCTTAATAATTTCCAGTTTGGAGTTGAATATGGAATTGCCACGCGGCGAAACCGAGTCCATCGCGTCGACACAAGTTTCACAGGAGCAGGACGAATTAACTGCCAGATTGGCCAGATTGAGGCAGCAAGAGTGATTTAATTACGAATATTTTTTGTAATACGAAAAATTCCAGTTTATGTGTAACCAATCAAGCATTACCTTTTCTAAATGGAGTCGTTATTAAAACTTATGATATACCAATCGCTTTATTTCGTGGTATTAGCGTCTTCTCCGTGTAAATAAATTCATTATTATACGTGTGCTTTGAGATGAAAGTATATATGCAAAATTATCAAATAAAACATGCATTATTGAAAATTGTCCACTTTTTCATTCTTATTACATAGAAAGTTGTAAAGGGAAAGTTGCTCCACTTCCGCGCATGCTTTTCCCTGCTGCACTTTTTCCTCTCTCTACATCCCGAACTTCCGACTTTCCTTTCTCCTCTACAACAACACACGATTATTCGCAAATATATATTTTAAGCGTAAAAAATTCTTCCCTCATCAAAAATGATAAAGCATAAAAACCCCCTGTAATTAAATCTCTAACACCAAAAAATGAAGCGTCAAAACGTCCGGACGCTTTCCCTCGTGATAACAACCTTCACTTATCTTTTAATCGGTGCTGCAGTCTTTGATGCATTGGAATCCAGATCGGAACAGGCCATCAAAAATTCCGTTGATGGTAAGATTTCAAGTCTTGCAAATTATTGTTCAATTTTCATAAAAATGCTCAATATTTTCAGAAATGCGAGTAGATTTGCAGACAAAGTATAACATTTCCAACGAGGATTACGAATGGATTGAGCAAATGGTCATCGAGGTGGGGTTTTTAATTAATTATACATTAATTGTGTACATACATTTATAATTTTTTTTTAAAACAGTACACCCCGCACAAGGCTGGACCTCAGTGGAAATTTGCTGGATCGTTTTATTTCGCCACCGTCGTATTGGCAATGATTGGTAATTTTATTGGTGAAATTTTATTGGTGGAGATTTAAATAAATAAATAAACTGCACAGGATACGGCCACTCGACGCCCTCGACGGTGGCAGGACGCGCGTTTTGCATGCTTTATGCGGCCATTGGTAATACCACAATCACGCTAATTATCTTAAATACTAATGCAAATCACGTTCCATTAGGAATCCCCCTCGGAATCGTCATGTTCCAAAGCATCGGTGAAAGATTAAACAAAGGAGCGAGTATCGTCATACGAAACCTTAAAAAAATCTGCAGATGCAAGAAAACCGAGGCCACCGAGGTTATTAATAAAATAATTAATTAGTTAATTAAATATCAATTCACTTATCCTAAAAAACTTCTAGTTAAACCTCATGACGGCCACCTCAGTCCTCTCCTCGATCATAATGACCTCGGGCGCAGCGGTATTTTCCTCGTACGAGGGATGGACCTATTTCGACTCGTTTTATTACTGTTTCATCACTTTGACCACGATCGGGTTTGGAGACTACGTCGCCCTGCAAAATGATCACGCCCTGCAGAACAAACCTGGCTACATGGCGCTCAGCGTGGTTTTCATCTTGTTTGGATTGGCAGTGGTGGCTTCCAGCATCAACATTTTGGTGCTACGATTTATGACAATGTGAGTTTTTTTATGGTAATTTTTTTTGAAGAATCGACGCTAATTTCCTTTAAAAAATTTCTAGGCAAGCGGAGGAGATGCACCGCGAGGACACGGACATGGGTCCCGCCTCCGAAAATGTGAACACGTTTGACGACGAATTGACACCAAATGGGAAATTGTTACAACAAAGTGACGCCAATTTGTGCAATTCAACATCATCGGATAATGTCTCTGTCTGCTCGTGCACTTGTTACCCGAGACATGTACGCATGCTACTTAATTTGCATATTAAAACTAATAATGAGTGGAATTAATTCATGCAAATTTCTTTTCAGACGGACATCCAGAGCGTGTACACCCGAAAAACGCGAGCGAGTCGACTTTACCGAAACGACGCGAGCGGGACGGAAGAAGAATTGTACAGCGTCGAAGCCGTTCCTGCGATTTTAGAAAAACGGGCTTCCGTTTAAAATTTTTATTTTTAATCTCTTTTTTGCAATAAATAATTTCATTTTAAATAAAAAACGATCAAAACTCCCACGATTCCAACCATTTGAGTCCATGCATCGTGCTGTTCGCTTCGGAAGCCAAGGGACCCGAACTCCCGTAGGCCAAGGGCGAAAAGAGGTAGAAACTAAGGGGATTATTCACTTTATTGATATTATTATTGCAATTTTATAACTAATTTTTTACCTGTACGCCACCCCGGCTAAAATCCCCCCGTAAAAGAAATGCCACGTATTTTTCCCCAGCGTTTGAAACAAGTAGTCCAAAATGACTCCAGACAACATCGAGGAGAAAAGCAGGGCTGGAAAGTAGTGGTGAAAGTACAAAACCCTTCCCATCGTGTAAAACGGAAGATAATGCAACGACCAGCCGACAAACAACCAGACGCACGTCGACATTGTTTTACTTCGGCGTTCTGTAAATTTTTAATTATTTCAAAATTTCCCATTAATTCAATTAATTAATTATCACCTTTAACTTGCTCATCCTCCTCTTCGCAACCCCTCTGCCCCCTCCACTCATGAGACGCGTACAAGGCTAAAAATCCCCCCAGTAAAACAAGATTTCCCCACCAAATGATAGGATTTCCCAATAAATAAATCCTATAACTGCTCCCACTGAAATACTGGCCTCGCAAATCAATCGGCCACTGCCACGGTCGGGACGTGACTTCGCCCTCTTTCGGCTTCAGCCCCGCATTCCCTTCAAACATTATCGTGTGGGACTCGAAGAATTTCTCCATAAATGATGGGGCGTGGACGTGGAAGGAGGTGTTGGGCACTGCGGATTTTTATGGTTTCAGAATTGAATTTAAATTTAAATTAAGTTAAATTTTACATCTCGGGAAATGATTTTCCTCCACGTTCCAAAACGTGGATTTCCGAACGTCCCTTAAATTCGAGTTGCAGGCGACTTCCATTTGTTCGTAGGCCCATTTCGGCAGTTGTTTCCCGGTTCCGGATAAAACACAGTTTTGTAATTGATGGAAAAATCGGAGTCGACTGCTCACGACGTGGATTAAATCGCCCACTTTCCCACCAACGACCTCGATTCGCCACACGTCGTTCGCGTCACCGGTGCCGTTCTGAATTTTAAATTTTATTAGCCTGATTTACATAATTTAGTGGATTGACTCACCTCCCCATACCCCGTGACCTGCCACTGCTTCTTGCTAACCGGAGCAGAGATCCGGTGTCCATGCAGATTTCTTTTGGTAACCAAATGCTCCAATCTCACTAAATCTCCGCTTTTAATAAACTCGATCGGAGCGGAGGCGTTATCCAGTTGTGGAGCAATTTCGTTATATTTCTTGATAACCCACTTGTTGTTGTCGTCCTTGTGAGCGTACGTGGTTATTTGTTGCTGTTTAGCACCGATTCCTTCGGGGTACAAGTGCCAGTGGGAGTGGAGGTAGCCCCCACCGGTCCGTTGGGATTTTAGCGTTATGTGAGCTCCGTAGGCGACTTCGCGTGGCATGGAAGCGTTGTAGAGTGGGTTTCCGATCAGTTGGGATTGGAAGGCGGAGCTGTAGAAGCCGTCGCCGTTGCCGCTAAAATGGGGAGATGTTTTTAATGAATTTTTGCATTTTTTTGAGGTATGGTGGACTCACCTCCGGTTAAGCACGGTCAAATGGATGTAGAAAAATGTGACGTAGAGCACGAGGGGGAGGAGGATCAGGCACACGGCTCGGGCCAGGAAGTGGTACAAGGTGTAGATCTGTAAAACCGGACAATATTTAATAATCTTGGTCATTAAATTAAGAAATCCTCACGTCAAAATCATTTTTTATTTCGCTTCAGAATTTTAAAATGAATTATTAAAATAAATATTTTGAAAACAAATCCTCTCGACGTCGAAATCATCAAAATCACCACATTGCATAATCATATCTCGGCTCATTTAGTTTAAAATTCTGTTAGTAAAACTCCGCTTTCGACGATTTCCACGAAAAATTCCCCAACTTATTAAACTAAAAATCCTCTCACCACGAGAAATATTAAAAATCTCCAGATTTTACGATTTTGAAAAATTTCCCGATCTGTTAAATAAAAAATCTCACCACCGGCCTCGACAAATCCCCCAAGATTTCCCACAATTCATAAATCGTCCTCAATCCAACGTACAAAACGGTGAATAATCCCACAAATTTTACACTCATCGCGCAGGATAAAAACGTCCCCGTCAGCGCAAGCCACATCCACCATGAGAAACTGAAGGGGCTGGAAAATAGACAATTATTATTTAATTTCACTACCAAATTAATCACCGACCCAGAAAATTAAAATTAAATCTGATTAATATAATCACCTCTTTCTAAACGAATAAAATTTAAACGACGAGTAGACGGAGATGCTGATGAAAAAGAGAAGAATCGGGTCCAAGAGGATGTACTGCGTTAACGTGACCAGCCCCACGTCGAACAAAACCAAAGCCGACGCCATTCCGGCGGCCGGGGTCGATTCGGTCATTTCCCACGTCGTCAGATATGTGAGGGGGACGAGGAGGGTGCCCAGGGCCGTGCAGCACTGGAATTGTTGATAAATATTAATTCTAGGGGCTAATTTCATGAAAAATATTGTTATTAAACCAACCACGCGCATCCCCAAATAATTAGTTTCGTTATATTTTTGACCAGGATTTTCAAAGGAAAATGTTCCGTCGTAGCCGGTGGCGTAGCCGAACAGGCCGATCATCATCTGCAAAAATTCATATTTATAATTTGTTAATCGTCATAATTTTTAGGCATTTTTTGGCTTAGCTGACCTTTCCCAGAGGGGGATGAACATCAAAGAAAAACGTCCGATTGATGTACCAACTGCCCATTTTGCCAAAATGTGTCTCATCCCAGCAAACATGGTCCGGTTCTTGGACTTTGTAGAATCGGGTGAGCACTGATAAGGTTAAAATTAGGAGGAAAATGCTCCACGACCAGGAGGTCAGTGATTTACTACTTGCGTCATCGGATTTATTTGGGGGAGGTTTCGTCGGTTTTGATTTTGTCGACATTTTTTACGGTAACGAGATAATTAATAAATTATTGGACAGAATTTTCATGGAATTTAACAGTCAAACTGAAGAGAATCTTTAAGTATTTTATAATTAATTAAAATTCCATAATTTATTTTACGGCACCGAAGTTGCACAATTTTTTTTGGTAAAGTTTCCTACTTTGTAAATACGAACGGGAATTTTGATAGAAAAGCATAAAAATATTTCTCTTCAAAGATTTCTTTAATTTCTTTAGCAATTTTCATGCTCTGAGACGGAAAACCTTTAAGTAATTTGTTAATAATCAAAGTTTGTTAATAATCAAAGTTCCATAATTTCTTTATCGTCACCGAAGTTGCACAATTTTTTTAAAACTTTCCTATTTTTTATATGAACGGGAATTTTTATTACAAAAATATAAAAATATTTCTCTTTATAAAGATTTCTTTCAGCTGTCTTTGAACTTGCTCGGAAATGATGTCTTACGGATTTTGTCCATCCTTTCATGCAAATATTTCACTCTGGTTTCGTTTAAATCTTTGTTAATAAACTTTTTAACTCTATTTTAAATAATTTCATAATTATTTGAGTCTAAAAATACTACAAAAAATATATAAACGAAACCACTATTGAACACAAAATATAACAAGTGTTATTGACCGAGAAATGCCTTCAGGCTATGAAACAAACTTCTTGTAATGTGCACATGGGAAATGGATCGATGGCTGTTTGCATGCAAAAGAAATGCGTTACATTAAACCGTTTAACCGTTTGTATGGAGATTATTGGAGATTTTTAGTTAAAAGTTAATTAAATCACTCAAGTCATAGAGTTTTTTTTAACTACACGATTAATAATATTATCATCTCTGTTAAATGTCTAATTTTTTACCATGAACAAACTCGTCAACCTTGTCCATGGCCCAGACCGGTTTTTCTTCTCCTGGAAAACAAATTACCATTCCATAATCTCTCCTCTCGTGAAGAAGAAGAATTTTACGAATATTTTCAAAAATCCTTCATACACCACGAAGACCATGTCGAAACCAATTTTGTACAACTACTTTCGCAGCAGTTCTTCTTGGAGGGTGAGAATTGGTGAGGTTTTAGTTTTTAATTGTTTAATGGATTTGTAAGGTTTAGAAAATATGTGTTTTTTCCAGTCCTCGCCCACAAAGGGATCGATTACGAGTACAAAGCTATCAATTTGTTGAAGAAGGAGCAGGTACACTAAATTTTATGGGGAATGTTTAAATTTAGGTTAAATTGTAATTAATTTTTTATACAGTTAACTGAAGAGTACAGGAAAATATGCCCCATGCAACAAGTTCCAGCGTTGGAAGTTGATGGGAAAATCATTACTCAATCCGTAATAAATATTTTAGTGAAATAATTAGTTAACAAGTTTTACACTGTTTTTTTGTGTAGATGGCAATTATGGATTTTTTGGAGGATTTGTACCCAGAAATTCCAATGATTCCGAAAGATCGCTTCGGCAAGGCGAAGGTTTACTTTTAAATTTTTATCATGTGCATTTAAAAAATATAAGTAATTTTAAAACAAACATGGAATTTTCAGGTGAAAGAGATCAGCGACATAATAAACTCGGGAATCCAACCGCTCCAGAATTTGTCGGTAATTTTGAAATTTAGTTCAGTCCCAGATGAAAGAACGGAATGGGCCAGATTTTGGATTGCAAAGGGATTGGATGGTGAATTTTTTAGTAATTTAATCGAGTGTTGCTGCTTAATTAATTTTTTTTTCTCCTGAAAAATCACAGCCCTCGAAATCATCTTATCTGAAACGAAGGGAAAATATTGTGTCGGAGATCAGATTACAATTGCAGACGCGTGTCTTTACCCACAAATCGCGGCGGCGGAGAGGTGCTGTTCTACTTAATAAATTTAATTATTTACATATTTATTTAATTTTGGGTGTGGTTTTACAGATTCAAAGTGGAAATGGAAAAGTATCCAATTGTGAATGAAATTTATCAAAATTTGGGTGAATTGCCAGCATTTAAAGCTGCGCATGCTTTCGTTCAACCCGATTGTCCAGAGGATTTGAGGGTTAAATAAGGGTGGTTTTTTGTAATTTTATTGATCCATAAGATAATTATTATCTTATGAATTTGGCTGTAATGATAAATAATTGTTAAATAAATAAATTGCTTGGGAGTCCCTTGCATTTTCATACACTAGTAAACATGTACTTTTTTGTCGGGCATGCCATGATAATTTGGTTTCTTGTGGAAAAGGATGCAACCCTGCTTCTCTGTAAAGTTAACGGCAAAATAAAATGGGGACTGATGAAGTCCTTTCACTTTCTCCCAAAAATAGCATTTTGGTCAAAACTTGTCAGCTTTCTACAGTTCATGCACAATCCAGTGCAAACCTCAAAAACATTTTATTTTACATTTTATTTTGGATTTATTCAAATCTCCAAATCTCTGCAAAAATGTGTCTTACTGGCAAGCAAGACGAAGTTGAATTTTTGGACTACCCGTATCTCGATATGCCAATGCTGATTTTGGTAAGTTATACGATAATGTAAATTTATCGTTCAGTTCATGAGATGGAAGCAGCAAATAGCGAAATCAACAACAATTAAAATTAAAAAAAAAAAATCTTTAGCCCCTCATCACTGACAGCCCTCTGGAACTGGGTACGGCGAAAGACATTCGCTCTGAATGTAAGGGAGCACTAGGTAAGATATATTTTTTACGGTATTTGATTTGAAGGGAAGAAGGGAAAGGAAATGACGTGAGGTACATAGAAAAGTTGAGCGACAAGTAATTTTCACATATTTTTAAAAATATAATTTATGCTCCTCTTTGTTCATGAAAAATGTTCACAACTATTTAAATTTATTTTGCAGTTCCAATAAAATTATATGTTTCTGGAATTGACGGCAACGGGGGAATCCTTGACAAAGCTACAAAGCTTAGGGATGCTGCCCAAATGGAATTTCAGGGTTGGAATTTTTTCATTATTTTATAAGATGCATTAATGATACAAATGTTCCATGTCAGAAAACGCGGAGATACCAACCCAGGTGAAAAACCAGATCAGAAATGCGGGTGATGATATCAAAAAATTGACAGCAATCTTGGCAAAGGACGATGAGGAAATTAAATCACGATGTAAGTAAAATTAAATTGATGTATTTAGCATGTAATATATTTTTTAGCCCGAGTCTGTTCAGTTCCGACAAAAATTATAAAAGAGGACTCTATCCCTTTTACTCTGGCTAAATGAAGGCTGCACTGTAGGTTATTTTTATGATTTTTAATATTTTTTCTGCAGACCATGAAATTGAAAAAGTTATCGAGGCGGTGGAAATCTTCAACGACGTGGATAATCTCTTAAATGCTATTGTCAAATTCGATAAATGAAAGCAATTATATTATCAATAAAATCAAGTAAAAAATGTTCCCCAATAGTATCATATAAATAAATATACAATGTTGATGAGGCATCTTTTTCGTTCGTACAAAAAATTTCGTAAAAATGTATTCATGCATCCCATTTAATCGACCTCCTCCAAAAAAAACAACCTTGATTATGTATTTTCTTTACCTTTTACTTTTTTATATTTTCTTTCGGGTTATTTTTAAAATTAATTAATGTTTTAGCTGAAAATTAAAAAAAACACATAGTAAAACAATTGTTTGAAATACTAATAAATTACAAAGTATACTAAATTTAAGTACTGTCGTTAAACACAAGCCAGTGAAATTTTCTCACGAAATAACAAATAATCAAAATTCAACCCGATTCTCCAGAGGATTTGAAGGTTAAATAAGGGGTGACTTTTTTGGATTAATTTGGCTGCAAATATGCATAAGCAAAAATATATAAATTTAAAAATAATTGTTAGAAATAATAAATTACAAAGTGTATTAAATTTACATATTTGCGTTGAACTCTATATGCGCTCCTCATATTTTGTAACAAAAAATTCACATTTATATAAAAAATAGAAAAATTGACAAAAATGTGCAACTCGCGTGCCGTAAAAAAAATTAAAGAATTTTAATCAACATTTTATTTAAACATTCTTTTTACTGCAAAGTTAAAATGAAAATTTCACTCTTCATTAATACGCACCTCATATGCAAAATATTTAATCATTAAACCATTTAATTTGTTCAACCCGATTGTCATTAATGAAATTTTCTTGACATTAAAAACACATAATCAAAATATAAAGTTGGTAGAAACAATGGTTAGAAATAAGGGTAAAGTACATATTAAACACTGGCGTTGAACACATGCGATATCGGAACTATATCATGCAAACCATGCTCCAAAATAACCTTGATTTCACCACAACAAAGTTATGCACAAGTCAGTAAAAAAACCCCAAATTCATTCATTCTCAACCATATCATTTATCTCATGGATTCACCAACGTCCCGATATTTCGCACGGCAAGGACACCTCTTTTATCCTTCAACTTTCTCATAACAGAACCAACTAAATAAATCATACACATTTTCTCTCATCCACAAAATGACATAGCATCAGCAAAATTGACAATTTAATTACACGATAATTACAACCACCACTTTCTACACGAATGAATTACATCCCCGTGTATTCCATCCTTAATTGCATTTGATATCTCTCACCACCATCAGTCTCATATCCGATTCGTGTCTGTGCAATTGTGCATACGTGGCTTTGGCAAGAGCTTTAATGTCAGAAGAGTTGTTTCGCACTTTTTTTCTCCTACATAACTGCATCTCATCCACTGCATTTCACGGAATGATGAGAGGAGGATGCCTTCCGTGTAGTTTATCTCTGGGTGGAAATAGCCTTGAATTTGAGGTGGATATAAAACCCGACAGAGAAAAGTCTTTGTGATTCTATAGAGAATTCGTCATCATCTCATCCTCGGTTTTATTAGAGTGAGTTGGTTTGGTGGGTCGATCTTTTTATTCCGTCGTCGTCGTGTTTAGAGAGCAGAAAAAGGGTTGAGTTGAACATTTGTAAAGTGGACACGACACGAGAAGTGCCGTGTGTTACAGCAGTTTTGCTCTCGAGTTAAATAAAAATAACCTCATTAAATTTAAAGGTTTCGTAATTTTTGTTAAATAACCTCGTTAATTTCCTCATTGTTTTTCGGGAATTTATCCACGTGTGTTACATAAAAATTAAGAAGGTACGTTGTACGTTTCAATAAAATCCCAGATTAAAGTTCAATCAAGTTCAAGTCAAACTTTGAACTTCTTCTTGATTAAATATTTTTGAATACTTTGTTTAATTGGTCTTATCTCTAATATTTTTTGTGAGCAGGTGATACTACTGACTGACTGAGAGTCCACTACCACGTCAGGCTAAATATTTCAGTGAGTGAGTGAGTGTGGGAGTGGTATCATCGATTGAGAGAAATATTTATAGCGGAGATAAAACTACGAGATAACCTTCGGCTGATGAAGTGAATTTTAGTCTTCTTTCCAGATAAAGAATTTACTTGGTTTGATCCGCTGCCTGTTTTTTCTGGATATTTAATTAAACTTGTAAAAGTGAAGGCTAAAACTTCGTTCTTCAATCTCCACGGTGACAGTATAAATTTCGTGTGCGTGCCTTTGAAATAATCCACGAATTACATAACTTCAATTCCACAAATGTCCACTACATCGCTCGAAGGTCAGCAGCTGTCTGGAGGATCCGCTGCTGCTGGTCGAAAACGACACGTTGGGCGAATGAGCGATTTGTCAATCTCTGCCAAACCGGAAACTAATTTAATTCAACCCAGTACTCCAGTACGGAACGGATCATCAAAAACGAGGAAAGCCACCTCGTCAACTAGTCCTTCGTCCACGACCACGACGAAAGCCAAGCGTTCATCAAGAAAAAGATCTCATCAGAGTGGACGACAGAAAGAAGAAAGTGACGAAGATCAGAGGATGTCGACCTCCTCAGCGAATGGGAGTTGTGGAAGGAAGGCGATGATAAAAGAGGCGAAAAATGGAGGACATCATTTCCATTTTGATGATGATGACGAGGATGAAGACGAAGATAGTTACGTGGACAGTTATGTCGCTAATCATGCGGAGAGGTCGTTTTGCGGTGGGAATTTGGATGGAGAAGAAGCTCCTCCCCTTGGGTCTAGTTCGTCGGATCCGGAGAAATTTCAAACCGTCGATGCCGTTCCTTTGGAGGCAAGGGCGCTGTTGCCGGTGAGTTGATCGTAAAGTTCAATTTTTGGTCGTGACCCAGATAATTTTAGTGGAAGTTTTTGGCAGTGACATTGAATTTTGTCAAGGTTTTTTGCATATATTTAGGAAAAGTACTTGTCAATTATTCATTTTGGGAGAATAATTGACAGCACATGGTATTGAGTGCATGACACACTTATTCATAAGAACTTTGACTCATTTTCTTGACGTCATTTGCTTTTTTTATTATCCTCAACTGGATCTCGTCAGCAGTTAGGTAGCTGGATTTTTTTTGGTGCACCTGAGAGAGACGGTGAATTATTAAGAGGGTGAAGTAGTAAAATGGAAATGATAGTGCTCTCTCCAACAGAATTACGCACGACAACAATAGCTTATCAATTATGCAATGAGATGACCTGCATTTATTTTGATGTCATGAGATGCTGCTGTGACGTAAGACAACGAGGAGCGTATTTATCGATCTGTGTAATAATTTACAGTAAAAAAAATTGACTTTTCCAATATAACACTCAATAATTATAGGTTCTGACAGCCCTTCAAAAAAAACCCGAGTGGGTATTAAAAATGCATAAGCAAAACCAGCACCACACGCACCATCAACTTGTTCATTAAAACGGATGCGCAGCAGTTGAATGTTTTCGTGTATACAACAAAAATTGTTTAGTAAATTCTAGTCAAAATCGATATTTAATATTCAAACAAAAACATCAATAGCACGTATTCACCAGCACTGAAAAAAGATTCTATAGCGTGAGCCATTAGGTATAATACCATTGTCACAAATATAAAATATCGCCTAAAATTCTTAGAAACTAATCCTAGTCTCAATTTTAAATAAAATCTTTTATATAATTTTCGAGACATTAAAAAAATACCCAAAGTATAAACAATTATGACGTATTGTTGCATCGTTAAATAGTCAATGTGGTTGCATATTTATTAGGCTGCGTTGAGTCAACATATTTGGTTAATTTTGTGTATGTGTCCCGTTGCATGCATATTATCATTTCGTCAGTCAGTTAGTGGTGTTTAATTGGGGTTACACACTGTTCATTAAGTGTTACTAAAAAAATGGGCAGATTTGAGAAATCATATCTAAAAATGGGGGTAAGAACTTTAATCCTTTTCATAATAACCAACTAATTACTTGTCCATTTTCCAGACCCTCCACCGTCCCGCCCCCTTCAGCGACGAGGACGCAGCTGTAGAGGAAAAACAAAGATGCGATACTGCCATCAAAATTTCCATCGACATGGCCAAAACTGGGTCAGCCCCCCGTCCAATCCGCGTGTATGCGGATGGAATTTACGATTTGTTTCATCAAGGACATGCTCGACAGTTGATGCAAGCGAAAAATCTTTTCCCCAATGTTTATCTCATCGTTGGAGGTACGCGATTTTTTTAAATTAAAATTATTTCCACTAATTGCTAAAATAGTATGTATTTCGTATTTGCAGTCTGCAACGACGCGCTGACCCATTCTCGCAAAGGCTGCACCGTGATGAACGAAACGGAGCGGTACGAAGGCGTGAGACATTGTCGTTATGTTGATGAAGTCGTTCGTGATGCTCCTTGGCAGCTGGATGATGACTTTATCCGAAAGCATAAAGTTAGATAAACACTAAAAACTACATTTCTTTGACGGATTGCTTAATTCTACAAAATTTTTTGCAGATTGACTTTGTGGCGCACGACGAGGAGCCCTACACGACCGGGTCGGGGGACGACGTTTACGCATTTCTCAAGGAAAAAGGAATGTTTGTGGCTACGCAGAGGACGGAAGGCGTTTCCACGTCGGACATTGTGGCAAGAATCGTTCGAGATTATGATGTCTATGTCAGAAGAAATTTAGAAAGAGGATACTCTGCCAAAGAATTAAACGTGGGATTCATCAATGTGAGTTGACTGTGTTTATAGGTTTTTTTTGTAAACTAACGAATTTCTTTCGTGTAACAGGAAAAAAAGTTCAAATTCCAAACCAAAATGGATTCATTGAAGACGAAAGGAAAGCGTGTTTTGGAAAGTATTGAAGAGAAACGTGCTGATATTTTGCATAAATGGGAGGACAAGTCGCGTGAATTTATCCATTCGTTCCTCCTCTTGTTCGGCCGCGAGGGTCGTCTGTCCAACATTTGGAATGAAGGACGAGGACGCATCCTTAAAGCACTTTCACCACCAGGATCTCCAAACAGATTGAATGACGGGAGTAGCTCGAGTAGCTCCAGTGGAGAAGGACACGACGACGAAGATGATCAACCACCAAGAAAATACCCGAAATTGTCCAAAAATGGGAAAAAATCCCTCTCACCCGATTCCTCGTTTCATTCAGCGAGGGATTTTGATGTGCATTCTGCGTCGGTTGGTGGTGGGGGAAACTACTCGGAAGATGATGATGACTAGATTTTTGGATGGTTTATTTATTGCCTTTTCGAAGAATAGTTTTAATAAATAAATGTAGTTTTGGAGTTTAGAGAGTAGTCGTTATAAAAGGTTAGAAATTTAAATGTATTGAAATTAATGGTTTTGCCAAGTGTTACCAGAAATGATCGTGTGCTAACTAAAAATAGAATTTTATCCTTTTTTCTTATGTTGGAGAGGAGCATTTATTGAACTGATTTAATTTAAACTTTTATATTCAAAATAAAAGTAACTTATTTTTTAAAAGTAATTTATGAATAGAGAAAAATTATGGAAATTGGACATATTTTTATTAGATTATCATTCGCCGTGTTCAAAAATGTTACCAAAAAGTTTAAGCCAAAATCATTAGTTAAATACTTCAAAAATTCAAAGTTTAAACTTAAACTCTAAAAGAAATTGTTTAAAACGGTTCATTATTGGAAACCTGTGATAATGATGTTTAAACAAAAAATACCTTGTTCTGAAATATTTATGAGAAAAAAATCGTTAATAAATTATTATGAAGAATTATGATGGTGCTTTCACTGTAAAATTTCCCGAGTGTAACCAAATTTTTTATTTTCAATTTTCTAAAAACAATAAATTCCACAAAATGAGATCACAGGCCCGACTTGTCACGTAATCTTTCAAAAAATGTTCTTTGATCCGCCTGACTAATGAATTCCTTCCATTCTTCACGTTTCTTTAAATTCCGTGGACCCCAGTCGTATTTTGGCAGAAAGGTTCCCTTCAATTTCTGCGGATTAATATAATAAAATGTTAAATTTTGTAGAAATTTTTAGAAATTCTAATAGGAAAACCAACCTCCATCCAAGTAATATTTGACGATTTGTACATTGCATGAAGGCCGCCGACCTGTTAAAAAAATTGGGTCAGACCAATAACAATTTCGAAATTAAACTGATAAACTCACGGGAAAACAAATCAACGCGGTTACGGCAATTATCCAGCCGCAGACTGAAATTGTTGAGAAGTTAATTAACCTGATTAATTATTTTTAAGTTAAATGTTGATTTTTCTTTACCCGTGGCAGAGACGGGATAATCCATGTCGTTATATTGAAGACTTCCGTCCGTATAAAGCGAGTAGACGAGCAGGATCACGAGGAAAATTGGGATCAGTGCGCCTACAAATTGATTTTATTAGTTAATTAGTCAATAAATTCTTTAATTGACATTACCCCAGCAGATTTTCCAATACCAGCCCAACTTGATCCCCAGCATGAATTCCATGTCGTTGATGAACTTGTACAACCCGTAGCACCACGCGACCCCCACCATTTCCAACGTGCACATCGTGTAGATCACGAAACCTGATAAGAAGATATCGTTAATCCTTAATCGTTAAACCAATTAACCACTTAAAACTTACCTCCACCGTAAAAATCGACCAAATCCAACATCCACTGCCCGCCCTGATTAATTGTGCGTATAATTAGTGGCATTTCTCAATTAAGAAAAATTTTAAATCTCACCGGAGTAACGTAGATAAGCCCGACGGCGCACCCGAATAAGCAAATGACTCCCGAAACCATCCATCTTTTAAGGACGGGATATCTATCACAGAAAATGGATGCAATTGCACCCGCGTCCGCGGAGGCGGAGCCCACGCCCAAGGTGAACAGCATTCCTGTTAATAATTATTTATTTATAATCACAGAAATAGTTATTTATTTATGTTAACTGATCACAGAAAATTGTGACTAATTTTAAAAGTACCAAAGAACAAAACGGCGAATAGTTGCGGAACCCAGTCCATTTTTGCTACATAAATTAGGGATTTTTTAAATAGAAATTGTAGCTATTTTTTAAATCGTTTTTTTATGTATCATTACCAAGTGCATCCGGATAGCTAAAATGGTAAAGAAATCCGAAAAAATTAAAATAATGCCATGAAAATAAAGTTAAAACTGAAGAATAAATACGTACACGATGAATGCGAGCCCTGATCCCGATTTGACCACGGTCTCCACATCAACGTCGCCCAATTCATGAGCCAAATTCCCCAAAATGGCAAAAATTGTAAATCCTGCGAGCAGCGAGGTGAACGTGTCCATGAAACTTACGACCAGGGAGTCTCTGCAATTGAAAATTAGAGAAAGTTATGAATTTGGCATCGTTTTTCGTAAATTTAATTACCTGTAAATATTGTGATGAAACGGATTGTACGAGGAGAACATGATTATCGAACCGAATCCAGTGTTCAGCGAAAAGAAGCACTGCGTCACGGCTGCGTTTTTTTTAATGATTAGTTATAATGCTAATTTATTTTAAATGTTTTTACCCACCTGCATACCACACCTGAAAATAGCAATTATAATTAATTACGATTAAAACAAGTTAATTTCCTGACATTTCCCACTCACCCCCGGTTCATACAACTTTTCCCATTTCGGTTCGATGAAATACTTGATCCCGTTCCACGCTCCGGGTAAGGTGACCCCTCGTATCAACAAAATGAAGAGGACCACGTAGGGGAAAATGGCTAAAAAACATAATTAGCTATATAAATACATATCGAAATAAAGACGAGAAAAATGCCCACCCGTAAAATAAGCAACTTTCCCACTGGATTTGACCCCCTTCATGATCGTAAAATAGATCAGGAGCCAGGACGCGACAAGGCAAAGCGTCAGTTTCCAGTCGGGTGGACCAATCCCGTCGTCAATGTTGTCGTACTCTTTTAGCACTTCGACTCTGGGATTTTAATTAGTTTTTAAATTTTTAATTAATCACAGTTTAAAGTGTGAAACTCACTGAAAGTACATTTCCGGGATGGATCCGTTAAGGAGCAAAACGGATCCGTTACAGTTCCCTTCGCCAGCCCAGTTTTCGTTACAATGCGCCCAGGGTAAGTTCTTTTGGAAGGACATTATGAAATAGTACACGGCCAGGGCGAGGATTGAACAGTAGTACGTCAGCACGCAGAGGGCTGCAACAAAACGTAAAATTTATTTTAGTTAAGAGATTGATTTAAATTAGTTAAGTGCTTACCAGCCACCATCGTCCCAAAACCAACGCCCTTGAAAAACGGGACGCATTTCCAGACTTGTACTTGACTTTGGGGAAATTAGGTGTTTTATAAAATGAGTTAAATGGAATTTTTTAGTTAAAATCTCACCTATAGGATGTAAATTGTCCTAAACACAGCTCTAGAAAGTAGATTGGACGACCGATAAAGATCAAAACTATGAAATATGGGATGAGAAAGGCACCTGAAAAAAATTTAATTAGTTGTAGGTGGAGTTTTTCATATAATTGTAAATTTCATACCTCCCCCATTTTCATATGCTGTCACTGAAAAAGATAATAAGAAAGTTATTATTTTTTTAAAAATTGCAAATTTTGAAGAGGATAAAAAAACTCACCTGGAAAACGCCACACGTTCCCCAGCCCCACGCTCATGGAAATGCAAGAAAATAAAAATTCCCATTGATTATCCCACGTCATTCGATCCGTAGTTTCCTCGTTGGACTCTACTTTTCCTGGACTTTTCTCCTAAAAAAATTATTAATTTATTAATGATTTAATCTTTTACAGTATAATTATATCTAATCCCACCGTTGGCCCAGAACTTTCTCCCACTGGTGAAAGTTGCGTGGTTGGTGGCGTTGGTGGAATGTATTCCGGTGGTGCTTCATCTTCAAATCCTTTGTTTTCTATCCCATTTTCTGGGTCGGCTTTCTTTTCATCTTCCATTTTATTAAAGCTGGTGCTGGGTTTCTCTTCAGCTAAAGTTACGTCCTCGGTGGTTGAATTAGGGTCCTACATTTAATCAGCAAATTCCATTAAAAAATCCAATTAAGAAAAATAACTCATAATTTCATACCATTTTTTTAAAAAACGCAATTTAAAATTCCAAAATAAAATCCATGTAAAAAATACCACTACTACTCCATGATCAAAAATTACATGTTTAAATGGCAGACTAGAAATATTCGGTCGGTATCACAAATAAAACCCTCAGTGAGATTGATCATTAAATAATCTCAAGTTTTATATCAAGTTAAATTGCATATATCTGCATATCAGTTGTGACGCTCTAACCTCGCATTCCTTGATTGATATCGTGTATATTCGATCAAATTCGATGAAAAATTGGACAATGGACTTAAATCTGATGAAATAATATCGACAATTTGCAGTTGGGCATGTTTGGTCAATGTGTACGATTGTGTAATTGACACGGATTGAGAAAATTGCTTGCGGAAGAATCACGGAGTGAAATTATGCTCACCTTTTGTCAAAGAATAAATGTCAATGACGTGTTAGGTACAATTGAGTATTAATTTTATTAACGAGTCAGAGAAAAAAAAACAATTGACTTAAACTAACTGGCACATTTTTTATTTAATTAGAAATTAAAGTTATACTTTAACAAAGGCTGTAATAAATTAATGCCTTACACTTTAATTAATTGTCCAGTTTGTGAAACTATTTCCGCGTAACACCAGCAAAACCAAAACTACTTTAAAGCACTTTTTTTCTAAATTATTACAAATTTCATTATTCATTCAAAACATGTGCTTGTGCATTTAATCAATTAAAATGCGGGTGCACGACGTGTGAATGTTTGATAAAATTAATGGATTTGCGTAATCTCTTAATTTTACTATGATTAATTAAGTATTATATTATATAACATTTATTCGTACAAAAAAAACAGTCACGTTATCAAAATCATACGTCATTTAAGGAGGGTCGATTTTTTTCCTTATTAAAATTAAGCTCCCTTAAATAATTTTTTCCAAAAAATTCGTCAATACTCTAAAAATTAAACGTCAAAGGTGGGTTGATTCCTTAATAACTTAACTTAATTAACTTAACAAATTCTTCTCCTTAACAAAAACCACCAACAAAATTGCATAAAATCGCATAGCTCAACAACATTCAATTTAAATTAGACAAATTAAAAATAATTGTATTTCTTCCTTCCAAAAATATTGGTTAAAGAGGCCAAAAACTTCCGGGCAGAATTTCGATCAAAGGAATTCGACACGACGGAGTTTTCACTTCGCACGGAAACTGCAACGTTCACGCATTGGTGTTGGTCGACCTGGTGGAATTTTTAATAAAATTTTAAGTTTCCGGTATAAATTTATTTAAAAAAAATGATTCAAAATTTCCACCTTAATGAGTCGTTTAGGATCCAACCCAAGAACCTTGATCTTATCATAAATACGATGAATAACTTGTTGCGGGAGCAGTGCCGTACGTCCCAGCACCCAAATCGATTCTGCACAAAAAAGAACAAATTAATCACAAATTCCCGACAAAAAAAATCCATTAAAAACTTAAAAAAAACCCACTCGAATGCTGTCTCCCCCTGCAGAAATCGTCACACGAGTAAACAACAGCGTAGCTCTCATAATCCGTGTCAAGGATCCAATAGCCAAACTCCAAATGCGTCGGCGACCCCGGCGTGGGCGTCATGCTCAGCGTCATTCGGGCCGATTCCCCATATTCGAAATTTGCCAGGCCGTACGACACCTTTGGCATCCCGCTTCTGTAAATTTTTTTTTTAAAAAAAAGGTCAAAATTTTTATAATTATGCAACCACGCGGATAGATTTACAGCATCGCCGCGGTGACTTTATAACCCGTCATCATGATTTTTTTTTCTCGTCTTAAAATTATTACATGTGGGTGACTTTGCTTTATTTTGTGGTTAAATTCAACGCATCACAATTTTTATCGTAATTGAATGGATGTAAAATGGTGATAAGAAAAAAAACGAGTCAATTTGTGTCGTCGTCTTTGTGAGGGTGCGAGGTGTGTGTGGATTTTGTTGTGTGTTTACATTATGGGAAAATTGTGGTGATTTATTGTGTTGCGGTGTAATTTATGACAAATCATGCTGCTCACACACGATGGGTGGCTGTGGCGTTTATGCAATGATGACATTTGGGTTTTTTAATAGGTTTGGTAGGTTTTTGGGGTTTTTTGGGGGGTGATTGAAGAGTTTGGGGAAATTTTGTAAATTTCTGAATCTTATAACAGATATTAACAGATCTGAATTATTAACACAGTAAAACAATCCAAATATATTCAAAGAATCATTCCAATTTCCTTATTTAAATCCCTTAAAACAGTAAACGCCTCGGAAAAAAATATAAAAATTTACAAAACGGGAACTTCCAATTTTTTCTTAAATTTCTTTTTTCCCCACTTTACAAGACGTGAGTGCATGGCTTGTTTGTCAAATAATTTGATTAGTTAGAGTCACACTTTGTCGCCGTTTGTTATTTCCTCTGTCTCTCTCGTATTTATTTTTTGCCAGGCTAAAAACCGGTAACGCGACGCGTTTAACGGGTACACAAGTGGGAATTTCTTCTCGGAATACACGTTTTTACCAAGAAAAATCCTGCTAACACTAACGTAAAAATATATTTTCTGTGTACGGAATATTTGATGGAAAGAAATAATAACAGATTTTTGTCCATCGGATTAAATTGTCATGTTTTTTACGTGACGTAGAGTTCACAGTTATTTTGTAGTTCATATTTATGCAAATCGACCAGTTCTTCCTTCCTTCTTCCGTCGTCGTCGAAAGAATGATTGAAAATTGTGCGTGAAACAATCATCGCGTGTTAAAAAATTGGGAATGTAAAGAGATTTTTAAGAGACCACCACCGGAGGAGATGGTTTGGATTTGTGTTCTTATTAAGAGGGTAAATAGGAGACGAATTTGTAATTTGTTTGGTGGTTTTAATTTCCAGTGGGATTTGATTTATTTTAAAGATTGGAAATTTTTTGAGGATTAAAAAAAATTGCACCTGCTATTTTTCTTTTTCTGAATGAAGTGCATTCCTTCACTTTTTGTGTTAAATGAATGAATGTAGTTCATGGGATTGAGCGGAGGGAGGAGGTGCATCTCTTCTTCTTGAATTCAATGCAATAATTGAATTGTGGCTGAATAATGTCGTCGCGTGTATTGTGTTGATTGCAAATGTGGTGCATTTCATGTCACACGACGCGATCCCGCATGAAAAGAAGTGAGGAAAGAGGACACGACGGGATATGAAGACGACGACGAGATGATATTTTTGGATTAGAGAAAGACTGGCTTTGTGGAAAGGAAATAAGGTTTTGGTATAGTGGTGATTTTTTTGGGTGTGGTCAACTGTGTGGGGGGGAGATTTGAGTGGTTTGTAGGTCGGACGTAATAGTGGCGTAATAGTTGGGGTTAGGGATTTTTTCTGGGTTTTTTTTATTGAGGTATTTAAGAGAAGGTTAAATTTAATGTTTTTTCGGTGATTTTGTAACTTTTAAGAAGTGGAATTCTTTGGAATGGCAGATTGTATAGGAATGGAAAACGGATTTAGAAAAAAAAATATCAATTCTGATAGAAATGATGAACCTTCTTTGATCTAAAAGTCACAGAAAATTAATAAAATTCATGAAATTTATATTTTGACTTTAAGGTACCACAAGAGGTTGAATATTTCAATTTTTTCTGGACTTAGCAACATGACTTTTTAGAGAAAATGAGTCAAGACATGAAGTACGGCTCCGCATAACAACAAGAGCATTTGGGTATTTTTAAGAGCTCCCCGAGATGGAGGGGGTGGACTTTGAGGTCATAATGGTTGTTATTTGGAATCATTATATATTTCTGCAGGGTGTATAATCCGTTTATGGGCTCACTTGTGTCAGGTGATGAGATGTGAACCATTTTTGTCCTCAGAAACATAAAATAATATGGAGGGGCAAGTATAGAAATGCTGTTTCGGAAAGTATGGAAGAGAATATGGAAATGAGACCCATTATGCTCCCTATGTAAAACTATTTCGCACGATGTGGGAGTCGTTCCACATTTGTGCTCCGTATGGTTTGGACGCTAGGACGTTTTAAAAAAAATTCATCATGGTCGACTATTTTGGCTATAAATACGTAAGTATAAGTAACAGCAAAAGGGGACATTTACCAAAATTTAGAGCAGTAAATTTTTTACAAAATTTGTATTTGAACCAAATTTCTACCTACTATAATTTCTGAGAAAATTACAATCAAAGTTAGTGGTATAATTCCTTGCCAACTCTCTTGTGGTACCTTAAAGTCCAACAATAAAATTGATGTTTTAAATCATAAGCGTCGTATGTAGAAGTCGTCATAATTTTGAAAGTATTATTTAGTGGTCAAATGTGGTGGGTTTTTTTAAGTCGGACGTAACGGTGACGCAATATTTTCGTTCTATTTACGAGAAAGATGAATTTAATGTTTTCTTCTATGATTTTGTAATTTGTTAAAAAATGGCAATTCTGATGCAAATGAAAGGAAAATGGGCTTTAGAAAAATAACAATTATTCAGATCATTATAAATCTAGTATTATTTAAATGCCACCGAAAATTAATAAAATTTCCGTTTTGACGTTAAACTCAAGCAATAAAATTGAGTTTTTTAAATCATTGAAATTCAGAAGTGTCGTAATGACTGATTATAGATTGTAGATGACATAATTTTAACTTTAAAAGTATTATTTAGTGCTAATTAACTCAATTTTAGCATTCACACCAATAAGCCACCACCATTGAACTTTATTAAAGCACAATTTCCCCATATTATTACAGGAAATATTAACCCCTTTCTAACAAAAAAACTTACTTTTCCTGAATGGCCGACGTAAGAATCCCAATCCTTCCATCCGGATTATACGTAAAGTCAATCTTGTTACACTTCGTATTCACCTGGTAATCCGAGTAGTATCGCTCAATCTCGTACCACGTTCCCAAAAACTGAAATACATTTTAAAAAAAAAAACATAATTAATTTCCAAACCTCAAACCCCCATTCATCCCACATCTGCTGCTTTTTTTACTCTCTAAAAAATCCACATCAAATATCCACTCCATTGTTCCCTCATTGTTCCCACACACATTCCAGCCTCACATACACAACAATACCACCACCACCAAGAAAACACCGTTTGAACACTTTCTCAACGCAAAAATTTATGCAAAATATAAATCTGCCAACAAACAAGACACGCAAAAAAAAGAAATGATTGTCAACCCGTTAACTTTATCTCACTTGTCAAATCTCTCGGTATATAAAAATATTACACACATCTCTCCCAAAATTTTATTCCATTTGTTGTAGTAATGCTCATCAAAATAAATTTCTTTCTCACAATTTGAACCATGTTTTTTTCGCCACACGGCAAAAGTGACTCGACACAATTGGATTTAATTTAAAGTCGTCTCTCTTCTTCGCATAATAAGAATTGGTTTAGTCTCTCGAATGCATGCATAAAAAGCATCAGGTGTAAATTCCTCTCTCCGAGATGGAAAGTCTCTAAGGCCAGGAAGAAGCAGTATTTTACAAGTAAAGCAATGTGTATTATGAGGAAGTGAACAATACTGACGACGATTCTCTTGAAGGCTTATTATTACGCGGATTATAATGCAACCATTTCCGTCAGTCCTGTGGAAATTTCAGGAGATCCACTGCTACGACTCTAAAAATAGACCAATTGTTCTTAAATCTCTGTAACTCTTGATTTCTTTTCCATCAGTGGAATTTCAAGACTTGCTTAAAAAAAATTCGGTACTGTGTCCAACCAATCCACTAACCCAACGTTTTTTTTAAATAAAAAAAATTTTAATCTCTCTTCCAAATCGCCAACACTTTTCTCACGGCGAATATTGCCCTCTCCCATTTAAACTCCAGCCACTAAACCCCACTAAATAATTTAATCTCTTTATTTATCGATTAAATCCAACCAAGCTTAACAACAATAACATCACCACGGCTTCAAGTTGGTTGAACTTGACGTGCGACTGATGAGATGACAAAAATTGCCTGCCTCGTTATCCGAATCTCTCTCTCTCTTATCACTCGGGAGGGGAACAGATGAGTAATTAGACGAAGCGTGAAAAATCTTTGGGCTAGCAAAATTCTAGAGAAAAAGGATTATAATTTGGAGTGTGTATGAAGAATGAGTAAAAGTAACCCGTCCGTATCAATAAATAGAGATTGAAATTGGTCCTAATGGAGATTTTTTTTATTGCATAGGCGGATTTGTGCTAAAATAAAAGCTTTTAAGAAAATCTGGCTTAAAAGATTAGCGAAATGTTTGCCGGTGCGTTAAAAAAAGTGCGAAACATGTGAGGGAAATTGCTTACTCTGAGAAGTTGTAAAATTCATGAAATTTCAAATTTTCAAAAAACTTACCTTATCCGGTGAAAAATTCTTCATCACGGGAATCGGCGGGCATGATCCCTCCATTAAAACTTGTCCCATAATCGTTGTCGATATCCCCACGAGTATCAAAAGCACCACCTCCTTCACCATCTGCAAATTCATAATATCCAAAATTTTATAACTAAATCCCATCTAAAACCCCCCTCTAAACTAAAAGAAAATGTGCAGTTGCACTTTTTTCTCTCTCTGAATGCAATTGTGAAAAAGATTTAATCAATTTTCTAATTTAACAAGCGACACGTTGGACTTGGTTTGGTTGTCCATTTGACAGAATAAAAGGTTGAGGTTGAATTCCGTTCTTTATTTATTTATCTAACGGGACACACACCTCCTTGGGTTTCGTCAATTCAATTAGAGATTCAACGAGCTGATGGAATTGCTACCTTTTTTTCTCATCTCCCATCTCTAGAGATCGCTATCTTTCGGATAATATTGTATCTTCAAAAATGATAACTCGTCGTCACACAAAACGGGACAATCAAATGGAATAAAACTGCATTCGTAGTAGAAGAATTTTTTCTGGTCAGCCGAAAATGTGTCTCAGTTTCGAATTTGGAATTATTACGAGGGGGGAGGAGGAGGGGAGTTTTTGTGATCTGTCAACATCTCACCACCCGTTAGGTTAAATGAGCTTAAAGGATTTGTTACCCATGCGGGATTTGACTTCTTAGTGTCAAAGGAGTGACTTAATTAAGCCGGCATTGTTTTTAGGACGACGAGTAAATTCAGGGTTTTAAAAGAGAGAGATGCCAGTTAACAGGATGGTTTACATGGATTTTGTTCCTTAAATGGTGTGGAGGAAGGATGTCGTATTTGGATGGCTATTAAAGAGGAGACGATGGCTATTATTTTGACTTCGGAGAATTTAAGAGACCAGGAGAGTTTAGTTTGCTAATTGAATTTGACATGTGTGGAAAAATTCTAGGATGATTTTTGCATGTTTTGAAAATTATTGGAGAGTAACTGTAGTTTTTTCTTGAGGGTAAAATATTGATTTCCAGTTTGTTAACTGAGGTTCAATTATCTGCTGTTCATCCATCTCATCTCCCAATTAACTATTGGTACTAAATTTTAATTGGTTTGTGGTGTGGTTTTTTGCTTGCGTAATTATAATGTGCGGTTGCTTGTAGTAAATTAAAAAAATGTATAATGCGTCTCCGGGATGGAAATTGAGACTTGGGAGATTTGATGCGTTTTTACGCATGTTAAGTAAATTTGAATTGCTAATTTTTAATTTAAAAAAGTTTTTTGTTTAAACCTGTAATTTTTTTTACGTAAGTTTTTGTTTGTATTTGAAAAGTTAATGAAATATTAAATAAGAGGAAGTTTGTTTATAAAAACCGATTTAAAAATTGTAAAGTTTTTAAGAACGCAATTTCTTAAACACTTTCTTAAATCTTACATGTTCACCTTTAAAATGAATTAAAAATTCCTTCCTGATCGTAAAAAAATTCCATAATTAAACAACAAGAATCAACTTGAATCGTGTACCTAAATTATTCCAAAGCAATTTTGCCATTCCTGAATTTTAAATAATCGATAATGAACTTGTACAATTAGCTCGAGGAGATTTTTTATGTAATGCAAATATGTAAACAAAAGTGAATTCTTATAAAAAATAATAAGTATACCTATGTAAATAAAATATTTTACGCATCCGAATATTTCAATCATTTATTAAATAAAGTAATTTCTCGAGTCAAATTTATTATGAAATTTTTTGCAAATTTTGATTTGTAAGATGAGAGATGAGTAATTAGATGTTTTATAAAAGCCTGATTGAAATGTCTGATTATTAATCGAAAACCAGTTCAATTTCGATTTCTGCAAATATTGAAAGGATTTTGGAGCTTTTTTTGTGTAATAAAATTTGGATTTGATTAATTATTTTAGGGAAAAACAAGGCGAAAAAATGGGAATCCCGACGTAATAATAATTTGGACGTATCGTATTTTTTGATTATGAAGATTTAGTTATTTAAATAATATGCACAGAGAAGTAACAATTTCAGGAAATGATTTTTTCGCTTATATTTTAATTTACATATTAAGCAAATAATTTACCAAATTGAGTCATCAAAATTCTGTTTTCGTAAATTTTATTACATAATTTATCATCATTACACACAAAATCTTCCTTCCTACACGTCAAACTATCCACATTTTCCTTAAAAAAATAACTGGGCCAGAGTGTAACAGACGAAAAGGTAGCAGTCACACAAAACCCAGTGACAAAATGACCACCCAGCAGAAGAAAAGCAGGTAAATCCTTGAGCGATTATGATTCGATCCATCTACTTTACTAAACCATGTTACACGAGATTCTGCAAATTTCTTACACAAAAAAGTGGGATTCTTATCTTTAAAGAGATTCATCTCACTTAAAAAACCTTTGTGTGTGTAAAAGGATTACGTAATCTCGGGGGTAATCTGAGGAAATTAGCGAAATTCCTCGATTTTTACGCAGGTTTTTTACCCCCAGATTTTAAAGAGATTCGCAACAAACGGGACGTGCCAAATCAAAAATGTAGAGCTTTTTTGAAAATTCCATTTCAGAAATTTCCAAATTTTAAAACTGTAAATTCCCATAAGTTCCCAATTGAAAAAATGCAATAAACCCACCTCGAAAACTAATTAATATAAAAATCTTTATGAGATCTACCACATCACTCCCGCGGCGACCGGTGTCACTTTATTTAATAGAGTTGACCCTTCTCCGCGACCCTCATCTCATGAAAAATGTTGCATGACACGACGACGGAAGACAAATGAACGTTTAACACTTTTTATTATTTCAAATATCAATTACACAAAATCTAACCCCAGTTTTGATGATGTAGACAAAAATTCACATTTTTCACACAGTCAGAGGCGGATTGATAAGAGAGGAAATTCCGTCTGTCCATCTCTCTCTTTATCAGTTGCAATCATAACTTTGACACTTGTGATTATTTAAGAGGATGAGGACTTATATAACTCTTTTTTTTCCTTATTAACGTATGCCCATCAAGAAAAATGTGACATCATAAAATTTAAATCAGTCAGCGAAACAATGGTGAATGTCAACTTGGATTTAAATAGAAAATTTTGTTATGCAAAATTATTCCGAATTATAAAATTTGTGATGACAACTTCCAGCCACTTGTTTTTCGACGGGATTTTTGACCTCATGCAGTGTCAACTAGTTGCGTGTTGAATGTGTGATGGATGGGATTGGATGAGAGAACAATGAGCGGTTTAAAAACAATGTGAAATAAAGACATTATTTTTTTTGTAATGGAAATTTTAAAAGTCTGAATTTTTGGGAAATAAAATAAAATCCTGTTACATTTCCTTTTTAAAGAAATTGTTTCCTAGGAAAAAGTCGTGCCAACACCGCACCCAAGTTTTTTTCTCAAAAGATCAATAAATCAGCCCGCAATTTAGACAATTATATTAAAATCTGGAAATTTGTTAATAAGGAAATTTGAATAATTTTCCAATATCTCTGATAAAAGAGGAAAAAAATGACAATTTCCGCATTTCCTAATCCAGCAGGCGTTTAGATTTATGGCCGTCACGAAGCGTTTCGATAATTTACTTGTCGTCAGAGTTCGTGGCTTATGGCTTCATTTCCGAAAAACAGTGTGATTCTTATGGAAATGGTCACTTTAAAAAAATAACATTTACATAAAAATTTTGAAAAAAAAACTTTTAAAAAAATCTCCATTAAAAGAAATCCAAAATCCAAATCAACTCCACACCTGTTCTCCTTAATAAAAATCTCATTACTCTAAATTCATGTGGTTGTGACCCAATAACCCTCGTCGATCCGAAAGAGTAACCCAAATTATTTCGCGACCATTTGACCACAACAGAGATCATTTTTCCAAAGAATTCGATTTTTTCTTTTTCGCTGACATCACTTTTCTTCGCGAGAGGAAAGAAAGGACGAATTCTTTGACTCACTTTTTCTTCATTTCATAAATTGTATTCTACTAATTTTCTATAGATTTTTGTTATAAATTTCTAGGTTAGGGTTAGGGTGGACTTTTTTTAATGAGAGTGGTGATGATACGACAGTTTGTGTTACTGAATTTTATAGACATTCATCTCATGAGGTGCATAGGAAAAAGCTACAATTTTCATGGGAACTTCCATTAAGAAAAATCATCAGTTTTCTTTAAAAAATTGTGTTGTTAAAATGGCACGATCATCGCGAGAGGTTTGCAGATTTTTGTGAATTTAAGAGTTTGTTTAAAGTTTAAAACACTTTAAAAACTTGGATTTAGGTTATCACACAGTATGAAAATTTCTTATTAAAAAGAGCACTCTGAGAACTTCCCCCTGGAGGTGGTGGTCGCCCTTCCAGAAATAATTGACCGAAAAAAAACGTAAATGATTTCACACCACAACGATATGACGCCAAATTAGCAAATGGCATATTGCATTTAAACAAAGGAAGGCATTTCCCATTCAAAAAATGGCTTATTTAACGGTTTAAACTGAAGAGAAGTGTGTGCTCAATTATGTCGCGATTGAGATTGCTAATTCGGAGATGGTCTCGAGTGATACATGAGGATTTAGTTTGGCAAATATGGACATGTCATGAATTCCTTTCATTGATTTAAAGATAAAATTCTAATTAATTGACATTGCTAAACGGTAACAACCACTTTACAGAGAAGAGCTATTACCGGTTCGAATCATGAGTGGATGCTGCAGTTTTTATTTTTAGAACTCGTATATGCACACAAGTTTGGGATTTAGGTCAGGAATTTTATTAGTGCAGTTAACGAATTTTTAATTAAGTTTAATTATGCAGAAATTTTATTACTTTTAATTCTTTAATTCTTGTTTAATCATGTAAAAAAATCGTTTTTTAAAGAAAATCTCATCTGCATTTTTACAGTTTCCAGAAAGAACAGCTAAAATAAAAATCATCGAATATTTATTTCCTCTTTTCACAAAAATTAGCTAAACGAGAAAGATTTATTTAACAAATATCCATCGACTGTGACTTCCGTTTTTTTTTCTTACTAAACCATCGCACGCCTATCGTTCTTGCCAAATAAATTTTTGTCAATTCCATCAACTGTGAATTACTCAAGAAAAAAAAAAAGTAAACAACCTGCCATGTCTCTTAATCCTTTCAAAAGGTAAATTCTAATCCTTTAAAGTCGGAATAAAAATGCAAAAAGCGGATGAATTAGTCATAAATAAATTCTGTTACTTAATAAAGTTTAACCAGGTGGTGGATCTTTAGCTGACTAATAATTTTGCCATAACTGCACTTATATTTTCTACCCATTTTTTTTACACACCGCTCTTATTTTCTATTAGATTATAAATAATTAATATAATAAAAAATAGTATAAACCTTTAAAAATTTGTAGCGAATTTCGTTCCACGAGAGACTCCTCCGACCAGTCAAGTGTCAAGTGCAGTTGTTTCCGAGACACAATTGAACTGAATTCTCGGCAGACAATGCGACGAGAAAAGAATTAAAGAAGTCAGTGTCAAGAAATAAAAAAACACAAATTAAAGGAGAGACACGATTTATCAGAGAGCACTTTTTGAGACGGGGATAGTAAAAAAAATAAATCAGCCAGGGAGGAAAGTATTGAATTTATTTTTACGAGACAAATTTGAGACGACGACGGAATTTCTGCGAGTGTGAGTGAGGTGAGATTTGTGCAAAGGCTGAGCGTAAACTGGAAGTGAGGAGGATGAGACGGGTGCTTTTAAGAAGAAGGCACTTCTCTCTCTCACCTGTCTCTAATCTCAAGGTAATTTTTGGCCAAGGAATAAAGTGATTGCGTGTGTTGGTTAAGAGAGAAATAGAGAAATGGGAGATGGTGGTGTGGTGGTGGTGGATTTATTATGCCAATTTTTGTCGAGTGGTGTGGATTATTTACAATCTGTTTTTAAAATTTTGGGCTTTTTATTGATCGCATATTTAGTAGAATCGAATCGTTTTATTGTTTTCACTTATTGCGTGTTTTTAGGAAGGAAAGCTCCTTTTACACTTTCATATTAGCGAATTAATCAAATTTAATTAGATGATTTGATATTTATTTGGATTGACACTTTCTAGTTTTATTTGATTGGAAGATTGCTTTATTTTGTGATTTGGAATTAAATGGAAGTGTGGATTTTTATTGGATTGACACTTTCTAGTTTTATTTGATTGGAAGATTGCTTTATTTTGTGATTTGGAATTAAATGGAAGTGTGGATTTTTATTAGTTTTTTTATCGTTTTTAATTTGATATTACAGAGAAATAGCTGGAAAATGTACACAATTTCTTAAAAAGACGCTTCTATTCCAGTGGTAATCTCACATTTTTACAAAATACACACCACTTATAACCCACCAGAAACTTACTAAAATCAAAATTCTGTTATAAAATTCCCCCCAACCAAGGTCACCATCCCTCCCCTCCCCCCTCACAAACACGCGCCTGCCGCGTCCTCCTGTCCTCCTAAACTTTCATCCCCTAAAAAAATCAACACCAACTTATCTCTCTCGTGTCATGTCAAACATCCACCCTAAAAATCAAAACTACATAATTATCCAATTTTTCATTTGTACATACTTTTTAAAAATCACTGACATTTTGTATCGATGTTTTTTTTCTTGCATGTGATTTTTATGATTTTTAACATAATCCAAACACGGAAAATGATTACGGTAGTGGAAGTTGTGATCTGTCTTCATGTCAGGTTTTTTTCAGTGAAATATTGACACGGCATCGCATGCAGTGGATTTAAAACAAAGAAAAGATTAATTTATGGGATTCGACCGAGAAACCCGAATAATTCTATGAAGATTTACTAAAATTTTGGTAAAATATGTAAAAATTTTGTTGTAAATAACAATTGGTAATAATTAATAATTGGATTTTTTTGACAGGACAAATGGTTTTTTTTATAAGTGAAATATTGGGAAATTGCGTGGGGATTTTGATGGGTTTTTTATGTGGAGTTTTTTTTAAGTGGGATAAAAACTTTGTAGGAATTTAGATTTTTTTTAAAGAAGTCAACCATTTTTTAGACCATAATTTCCTCCACTAAAAAACTCCCCTCCCCCCCCCCTTAAAAAACCGCTCCACATTCCCCCCCCCAAAAAAATAACCCTATTGTTAAACCACCACTCCACTTTACTCTTAATAATAATTAGTTAATTACCCAGCGAGCCACTGGGCACCATTCACTCCTCGCACATCACATTGATTGAGCTGTATAGGATTTTTCTTATTATAAAATGAAATGCAGCATAAAAACACCGGTCAAAAAGTAATTAAATTCGAGACCACGGCTCAAAAGACAAAAGAAATCTTCGCCACAGAGACTGACATTTATGGAGCAAAAGATGACAAACTAATCTCGCTAATAAAGCGAAAAAAAATCTCTTTTAACAAATTCCGTTAGAGATTCACCCATTTATTTTAAATGAGAAGATTCGAAATAAATTCCAGTAACGCAAGGTCATCTCGATCTAAAAATCTCTTGTAAAATGTGTAATTTATGATTTGACGGGATGATCTTTTACCGTATTTCCTCCAATCAACATTTAAATATATTTTTTAGCAAATCCATTAGCGTAATTAACCCTGTGCGTAAAAGTGATATGTGATACCTACTTTTTTGTTAAAAGAAATCCATTAAATAAAGACCTCGTCCTATAAAATTAAATAACACCGGTTTTTCTTGGCTGCTACTACCTCAACTTTTTTCAATATTCACATATTATGTGGTTTATTTATTTATGGTCAGGTTGTCATTTTGCTCTAGATTCGCGTCTCAAAAGCGGATTTATTTTTATGGCCGGTGCTTGAATGGGCTGCTGCGGTCGTGGCACGGATTTTTGGGTTATTGGAAAATTATTATGAAGGATATCAGAGCGGAATTTGGAGGTTTGTAATTTAATTAGGGTTTTGCTGATTTTTTTTTGTAGAGAAAATATTAAAAAGTGAAATAAAAATTGTAATAAAAATCCTTATAAAATTTGGCACGACTAAAATTTCGGATAATAAATCAATGTCGAAATGTCACCCTAATTTCGTTTCTCTTTCGCATTAAAATTGTCACGTGGGTTTAATCAAGGGGAATGAAAGGAGAGAGATGTGTAAAATGAAAGTAAGAATGGGTTGGGATTATTTTGGAGGTGCTAAAATTCTTTTAAAAAAAGAGTGTGTGCCCTCAATTTTTGAGATTGTTATTAAGGAAAAATTGGGGGAATGAAAGGTGATTCCAACGCGTCGTCGTCAAAATAAATAAATTTATTGACAAGGAATTGAATGGAGGAGGATTTTATTTTCAATGTCGTGTGTGTGTGTGATGATTGGAGAGATGTTTTGTGGGGGAAGAAGGGTATGTGGATCATTTAGGATTTGGGTTATTAAAATATTGTGATTTGGATGAATGCAGGAGGTGGGTGAGTGAGTGGTGAGTTTTTTTAAAGGGTTGGAATTTCGGAGGGGGCGCTAATTGAGTTGGTTAAGAAATTATTGAGATTTTTGTTGGATTGTGTTAAAAGATTAAAGATTAATTTAATGGAAATAATAGAGTCAATTCTATGCAAATTGGGCTCTATGTTGAGCCCTAGCGTATTATGGAAAATTTTTAATAAAATCTTTGACATTTTATTATTTTACTCTTAAATCTAATTATATTGCACTGTTTAAATATGAGATTTCCGGAATGTGGATTTATACAAAATTTACGTGAAATATGTTTTAATCATGAATTTGAATAAAAAGTTATCAGCTATTTTACTCTTACTTTTTAATTACCGATAACGTTACATTTCAAATTATTTCAATTATTTCTTTGATATGTTACCGTCAAGCGTAACAAGATTTTGTTTTAAATCAAGCTTGATGCGAATAAATAAAAAATCAAAATTTTATGATTTTACTCTTAAATCTAATTGTTTCACTGATGTTTGTTATGGCACAAATAAGCTTATTTAATATGACATTAGCATTTCCGGAGTGTGAACTAATTTATACATGAAATATATTTGGATCATGAATTTGAATAAACAACTTTGAGCAATTTTACCCATTTTTCATTCACTTTTAATTACGGAACGCTGCATTTCAAACGATTTCAATTAAACAGCGTTTTACATGCGTTTTTGTAAAATCATAAAGTTTAACATACAGTTCTGCTGTATAAAACACTGCATATTCTCTGGAATTTTTCAGGTCCAAATCGTCATCGTATCTTGACAATTACATGTTAAACTTCAATATGTATCATCACTACAAATCGCTACCAGTTAAAAAATGTGCATTCCCGGATTTTAAGCACCACTTACAACAGTCGCATCCATAAAATCTCACGATTAAAAATATATTTTATTAACAAGACACTTCAAACCGATTTCAATCAAACAGCGTTTTAATGCATTTATCTAAAATCATTATGCAAGATTAGAAAGTTTTATATGTTGTAAAACTGTCTATTTTCTTCGCATCAGCATCAGCAATAATTTCGATTAAAAAAAATTATTTTATTAACAAGTTTACAAAAAAAAAATCAAACGGCGTTTAACTCGTTCACTAAAATAAATTTTATCAGTGACTGAACTGGTGCCATAAAATCAAAGTATAAACAATTTGTGCTGTGTAGATTTCAAAAATGAATTTCACTCTTCGCATCGCCGCCTCATCTCTGAAAAGACTCGTGCATCTTCTCAGACAACGTTTGGCGTGCAAGTCGCAAGGGAACGGGCGAGAGGCGATTTTATTCGTCGCTTTGTTGTGGGGTGATTATGTTAAGGGGAGAGTGTTTATTTGGCATGAAATTCTAAATATTTAAATTGGTATTGCATAGCGAAGTTTATGGTTATTTGGGTGTTTGGAGATTAAAAATTTGGAAATTCAAACGTCAATTTTACTGGAGGCAGAGTCTCTCGTTGGACATTCGCTGGACGTTTCTATCCGTGTATTGATTTGCCTCATACCACGTTGCAGTTGCCCAGGTTTTGTCTGGGGAATGTGAGAATTGCCAGTCTTTTTGCTTATTTTGCTCTAGTTTTATGTGGCAGATCGGAGATCCTGAGACCAGATTTGAGATGAAATTTAAGTAATTATTATTTTATAAGGTTCCATTACTAAATTCTAGTGCGTGACCCCGTCGTTTCTGCAATTTTATTCCTGGCTAAAATTAAACTATTTTAATTTATTTTAATTTTACAAAATTAAGCAGAAGATGAGGAAAATTACAGCTACGATCAACTCTTAATAAGATGCCGCTTGACTCTTAAAAACATTGGTGTACACAACGGTCTGATGGTCTTAAAACGTCCCATCTATACTAACTTTCAACCATTTACTTTAGCACCACAATCACATGACACACACACAAAATCCTCCTATGCAAATAAACCCACGCTAACAAACAGAAAAAGCACTTATCCAATTTCCACCTATTTACCTTCAAGCGATTAAGCAAAATTAATTTTTTTCCACTTAACTAAACTCCACTGAATACAAACATAATTAAAACAATTCTCATGATAACGAGTCCCTCGTTACACCGACACGAAAAACCCTGCGGACTTCGATTAGCCCGAGTCAGTGTGTGGTTCCGACTTAGTTTACGATGGTTATCGCGAGACAAACAGACAGACATGACGGTTACATAAGTCCTTCTTTAAAAAAATCCAAGCTTTCTTCATAACTCTGAACAGGGGTGGCGAATAACTGCCCACTAAA